TAAACGGCTTGTTGATCCATGAAGCTTATTTTTGAATGTTTTAGCCTTTTAGGACAGTGTTGACGGTCAGAGAAGAAGGTAACAAAAAAAAAATCATAACAAGACTCAAGACAACACACCTAGGATGATGTGGTCCGTAAAAATACTAGGAGCAAACACACGAAAGACAATGCAGCTAAGAAGTATACTTACTTGGCTTCTTGAACAGAGCGTGGGCAGAGCTCAGCAGCATATTTAACAAGCTCGCTGAGACACCGACCCCATCTATTCTTATCAGGGCTCTCGAAGATTATAGATTGAAGAGTCACATCGGAAGGAATGGCATCGGAATCTCGTCTTAAATCAAATGGACGGGCAGAATCCCAGTAGCAACTTTGAACAATATCATCCTATTATATTTATAATGAAAAAAGGATACAATCTTAAATGTTCCATAAAGCCTCTGAAAGAGCAAGATATACACAGAAGGTACTTACCCCATGTTCTTCCAAGACATCGATCATGTATATGGGTTCAGCTTCAAATTTCATAACATGGTCAGGGTGCTCTTGAATCATGAGATCTCGAATATCATTTCTCAATGCACGTACACATCGCAATAATTCTAGCGCAGTATGCCGTATCTGGCTGTCAACTGAACTAAGAAAAATTAGGCCAACAGCATCAATATCAGCAGCGCGAAACTCAATTGCACCTGCTGATTGATGAAATGATAATTTCTTGAACCTATCATTTCCCTTTGCTGTTTGCTTTTCCTCTTCAGCATCAGTATCTTGCCTATCATCTACTAAACAAGCCCTCCAGAAACGCATGAGTTCCAACAAGCGTCCTAGTGATGTTTGAATGAGGAGTGGGAACTCATCAGGAAGCTTTAAGATGAAGTTCGCCATCCCTCTCATAACCGCAAAACGGCGATGAGGAAGGTATCTAACAATCCGGTTCAGGACTTGCACTGCTTCCTCTCGAACTCCAGGATCAATACTTATACCATGCTGAGGTATAATTTCTGTGATCTTATCACTCCTTCCAACTTCCTCTATCAAATAAGGTATGCATTTCAGAACTGATCGGAAGAGAGATCCTTGAGACTTTTCTTTATTCACAGCATCTGCATATGTCTTGAAGGTTAGCAAGAATTGTTTTCAGGAGAAAGTATTAGCCAGAGAATCCCAGGTACAAATCAGAAAAGCGATCACACTCAAATTCGCACAACATCTAGTGATCTTTTGACTTCCCCATAAAACTATGTACATCAGACGAAGAATTTTGTGTAAAACTACATTTACCTATTGTAGTCCTCGATGATGTTAGAAGAGCTTGACTATAGGTCCTGTGGCAGGATCTCAAAATTGACTCAATTGCTGCTTTCACCTTTGGTATGTAATGGCCAATTCCATGACCTGTTAAGAGAATACTAAATTAAGTGTATGAAAGGACAAGCTTATTGAGACCAACTAACGAACTAATTCAGATTAACAGGTTACCCTTAAATATTTCCAAGCCAACATACTGGCTTGAAGGTGACATAACAAGTGCAAGCAAAGCACGAAGACCAATAATCTTTGCTTCACTTGGACTATCTTGCTTTAACAGTTCTAGTAACATGTGATTCATGGCGAAGTCAAGGTTATGTTCAGCTATGGTCACACAGAACTCAACGAGTTTATCTTGTTGGACATCCTGAGTGAGCATTCCTTTTCTCAGAACTGTTAGCAACTGTGATGTCACACTATCCAAGTAATCCCATATACGATTTGGTGGCTGGGTAGCAGCATATACACTCAAATAAAACCTCAACACCCGGTGAAGACAATCAAGTGCCATGTAACGATGGTTTTTATCCTGCATGAAGTGCAGTATGCTTTATAGTGAGTGAAACCAAGATATATATATTACCAAGAACAGGCTTTAAAAAAAAAAAGCCAATGTCGTCACAGGTCCTGAACTACTTAAGAATAAAAAGAAGCTGCTGTAATTACAACTGAACTCATCAAGGTTTGCGGACGTGACAATTGCTCTTGTGCATTCTTAATTTAAATTTTGGGTGCAGCCAACTTACTCTCAGAAGCTTGTACAATTGCTCCATGTGAGAGCTTAAATTATGATGAAATATAAGCGGGTCACCGAGACAGAGAAGAAGCGTCACAAGCGGATAGCCAACCTATATGCCCATTGATACATGTTAAGGACTGAATCACAGAAAACATGATAAAGTGATATGAAATTCAGATCGACGTACACCAAGATGTTTGCTCTGTTTTTCCATCCAATGGATTAGCTGCACTCTAATACGTCCAACAGCCTCATACCAGAGTGTCAGCGCAGGCTCTGCAACTGAAGGAGGCCACTGGCTTTTGCCACCATCGGAAAGTGGCGCCAGGATGTTAGAAAGCATATTGCAAAGCGCATGATGAAGCTCACTTTTACGTTTGTGTGGAGCACGGTTAAGAGGATTTGCTTTTGCTACAAATGAGGCAGACGCATTTAGCCCACCCTCACTCTTGACCTGACATCAACAAAATGTCACGTTCGCATCCTGAAGGCTGCATTACTTAAGATATCAGAGGCATACCCCGAGCTTTAAGTATCGCATCCCATTAATAATGCTGAGAGTTTCACTTCTTGCAACACTTGTGTCAATGCGGCGTGTATTGAGTTCCATGAAAAACCGCTCAGTGACAGAGCTGAATCTGTTAGTGAAAAATCATAGTAATAAATGGATTAGAGTGGTTGCGATTGCGGCTCAGAACTGGATCACCGTTTTTACAAGTTATTTCCTGCCAACTAAACTTGTAAATGTAAGTCCACCCTTTTTTTCATTTATACTTTACCATGCTTGGAGGATCGTTAACATTACAAAATGAAATACCTAATACGGGATAGTGCACCCAACAGTTGAGCAACCAAGTCAAGAAGGAGACCCCTCAAATCGACCAGTGATGGGTATTCCACTTGGCTAACAACCCTGTAACCGAGAAGTACCCAGAACTTGAGAAAATTAGCATTTTACAACTCACAAAAGGCAAGCCAAAGGATCAAAGCATACAGTTTAGGGAATCATATAAATTTCAACAGCTTGAGATTTCTACCTGTCAGCGTTAATTAGCCAATCAAAAACGAAATTCTCAAGTCCAGACCATAGCTTCTCTGCCAATGACGCAAAATGTTTTTTCTTTTAGCAAGGCAGTATACACATTTTGCTGGAAAGAAAGTGAATAGAGAAACTAACAAACCGGTGAGCCCTTCCTGCGGGCAACACTCTACAAAGCGAATACAAGCTGAGCAGAAGATGCACTCAACAGCCAACTGATTCCAGTCATGTAAAACCATATATCAGAAAAATGAAAACCAAATTCGAAAACTGATAAAAATAAGACCGTGGATGATAGTATTCTTAAAGAGAGGTAACAGTAAGAGTATAACAGTCTGGTCAGTTGGATGTAGTACACATAGTTACGAAACCCTGAGGACTTGCTCCTGTGAAAAGTCAAAAGAAAATACCTTTCTCTGGAAAGTCGATGCATCATTTGCACCTTTAGGTGATTCACTGCAAGACAGATATACAAGCACGCAAAAAATAACAAAATATTAGTAGTGGCCCAGAGAAGTGGCTTCGCCCCAATCATATAGATTACATCTAGTAAATAAACTCACTTATATGAAGCAAAAGTGATATCCACATAAGAAAATAATGATAATGCACCACAGAGTTTAAAAGCAACACTGGATCATGGACGATCAACGATTAAAGCTAAAATAATGCAAGATGCAGAAATAGTAGCCTGTGGGAGAAGGGTCTTTTGGACGTATGTCATTTGGAAAAAAAAGCCAGATACCATCTCATTGTTAAGAACGAGAGGAACAAAATTTACCCACCTTTCCCTCCATCTAAGTAGAGCTTCTAAAAGGGGAACAGGTGTGTGACGCGCAATCATAGCCAAGGAATCGAGCACCTGCTCATAAGCAGGATCTGATGGACGAAGGTACTGTCCATCCTGCAAACATCACACCAAGAACAATATCACTACCAACGACTGGTGTAAAAAAAGATACAGAACGTGAAAAACTATTTTAAGAAAACATATATACTAGTCTGTAAGTTGCAGTGGGAAGTGGGAACATATGCATTTCCTTCACAAGTCCTCATTATAATGTAAAACTTCCATTAAACCCTACTCTGGACTACGAAGTCTCAACTATCGAGAAGGAAACTACCCAATAAGCAGAAACGAACACCTTAAAGCACTGGGAAAAAAAAAACTTAACCACCAAAGAACATATGGATTCAAATGTGTGAACTCAAAAAAAAAAAAAAAAGCTTATTGAGAAGGAGACGAACCTGAGCCTGAGCTGTCTCGATTCGCCGTCTTGCGAGAGGCAGGAACCGCTGAAGCAGCGCCTCTACTATCAATTTCGCCGCACTCCCGGACTTCATCACTTCCAACAACAATAGATCCCCAAATGCGATTCAACACTGTCCTCTGTAAATAAATGAAATATATTCAACAAATTATAGACCCCGAATCAAACAGAATACGAGACTCAAATCTCGTGAAAATTCCCAGAATCAATAAGCCATACCAAAGAAGAGCAACACCCACAAATCACGAAACCATTCTAGGACTTAGTTCGATCCGGTAAAAGAATCGCTAAGAAATTTCTTTGATCGACGAGCTGCCTCGTTCCTCTTTTCTTTTATTTTCTTTTTGTTTTGTTTTTTTTTGTTTTTTTCATCTGCAGCTGTTAACGTCAACATCTTAAGTAAAAAATCATTTTTATTTCTAACAACACATAACAAATAAATCAACCAAATTTAAATAAATAAAGTATTGACTTTAAATATTATCAATCGTTGGATCCTTTGTCTGGAAAGTAATTTTCTTTTGTTGTGCACGTCGGGAAGTAATTAGAGAAGCATTAAACTAGTTTTTATATCATCTACTTCGACATTGTTATTCGTGGAGAAGCAAAAAATTACACAGCGAAAAGAAAAATAATGAGTCAAACATTATCAGTAAAACTCATTTATATATGTCAACTATATATTTTATTGATTCCTATGCTCATATACAAATTTAACGCAAATATATCATATTAAATTAGAGTTTTATAAAACTACTATATTCTAAGAAAAAAATGACATCCAATTTTGTTTTTCATTGATTCGATCTCTTATACCAGCCCAAGCTTGTAGTTCCAAAACACTTGAAACCATTATGGTTAGATGTGTCTGTCTTGGTCTTGGCTTTGTTCGAGTGTCGCACCAATGCCTTCTTTGAGTTTAGTAGTCTTAGCTCATCTTCTTGCAAACAAGTCTTCCTTGGCTATGAGCTGCTCCTTGGTTCCTTGCTCTGATTCAAGCTCTTCTTTTTTGGTGTTGCTCAGGATCACATCATCTGTTCTGATAGTCTCTCGTCTTGTTTCTTTAGAGCTTGGAAGATCTCTGAGAATTTACTGAAGCCATAGATTTCTTAATCAGTTGAAGAAATAAGGTGAATCTAACACCACTTTCAAATCTAAATCTCCTCGTTCAGGCAGAGCAGGAAACTCTAAATGAGGAAACGATTGCTCAAAGCTCTCCAGCAACTGTTACAAAGAGAAAACGACAGTCATGTCATGATCAGTCTTCCACAGGCCATATACAATTGGCAAACCGAAGATGGAGACAGATGATGAAGCTTACATTCTCTAGTATCGGTTGCGAATACAGCTCAACAAAATTTTCGCGTAATATTCTGTTTAATTTATCCACATCGCACGCATGTGTCCAGAATGAGTCATGAACTCCTGTTAGAATATTTTTTTATTAACAATGTGTTAGTTGACACAAGATCAAGGTTTCGAGAAAGATGGAGGTCAAAAAGATTTTAAGTTGTGAAAAAAGGACAGAACCTGCAAAACACACGCCAGCTCTTTTGCAGGCAACTGCAGTCATCATCATATGGGATCCGTCGAGGGAGTGAATAAAATTTGGAGGAAAAGCTGTCTTTTGTCGCCTGGCAATGACCTGCAAAACCAAAATCCACAAAAATCTTTCAGGATTAAGCCATCACCATACTATCTTTTGTCTATAATCGAAACCAAGGTAAAGCTGAGGCAGACCTTATCAGTTTCGTGCTGAAGCGATAAGGTTTGGAGGGATGTCTTTACCTGCATTCATTTTGATAAAAAAAGAAGACATCCATTACATTTAAATTCATACAAGAGCATTAGTGTTTACATAATGTTATTCACTCTATTAACTTTAGGAAGACTTACGAGTTTTGTTCCCATTTGGTAGTAAGGTTGCACAACAGGAAGACCCAATGGTGTTGTCCATCGAACTGTTTCGTTTTCTGAAGCAATAATCTGTGCTCATATAAAGATTTTATTTTTCATGAAGAATTAATAGTGTCCAAAAGTAAATTTATTAGATGCTGAAAAAAATGTCTACACACCTTTGCACAGTCACCAAACCAACGCATGATGGCGCGTGCAGCTTCAAACATTTCATCTATAGCAGTCAATGTTACCTGCCCCAAGCATGACAAAACCAAAAGATTATCGCCTAATAGCATTTTGCTTTCGGTTAGTTTTCAAGTACATGAGAACTGGAAAGTACTTTCATCTGTTGCTAATATACCTTTGCTGCATAGCAAGCCGCCCCAAAAATTTCTTTTTCATCACTAAATGCACTGCGCTCCTTCAACCTTCTCTTTATTTGATCTCGTGCACCAATATATGTGACACCATAGACTGCTGTCATAACCGTCTGCTTTACAAGTTTCCGATCCACCTACAGATTTTGAACAACCATCAAGTGGTAACACATGACCAAGTTATGTGACTGCGTCAATAATATTCCCAAACAAAACATACATCAGGCAACTTGCTCACACGCCAAAACTATATATACATTAGAACAGTTCATGAAAATCCAATTTGTGTGATTTAACAATGGTTTTCGAGGATGTAAGAAATGAGATTTCTTCTCCACTGTGCAAGCAAGGAAGCTGAAAACCGAGATACACATGATGAAAGAATGGAAATATAATGAAAAGAATTTCAGAGTCGGACCTGGTTGACTAATTTTCTTGCACGCAGTGCATCTGGATAAACTTCAGGATCTCTGTCTGCATCTCGGCGCATAATATTAAGAACTCTGCAGCGCATATGCATATGAAATTTTGATTGCACATTTATTTTTAAAATTATGTCAGCATAACGCAGTAGATGCAAAGCTTACCTGGTAGCTATTCCTGAATAAACATCGGCCGGCTTCTCACCTGCAACTAGATTTACAGCTTCTGCTCCTAACTGATATTCATTTTTTTAAAACCAAAATCAGAAAAGAAAGATGACAAGCGGCCAGAAAAAGGAAAACCACAGAAATAAAAAGAAGAGAATTACTGTGTCTCTCCCAAGCGCGGCATAATGCTGTAAACCATTGCAGGAACCATCCTGGCCAGAACCAAAGTGAAAGAAGGGAAGTTCGTATTAAGGAACACATATTGGAAGAGAGACTACAACGTAAAATCAATAAAAAAAAAAAATCAATCCTGAAAGAGGAGATGTCAATATGGTAACTTCTGCCATAAAATACCTGATGTATAGGAATATGTGAGAGAACTGTCTCCGGGGATGGACTTCTGAGAGCTTCAGTGAGATTTATGCACACAGCCAAGCACTGAAATGGGTCTTCAGCTTTCAGCCACCATCTGCTTCCTTCAAGTGGTCTGTCTGCCGAATCAAATATGTCATCCAAGTGATTCTCGGTGAAAGCTAGCCGACCCTCATGTGATAACTTGTCTACACCACCAGCATACAAGTTTGCTAAGTGTATCTTCAGCCAACGTAAGCCTGATCTTCCTAGAGGCCTTCCCTCAGCAAACTCCAAAACACCCCGACACAGATCAGAACCGAGATGATTTAAGTGTGGGGGCATGGGATATGCACGTCCCCGGAAGTCAATATTGTGGGGATAGTAAAAACCTTCTTCATCTTTCATTTTCCGTGCTACCTGTCACATTCAAATATCTAAATACTTACCAACAAGACTCTCAAAATGGCACATTACTTTGATGCCAAGGGGGTATAAAGCTCACCGAAAGCTTGAGTTCTATATCACAGCGCTGAGAATGTCTCTCGCTATTCTCCTTCTTAGCAGATCTAATTTCAAACTTCCATTTCTTAAGAATGCTCTCATCTTCAGTGTCGGGCTTTTCAGGTAAAGGAACCTACAGTTTGAATTAATAAAAATTAAAGAGCTTTTGTGATGCACAAGATCTCGAAAATATATCTACGCCAACAATAACTAATGTCGAACTCACATCGCTGCGATCCACCAGATCAGCAGTACAGCCGCCACTGCTCCATATCCTATCTACAACAGTTAAAACTCGCTTATTTACTCTCCATTTAGTACTTCCAAGCGTATCCAAGGCCTAGCAAATGTCCATAAGATATATTACAGAAATTAACAACCGTAACTGATCTCTCCACCTAAAGCACATGAAGAAACAGTATTGGCTGACCTCAAAGACTGGTTTTAGTTGTCCTTTAGGTGCGCTCTTAAGTGCCTCTCGTTGTTGCTTAGCTCCATGAGTTTTCATTATATATGACGCTAAGAACAAGTAAGCACCTTTGTCGTAACTGCGAATAACACAAAATGAAAGTGAATTCACTTACAAAACACTCAACAAAATAAAAGTCTTCCAAATCTTAACTTTCTTTTTCTCAACTATGTTTTGGTCAACTTTAGGCTTCTACCAGACCCGAGTAGCTAGTCTTGGTCACAAATATTGTACAATAAATATTATCATACTACAAATTCGTTTGGGATTATTATGCAAATACCATGCAATGCAATTATATCATCATTTGGGGTAAGCATACAGCAAAGAAAGCTTATTTACCCCGACCACTTGAGAGGGGGAACCAGCATTGGCATGTATGGCACCACTGCATATCTCCCCTGCATGATAAAATAAGAAAAAAAGGCGACATTCACACTTCCTACAATATAAATTAGACGTCTTAGTTATACCTTAAGCTTCAAATGCCCGATCTATTAAGTCTAATTTACAGGCACCACACAAGTCGAACCCTCTTTAGATATAAAGTCAACAAAATGAACATAAATTACTCTCAGTTCTGAAAGAAATTCACGAATAGTTCCGTTGCTATTGACTTAAATTTAATCTGACTGACAAACCAAACGAGAATAGGTGACCTACAGTTTTTTCCAAGCCTTTGCGGACCAAAGGGTCACACTGGATTACACCATATTTTCTCCCAGATTTCCTGTTGTACAAGAACGGCCAAAATATGAGCATATGACATTCAGGACAACAAGATGCGCACTACTTGAAAACCATAGACCAAAATTCCTCACATGTTTTCTTTTACTACTGTCTTGAGGGTATGCACAAATGCAGGTCGGACATCAGGCAGATCATTATCCTGCTGATTAGGTGGAGCTTGTATATAAGCTGTTCTTACCAACAATTCTATAAGACGACTTCCAACCTAAGTGAATTAGCAAAGATCAAAATGTTAGCAACTTATGCAGCCAACAGAAGCTTTCTTTACTTCCTCAGCACTATCGTAGCGAACCATACACACACCTTAGCCCTAGCATCTGCAGTCCATGGTTTTGTATAGTCATATGACTGCAAGATCTTTCTAACCGCTGACAACTTCTGTTTCTTTATCAGCTCATTGACCTTTTTTCTTAACTTATCTTGTTCCTTCACTGCAGTTCCGTTTTCAACTTCCCCGCTCTCCTCATTGTCATCCCCTTTTTTCTTCGTGGTCTTTCCCAGGAATGTGCATATCCTTACCTATCCAATCAAGAGAACAAAGAATAAAAAACAATTTTAGTATACAAGCATACAAGACATCCAAACACCATAGAGCAGATCAATCACAGAAGTAAACCTTATAGGCTAGGTTTCCACTACAACCAATCAACGGCAAACCAAGAAGATTGGTAGCAAAAGATCTGACATATAACAAAGCAGAAACCAGAAAGAGATGAAGCTAACCAACCTCTTGTTCAATGGCATCGCCTACTGAACAAGCAGCATGAACAACCTTAACACAACCGTTATCACCACCAGTCATCAAATGCCCCACCAACTTGTGCATTGTGATAACAGCTATCTTGTCGGCGGGCAACTGATCAAGGTAATGTGCATAAGTTGCTTTGCTCTTCCCTAATCTATATAATTCCTGATCTTTAGCAATGACATCTCGTACTGGTTCGAACCAATCCAGAAGCAAGGACTTCACATAAGGCAGATTAGGCGCAAGCTTTTTCTCACACATATCCGTCAAAAGCTCCCTGTACTCATTAGCAGCTCTTTCCCATTCTTCTGTCTCGATCTTAACTTGTCTTCTCCATAGATTCCGATACTTTCCGCGTCCCATTCCAACATGTTCTTGCTTCTTCATCCGCCACGAACGATGATCCTCTCTCTTCTGCTCTTTCTTCATTTCCTTCAACAATTCCTGTACCTCATCGACAACCGAAGGCTCTTCCTCGACATCTGTTGACGAGATCTCTTCGGCTACACTCGTGTACCTTCTAGCGAAGGACCCATTAAAGTAGCTATCGTTCTTTGAGAATCTCAACCCGACCCGCCCGGGAAGCTCCTCTGGCCTCGTGACGCCACTTAAACGACTAAAACCCATTTCGTGACATCCTGAGTCCGAGAAGGATCCGAACACCGAACACCGAAATCTCAATTTTTTCGAGAGAGAAGACTCCTGAGAAGACGCAAGAAAGCCACGAGTTTGGGAACCGACGGCTAATCTAGCAGCTTGTGACCTTGAAATGGCTTGTTTAGCAATGCTTCTCCACATAGGGAAGGATTGGGGAACTGGGTTTCGACAAGAAATCAAGGGTTTGTGAAATGGGATCAAATGATCGAATACCTTACTCTGATTTGCCAAGAACACTGGGGTTTGGGCACTGGACATCAATCGAGCTTAAATTGAGTAAAAATCGATAAAACAGAGCATACACAACACGAGACTGGATAAATTCGATCGCATGAGAAAGAAAACATAGAGCGAAATCGGAAAATTGGGTACACTTTCATAGAAGGAGGAAAAAAAATAACAACAACTGGTAAGTAAAGAGTACACGACGAAGCCGCCTTAAACCCTTTGTTAAAAACCCTTGCTTTTCCAACTTCTTCTCAGGCCTCTCTCTGTCTTTTTTTATTTATTTTGTCCCTCTTGAGTAAAGAAAAAAATAAAATAAAAATATCTTACAAAGGCCTCTACTGCGGCCCATAGTCTCTTTTCTAAGCAAAAAGGCTTGAGAAATTTATGGAGCCCAATTAAAAAAAAAATAGTTAATTACTTTATTTTCTTCTATTATTTGACCATTTCAAATAGGCTTGGGCAAAAAACCCGGATCCGAATATCCGAACCGGAATCGAACCAAAATGGAAGTATCGAATCCGAACCGAATCCGAACCGAAATTTTTTAAAAAAATCCGATGGATCTTAAACTCTTATATCCGAAGAACCGGAACCGAACTAGTACCGAACCGAGAACCGATTGGCTACCCGAATTATCCAAAAGTATCATTATATATCTTTCTAAATATTAGTTTTTTTGATATTTTTGATATTTGGTATATATTTCTGGTTTTACAGATATATTTTTTTTATTTTTGGGACTTTTGGGTAGGGGTGGGAAAAAAACCGAACCGAACCGAACCAACCGAACCAAACCAAACCAAACCGAACTGAACCGATCTATTTTCAATATAGAATCAGTTTGGTTGATGTTTTTCTCAACCCGAACGGTTCGGTTTAAAACCGAACCGAACCAAAAAACCAATACATTTATTTAATTTAATTTATTAGTTAATTTATAATATTAGTATATATGAAATATTGTGAATTTGTGACACGATTTCACCCAAACTGAACCGACTTTATTAATTCTTTTTTTTATTAATTCTAATTTTTTATATATATATTTTCTAACCTACTAGCTAAAAATTCTATATAAAATCAAAACCCTAAAAAACTTACAAACTCATATACCTAAGCAGCTAAAACTCTCATCTTCTTCTCATTCATTGTCGTTGATTCTCCATAGTCTAAAGGTAAGATTTTTTAACATAATATTGAAATATTCTAATAAGTCTTTTAGATCACAAAAAAACAGAAGTTTGATGCTAATGAACAATTATTGAAGGTTTTGATTTTTAGCTTTTGAAAGTCGACGTATCGTAAAGTGATTATCTTTGATATGTGGATTGAATTATTAATAATATGTTTCTTTCCTATGTAGATGAATAATAAAACCACGACCAGCAACAAAAGAAAAGAGTATGATTCTCAAACACAACCGCCAAAGCCGAAAAGAACACTACCACCACGATCACCGGCATGGGAAATTTTTACGAGACTTAAGGATGATGAATTGAAGTGTTCATGCAATTTCTGTGGTAAAGTCTATTCATGTAATCCTGCTACATGTGGAACTTCCAATTTAAATACACACATGAAAAAGTGCAAAGCTTACTTGGATCATAAGGAATCTGAGTCTCAGAATGTCTTAGTGTCTAGTGGTGGAAGTGGTGATCATGGTGGTAAAGTTGTTGGTATGACAAAACCTTTTGATCAAATTGCTTGTAAGTAAGCAACGGTGAAAATGATTATCATGGACGAACTGCCGTTTTCTTTTGTGGAGAATGATGGGTTTAAACAGTTTTGTGAGATTGATATTCCTTGGTTTATTATTCCGTCGCGAAGAACAGTTACAAGAGAAGTTGCTGGTCTGTATAACGCTGAAAAAACAACATTGAAGACTATGTTAAGTTTAAATAGGCAAGCGATCTCTTTTACCACCGACATATGGACTTCTATAACTACTTTGAGTTATATGGCTGTAACTACCCATTTTATTGATAAGGATTGGCGATTGCATAGAAGGATTATTAGTTTTAGTCCTATTCCTGATCATAAATGAGAGACCATTGCCAATCAATTTTTAAAATCTTTGGATGATTGGGGTATTGAGAAAGTATTTGCTATTACAGTTGATAAATGCAAGCAGTAATGATAAAGCTATCAACGTTTTGAAAGATCGGTTGCGTAATAGGAACAATGAAGCTTTGATGATGGATGGTGAATTTATGCACATACGATGCTGCGCACACATACTGAATTTGATTGCCAATGAAGGTTTGGATGATATCATTAACAGCATAATAAGTGTTCGTAATGCTGTTAAATATGTGAGGTCTTCTGGTTCAAGACTAGACTCCTTTAAGCGCTGGGTGGAGGTTGAGAAGATAAGAAGAGGAAGTGTGGTTTTGGATTGTGTTACAAGGTGGAATTCTACATACTTGATGTTGAAAAGTGCACTAAAATATCAAGTTGCATTTGATCGGATGGCTGAAATGGATAAGCCGTATGATGCATGGTTTAAAGAACTTGATTCTAGTGGAAAGAAGAGGAAAGGACCTCCAACATCAATTGATTGGGACAAAGCATGTCATATGGTAACATTCTTGAAGTCCTTCTATGATTCGACTTTAGCATTCTCTTCTTCTATTAAAGTAACATCAAATGGTTGTTACAATGAGATATGCAAAATTCAATCAACTGTGGCAACTATGTCTTATAGTGAAGACGCTGATTTGAGAGATATGGCTTCTGCAATGTCGGCTAAATTTGATAAATACTGAGAAGGTACAAAGAATATCAATAAGATATTGATAGCGGCTGGTGTACTTGATCCTCGTCGCAAAATGGTTTTTACAGAGTATAGCTTTGAACTCATTTATGGGAAAAGGTAATCCAAAGTGCAAAGAAATGTCTAAGTTGGTGATGGATGATTTGCAGAGAATATTTGAGCTATATAGTGCTCGGTACACCACTTTAAAGCTACAATCGTCTGCTGCTCGTGACAGTGAGAATGTAACACAGTCCAACCAAGATCATAAGGATATGGAAGAAGACAGAATTGATGATCCCTTTTTAAGATTCATGGTTGCTAAGAGAACTACTTCAGAAGTTGTAAATGAATTGGAGAAGTATTTAAAAGACAAGCTGTACGTAGCGACTGAAAACGGTATGGGACTTCCGTTTGATCTTCTAGATTGGTGGAGGACAAATAGTTCAAAATATCCAATTATGTCTCTAATGGCCAAAGAAATTCTTGCTATACCAGTATCTTCTGGTGCATCTGAAAGTGCTTTTAGCACTGGGAATCGTATTCTAGACCAGTATCGAAGTTGTTTGACTCCTGCTATGGTCGAAGCGTTGGTTTTGACCCAAGACTGGTTACGCGCTTCACGTCGTTCAGAAGCAATGAAGACTCTCGACAATCTAGAGGAAGAGAATACATATATGGATTCACTTGAAGAAGGTATTTTATTCTCTCTTTTTTTTCTTCTTCTAAGAATTATATTCATGATTCAGTAATGTCTCACAAGTCTTTATTTGAATTTTGTAGATTTTCACCCTCTTCCTCAGAATGAGAATGATCGTCATGCGTCTACTTAAAATTAAAAGCTCAAAGCTCAGTTTTTCTACGGTAAATGATCTTTTAATATTAATGCTGTGATGGTTCATATAAAGAATTAAAGATGAATAAACATTGACTTAGCTTGTAATTTTGTATAGTGAACTAATATTTAAATTATTGACTTGTTGCAGATTCTTTGAAAGTTCGAAGTGGCGATATCAGAAAGACGAGACGGAGACTTTTATTGATTTGTTGCAGTTTTTTAATAGCATTAGTACCTTATTGCAGAGAGACAAACTCGTTATTGGATCCTTTCAATTTTTATTTATTTTAGTTTAATTAGATGGTTTGGTTTGAGTTAATGGTTTGTTTTAGCTGGAACATATAGTATTAGATGGTTTGGTTTGACTTAATGATTTGTTTTAGTTGGAACATATACTAATGGTTTGAATTTACGTTTTTATTCTAGTTTTTTCCAAATTGATGTTTTTAACCGAATTGAAACCAAACCAAACTGAACCGAAACGAACTAACCCGAACCAAACACAAACTGAACCAAATTTATTTCGGTTGAGTTCGGTTAGAATTTTATTGAACCTGAATTAATCAAACCGAACCCGAAAAAAAAACTGAAATGCCCACCCCTACTTTTACTTTTGGGTATATTTTTAAGTTTTGATATATATATATATATATATATATATATTTTTGAATTTTTGTTATTAAAAAAGTGTGAGTCGAATTAAAAATTTGAGGCAAAAGATCTGAATCCGATTATCCGAACCGGAACCGAACCGAAATAAAGATATCGAACCCAAACCGAAATTTATAAAAATATCCGATGGATCCTAATTTCTTCTACCCGAAATATCCGGAACCGATTGGCTCCGAACCGAAACCGAACCGAATATCCGAATGCTCAAACCTAATTTCAAACAACATTTGTATGGTGGTGCCCATTATTTTCACCAAAGTATAATGCAAATGTAAAATAAAGACGCATTTGGATTTTTTCTCGAATAATATCGCTTGGATTTTGTGTTTTTTGGTTGTCAACAATATCACTTAGGACTCATCTATTTTATTTAAAAAAAAAAAAACTAGCCAAAATCTGATTTCTTGAAAAGTGTCGATTAGTGGTCGGATGTTAGCTGGGGTTCACCTATGATAACTCACACCTGATTGCTTTCAAATTTGATATTTTCCTCCTCTATATTTTTAATATATTACAAATTAGCCCATTTACTTGTGTTTGAGGAAGTAAGAAGCCCGATTTTTGTTTCCTTTCTCGGAATTGAAGCTGCAGATGCAGAAATTGTTTTAGGTCTCTCTATCTCTCTCTATCTCTCTCCCCGCGTTGCTCTCGAGAAAAACCCAGCTGGCATGTCATTGGATGCCAAATGATGAAGCTTGTTGCATACTATCTTGAGGTAAATTACGAATTACTGATCGAAAGTTAGAATCTTTACTCTAACTCCAGGCTAGCTGGTTGCGTGGCTTCCGATCGATTTTTGCCCGAGTTTTGAGTTCCTTTGCGGGCACTTCGTTGTTCTTCTGCTGGGTTTTTTGTTCGGAGATCTGATGCTCTGCTGGTTTGTTGTTTCTTCGATGATCGAGTGATCTTGCTGAAACTTTCGGGAGATTTAAAGCGCGTTACAGCTAATGGTTTGGATTTGAGTTTAAATGGAACGTCTCGGATTTTGGGGATTGCTGATGGGTAGTGTGGAAAAGTCATCGGATTCTGGAAATTCGGTGGCTTGCTCTGCATCTACGAAGAATGGAGACGAAGAGAATACTTCATCGAAGCAAGCTTCACCATTGAAGCGTCCTGGGTCGAGAAACACTAGCCCTTTAGGTCGGGTAGGGTCGAGAAACACGAGCCCCTCTAGGCAGAAAGTGGTCAAGACGAAACCTCGTGGTTTAGAGGAAGAAACAGTAGCTTCATTTGGTAAACCAGTTGTTGTTGATGTGCAGATGGAGGATAGTATATGGGCAATGCTTCCAGAGGATTTGCTGAACGAGATTTTAGCTAGGGTTCCACCATTTATGATATTCCGAATCCGGTCCGTTTGTAAAAAATGGAACTTGATTCTTCAAGATAATAGCTTTCTTAAGTTTCACTCAAATGTGTCATCTCACGGACCTTGTCTTCTCACTTTTTGGAAGAACTCGCCGCAGATTCCGCAATGCTCGGTTTTTAGCTTGCCTTTGAAGACGTGGTACAAAGTTCCGTTCACATTTTTGCCTCCATGGGCTTTTTGGTTGGTTGGATCTTCAGGTGGTCTTGTTTGCTTTTCGGGACTCGATGGTCTAACTTTCAAAACTTTGGTATGCAATCCTCTGATGCAGAGCTGGAGGACTCTACCGAGCATGCACTATAACCAACAAAGGCAATTGATTATGGTTGTTGATCGCTCAGAAAGGTCGTTCAAAGTCATAGCCACAAGTGATATTTACGGGGATAAGTCACTTCCTACCGAAGTTTATGATTCCAAAACTGACAAATGGTCGTTACATCAGATAATGCCTGCGGTGAACTTATGCTCTTCGAAAATGGCTTATTGTGATTCCCGATTATACTTAGAAACTCTCTCGCCTCTTGGTTTGATGATGTATCGGCTTGATACAGGGCAATGGGAGCATATTCCAGCTAAGTTCCCTAGATCTTTATTGGACGGTTACCTGGTTGCTGGAACTCAGAAGAGGTTGTTTCTCGTGGGAAGGATTGGCCTCTACAGTACCCTCCAAAGCATGAGGATATGGGAGCTTGATCACACGAAGGTTTCTTGGGTGGAGATAAGTAGAATGCCACCAAAGTACTTCCGAGCACTTTTGAGACTTTCGGCTGAGAGATTTGAGTGTTTTGGACAAGATAATTTGATCTGCTTTACGTCGTGGAATCAAGGAAAAAGTCTTCTGTATAATGTGAATAAGAAGATTTGGTCTTGGATTTCCGGGTGTGCTCTTCAGTCATGCAACAGCCAAGTGTGTTTTTACGAGCCAAGATTTGATGCATCTGTCCAGTGAACAATAATGATCCTCTGTTTCATTTGGCTGCTTCACAAAACATGTCAGAGATATCAAGTCGAAGAGCGTTTTGCGTGTACCTCCCACTGTTGATGAAGACTTCGTCGACAATGATATGCAACACCACCAAGAATAGCACTTTCAGGGAGAAAAACTGTAAGATAAACTTGTTTTTAGCTTTCTCTAAATTAGCATCCTCTGGATAAGAAAACTTTCTCTGTCTCTGTCTCTTCCACATGGAAAATATATAATGCTATCTATTAATTTGCTGTGCCTGTGTTGAAATTTCCTTTTCGTTATCTTACATTTTGAGCGTCACTTTGCAAATAATGACTTATTATAAAGAAAGGTTTAACTTTAACATTGGAATATAGATATGATCTTAAAGATTTGGGAAATTGTTACATATAAATCCAATATTAAATAAATTCTTCTAACTTGGAACTAGAAAAACAAGGTAATCTGGAAATGAGAGGAATTCTGGCTTTGATACACAGTCACACATTTCTCTACAGTTTAGCCAAATCATAGATACTGATAGGGTAAGAGTATTTGGTAGAGTTGCTGAAGGTATTTTCAGCTATGATTTTGTTGGCAATTTCTGTCGGATGAAATGCATCCCAAAAGACATATCGATGCCTATCCAAGCAAGGTTGCTGCAACGGAAGGCATGTTAAGGCTCCTCCATATCTCCCGTTGCCGCAGCATGCTTTGTTTGGTATAACAAAACCTGCAAAAAAAAAAGAGAGAACTAAGTTTTGATATTGAAATAAGGGTAAACCCCCTTAATCAGTAGATAGGTTGAGACCATTCTTACCATATCTAGAGGGATTTACAACCATATCATGAAAGAGATCATAGATGTCTTGATAGACAAAGTAAGATCCTGGAAGAGTTTTGTTGAGAGTATTTGGTAGATCTTTCAAGCGGCTATTGAACATCGAAACCAAATTATTGATCTTTGTCACACACCCGCTGTTGTTGGTGCCGCTTACCATAGATAACTGACTCGGTATGCAACCTAATGGTCCTGATCCAGCTAACATCATTTTTCTTGCACCTAAGTTGTACAGTCTCTGCCAAAATATATGTAAAAGAACACACTTTAAGCTTTCTGAGTATGAGATGAAAATTTGCGTCACTATTGTGAAGTTGTACTGTGAAAATAATGGGAGAGATTAATTTACTGATATTTGAGCAGAGAGAGTCTTGATCAGGAGGTTTGCATAGTCTTCTCCACTGTAGATTTGGCTGCTTGAGTATCTCTCAGGCATAAGGTAATTGTTGATGTAATCATTGCTTCCTATATTGATCCCAATGATCGATTTGGCAAGATACTTTCTCAGATCTGCAGGGTTTTGAAAGAAAGGCCTGAGCTTTAACTCTATCGTCATCTCAAACTGTGATATCTGTCCATTGAATGTAGTTCTTGCTCCCTGCAAAGACAAAGGTAAATCTATATGAAAACAAAAGGGAACACGTCAAGTCTTCATTTAGAAAAGGTTAAATTTTCTTGATCCTCACATAATGTTGACCAGTTTCGTCTAATATCCCAGCTGCTGCAGATGCATAGTTAAGCCCTCTCAAGACATTTTGCCCAATTGATAAAGGAGATAAGTATGGTGGCACCAATGGCAAACCGAGGTACATAGCTACATTAAGAACAACAATGTTTACATTTTACTGAGAAAAGTTAGATATAAAAGTAAATTTTCATGATCTTTTAGAGACTCAAGTTACCTCCATAATCGACAACTGTTCGGCCATTGCAGAAACGGCCAGTGGGGAAGCCAAAATCAATTCCATATGGGAGATAATTAGCTCGTGCAAGAGTGGGAATGTAATTGTTGTTTCCACTATCAACTAAGGAATCTCCAAAGACGAAGAAAGCTGGAGCAAGAGGATGATGATTTCTTGATAGGACATGGCCATAACTAAACCTGACAAACTCTAAGAACACAACACAAAACAACAAACTCTTCATGCTTAGTTACTATCTTTCTCTTTCTCTCTCTCAATCTCTCTCTCTGACTTTGGCTCAGGGGAGAAGCTTGTGAAGAAAACAGCTCCATATTATAAGAGGTGCCTAGTCCGGTTTAACAGATATGAAACCAATTAAACCACAGAGAAAATAAACCAATTCGATTTTAATGTCTAATATCCGAATAAACCGTGATAGGAACCAAAAAAAAAGAATTAACCAATCATTAACCATTTAAACGATTCAAACAAATTTCCAAAAGCTCAAATCCGAACCGAAACTATATCTAACCGAATAAACTGATATTCTGTTCTCTAACCGTTTCTTGATTTATAAACTGAAAAGCTATAAACCGGATGAAACAGAACCGAAACCGGATTATATATGTATGTATACATGTATTTAAGGGGATATAGAGGGAAACATGGTTACATGACATATGAGACAGTGTTTGTCTCAGACTTCAAGAGGAAGTGGTCGTGGTAAATGATCTCATGGAGTGTGGTGGTTAACTGTTACTGTTCTAAAAGATTTGTTTCTTCTTTTTTTTCATTTACTGCTTCATAAATTTTCTTACTCTTTTCTGCTTCTTTTCTATAGAGACAGCTTTTAGGAAGAGCCATCCCTTAACCTCCCACTTTTGTAAATCTGTTTTATAGTCATTGATGATTTTGCGCATAGCTTCTGATAGAACAAAGGTTACGTGACGACTTTGTAACTATTTAATGACGGTTTTTTTTTAGAATTTGTATATATCTAAACCGGTTTATTGTTTACGATAACCGGATAGATCTAACTAACATGATGATGAGTCTTAGAGTTTGTTTAGGCCTGAGTCCTTGGGTTTAGTGAAATTCATGATTCATCTCTGTTTCATTTGTACAAACACGAAAAGTAATTAACAGAGTATATTTATTTGAAAACGACATACTGTATGATGATGTTAATAAAATGCATAGTAGCTCATCGTTAATGTTTTAAAATTTGTGAAAGTTTTCGAGGAGCGACCAGAATCGGAGAACTCGTCCTCCTGACTGAGAAAGAATATATCAAATTCGATGTTAAAACAAGTAATAATGTAGTAGTAGATTAATGGTCCAACAAAGCATATGTTTTAGCTAATCGATGGCTGAAAGGGATCTTTTTGGGCAACTATAATTCTTTATCTTAAATCAAGCTAATAAGGTTTTAGTTATAAAGATTAAGAATTTAAGACTAGCTTCAAAACTAAAACTAAACCTGCTTTATCGGCTATAAACAGCAATGAAGCAGACTAGCTTCGAAATTAGTTTACCGGGATTTTAATCTTCGTAAAAAAAAAAAATGTTTTTAAAATTCTGGACCATATTTTTATTTTTGTTTTAGTTTCTCAACAAATACTTACTTAATTATAACCTCCTTACAGTTACCAAGGAGAAGTATCTTTTTTTGTCGGAAACCCCTAGCTAGCCTCTTGTTTTCACAAATCAATTATAACACATATCTTCATATATAATTAGGGTCAAATGTTGAAGAACTAATATATATCTTGCAAAACAGCGTAAGTACTATAAGTAGAACCTCCAGATAATATGAGCCAATGGTGAAGTTACCGACTTTCGTTGTAGGGTTTCTCTTCCTCGTTTATCTTCTTCATGAGCTTCGAGGTTTGAATCTACTCATTATTTTGAATATTTGTTGGTGACGATGTATTTACATACATATAATGTACGCATATTCTGTCCTGGTAAACATGCTTCTTCTCTTCATAAACATATATACAGCGAACCAAACCTATCGATAGTTACAAGTATGAAAGTTTTACATTTCGCACAATATCCATGATTCAAAACTTATGTACTAATTTTAATATGTAAATGACGTAAAATCTCTATTTTTGAATAAATCAGTTTCACAATCTCGTACAATATCCATGATTCTAAATTTACGTATTTCTTTTACTTTGTAAATGTACTAGAATCTCTACTGTAAAATACATCTTGACATTTTTTAATACATGTAGGTGGATATCTTGCTGAAGATCTCTTGATGGAACGGAAGGTAATTAACAAAGTTTGAATTGAAGTAACTTTTGGTTTTATATCCATAAAAGGTGAATGATTTTCATTTATCAATAACAACTAAAAGTAGACAAATATCATGTCGTTCAATCCATTTAAACTTGTTTCAAGTCCGGTTAAATAACAGATATCTTAATTTCCTCCTTTTTTTGTTCAATTGCAGTTTCCAAATATCATTTAAAATTAAACTATTTAAACTAGATAGAGTTTCATTTCGGTTCTCGGATCAATTTCATTTTTTTTAAATCAATTTTAGTTTTTTTTTCGTATCAAGTCAATTCAATTTAATTATCTGTATTAACACGCCTAACAATTCATATATATTTATCTTATTGTTATGTGGTTTTTGTATAACATTCACACTTTCACAGTTAAAATATCTACAAGGAATCGAATCCAAAAATGTAGCAACTCGATCGTTGAAAGATTCAATGTCGAGAGACATAGAAAGAGAGGTTGATAATCTAATGAGGCATGAATATCCTTCACCGGTGAAGCCGAAGAAAAGAACTCCAGTTCACAATGGCATGCCTCTTAATGGTCATTGATTAACTTTTGTTTTACTGCTCCTTTAATTCTTAGTTTAATTTCAGAAAAAATATTAGTTTAATAAGTTTGTTAAAATGGATGTATCATGTAATGCTGAATATAAGTATATTACTTATTAAGGGTTTTTACTTATAAAGGGGTTATTTGATGGTTTAGTGTTTTGTTGCTTTGGAGTTTTTATTTCGTTATATCATAGTTTCGGAGATACTTAAATGTTCAAATTAGTATATGTGACTTGTTTATTTTATATAAACTTTATTTTATCTACTGGATTGAAAAGAAATAAAAGTATCTTGTAATTGGCAATACTTTGATACGACAACATATGAACATACATATTATACATATGAAATATTGTGACATTTCTCAAACTTTATTAGGAAATAAAATGTGGAAATATTGGTATATATGTTCAAAAGCAGACCAAGCTGGATTTAGTCAAGTCATCAATTCTGAACCTTTGACTGAGCAATATCAATTATATAATATGATTTTGCACCACCAACTTGAAGTACAATTTTTATTTTTATATTAGGCATTTGGGTCATGCTTCAAAAGTTAAAATCATTCACCCCCGTACGTGAATTAAAAAAAAGTAATACTCAGTTTCACAAAGATTGTTTCTGACATTATTTTTTTTTTCAAAAAAATGTCGTTTTAGAATTCCAATGTAATTTTTAACATAAAATACCATTTTTAACCTCAAGAGTCATTTTCTGCAAATTAATAAGGGTATAAAAGACTTTTTATCTTATTTCTTAATTTGTGTGAAGAATGTCAAAACGACACTCTTTGTGAAACGGAGGAAGTATACAGTAATCAAATGCAAAGTCAAATGTTTTACTGATTCTTATTTTTTTTGGTCTAAGATGTTAAGCAAGAACTCTTATTGTATTGTAAATAACACTTTTGAGTTAACACAACAATGATAGAAGCAAGAGCTTAGCATATCACATTTGAATAAGTAAATAAAATGACTGTAACAAAAAAAAAATCATATAACAAATACAGGAGCTTAAAGGATAGAACGTGACTGTCAAATAACTAGTATATACACGATTTTACAGAAAATATACAATATATACATGAACATAGCTTATTCATAGTATGATAATATATTTTTTGCTTGTTGAAAAAATGATATATTTTTTATTGGGTAGAGTCTCGATTCAAATTTGATTGTAATTCTTGAGAAACATTTTTTTTTCCTTAAGAGAGGTTAAGCAATAGTGGTCTTTTTGAGTTTTTTTTTCCTTGTAGTGTTGTTGGTTTTCTGATTTTCTCGGTATATGGTTTTACATGATTTTTCTGACAGTTCTTGTAATTGATCAAATGTAAGATTGTCTTGCTATAGAGTTCAAAATTTGATATCTTCTTATGTAAACAATTCGGTGCTGAATCCAATTGGCTCTTTTGAGTTTAACATTTTATCATGGGATCTCTAATTCTTCCGGAGTTTTTATTAGCAACAAAAAAATTGATAAGAAACATTAATTTTTAATGCTATACATAAAGTATACCAAAAAATGTTTTAATCTCATTTTCAAAGTAAGAATGTTTTAATAAACGCGTTTTAAAGTCAACAAGTATTCTCTGTGAAAAAAAGGAAAAAGAATACTAACAAACAATTAAATGCTGCAGTTTTGCTCTCTCTGTTCCCTTCATCAGTTTACTTTTATGGACGAGGTCCTCATGTAGATAGATTTTGACTTTGTTTAAAACCGGAAGAAGAAGAAGAAGAAGAGAACACTACAATCTTGCACAGATCAAACACGCAGATCTTTGCTTTCGCTTTCTCCTGGCTAGGTAAGTAATAAGAGTGTTCATTGGCTTTTCTAGGATTTCATTTTTTCGATTCTTGGAAGGTAAAGTAGGCTTCTGGGTTGGTATTTTTCTTTTCTTCTTTTTCTTATGTCGAGATTTCTGATCGAACCCATTTTTATTTTGCTTAGCTGGGAGGAAAATATAATCTTCCTTAAAAGAAAATTCGAGGTCAGTAATGTTAGAGAACAATTTGTGATCTTGGGCTTTGAATCTGTGAAACCGAAACAATCACTTATTTCCCTGCGACTAAGGTTGCGTCTTAACGCTAGGTTTTCGTCTAGTAAAGAAAAAAGGTGGGATCTTTGATCTCTATCCAATGTTGTTATATAACAGATACAATTTGAAGCAAAAATTGAATCTTTTTTGCTCATTCCCACTTTTGGAAATAGCTAACAATTAGTTTATGAGAATCACTGGGAAGATTTTATTATTGAGTTGATTGATGCCAATCCTGTGATTTTCCTATGCTTGTTAATGGATCTTTGATGTGTGAAGGAGATTTTGTTGAAGTTCTTCTCTTGTTGCATAAATCACCGATGTTTGTAACCTTCTTTAGCTAGTTTACCAAACATGGAGTTCATATACAAATGTCTAGATGATTATCTTGTTACAGATTGGTTTCATATTAAATGTCCAGTATTAATGTGTATGATGGTCACTTGGTCAGGCTTCATGATGCAGAATCTTGATTGTAAACTTTTTGCAGGGAAAAAAAAGAGCCATTCTTTGGATTCAACTCAATTATGGTTTGCGAAATGATATCAAAATGGTGAATAGAAGTGATTTGGTAGTGATTGGCATTTCGGTTGGGCTTGCACTTGGTCTCTTGCTAGCTCTTCTTTTATTCTTCGCCATAAAATGGTACAATGATCGCTCTCACCTAAGGCGATGCGCTAATGAGCAGAACATCCCGACTCTACCCGTTCACACTCCTAAAAGAGGCGTAGTAATCCCTGATGATAGCTCAAACACAGCATCGTTGCAGCCACCTGAGAGTGAAGCACCAACTCAACATCAGCCATGGTGGAACAACCATAACAAAGATCTCACTGTATCTGCATCCGGCATACCTAAATACCACTACAAGTGAGTATTCTGTCCAAAGCTTGGCTTTGCATGAATCTTTTATTGTGTTTGTAGTAGCTTATGGTGTAAAGTTCTTTAGGGATATTCAGAAGGCAACACAAAATTTCACAACCATTCTTGGACAAGGATCTTTTGGACCTGTGTACAAAGCGATAATGCCCAATGGAGGTTTAGCTGCGGCAAAGGTTCATGCCTCTAATTCAAGTCAAGGGGATAGAGAGTTTCAAACCGAGGTAAGTGTATCGATAAGCTCAATTCCATGCTCCATGCATAATGAAGATAACAGAGCAGTGTTGGTTTTATTTGTTTCCAGGTATCCTTACTTGGGAGGCTGCATCACCGGAATCTTGTGAACTTGGTAGGATACTGTGTCGACAAAAGTCACCGGATGTTAATCTATGAGTTCATGAGTAATGGAAGCTTGGAGAATCGTTTGTATGGCGGTGAGTCATCCTCTGATTCCCTAAACCGGTATTAGTCGCAGCAGGAGAATGATTACTCTTTAAGTGTTTCACAAGATTTTCTACTTTGCTTTTCAGGTGAAGAAACGCAAGTCTTGAACTGGGAAGAGCGGCTTCAAATTGCTCTTGACATCTCCCACGGCATTGAATACCTTCACGAAGGGGCCGTGCCTCCGGTTATTCACCGTGATCTTAAGTCAGCAAACATATTGTTAGATCACTCCATGAGAGCTAAAGTAAGAGAGCAAAAATGTTGAATACGCTTACTCAACACTGTTTGGTTAAATCTTTAAAGTTGTTTTTTTATACTTTTGGTAGGTTGCTGATTTCGGGTTGTCCAAAGAGATGGTTTTTGATAGAATGAATTCAGGATTGAAAGGCACTCACGGATACATGGATCCAACATACATTTCGACTAACAAATACACGATGAAGAGTGACATTTACAGTTTTGGTGTCATCATCCTTGAGCTCATCACTGCAATCCACCCTCAACAGAATCTGATGGAATACATTAACCTGGTAAGTTAAAATTAGTAAACTGAATCAACCCAAAACATTGTTTTCTGCGCCAAAATTTGGGTTTTGATTTGGGAAAATTGTCATGAAAAGCATCAACTTTTAAATTATGGCCAATCAAAGCATGAACTTCGTAGTTGCCATTTTAAATCATCAACTTTAATTGATTTTTCTTTTAAATCTTGAACTTGTGTTGATCAAGCCATTTGAGACATGTCGTTAAGTGCACTAACAGTCACAGTAAACGGAGTCTTTCATCCGTTAAATCATCAACTTTAAAACGACGTCATTTGCTGTTTGATAAAAAAATCCCAAATTGACTTTACAATCCCTAAATCGATATATCCCCAATTCGATTCTCTCATCTTCTTTCGATTTCGATTGATAAAAAGCCTTCCAGAATTCTCTTGTGTTTTAGATGTAAAGATGGTTACATTTAATCCACAATGATAATTCGAAGTAAACCCTCGACTCACGACTTCGCAAGCAAAATTCTCAGTCCTGGAATTCATCTGGCACAGAAAAGAAGGCAAATTAGAGGAGAAATCAAGTTGGGAGAAATAAGAAATCGAGTAAACTAAGAGAGGGTTTGTGAAATCGATTTCAATTTCGTGAAATTGAGAGAGAAATAGCTTTAGAGATTGTAAAATCGAATTAGGGATTTTTTACCAAACAGTGAATAACGTCATTTAAGGTTAAAAGATAGTTATTAGCAGATGAAAGACTCCGTTTACTGTGACTGTTAGTGCATTTAACAACATGCCTCAAATGGCTTGGTCAACACAAGTTCAAGATTTAAAAGAAAAGTCAAGTAAAGTTGATGATTTATAATGGCAACTATGAAGTTCATGCTTATGCTTTGATTGGCCATAATTTGAAAGTTGATGCTTTTTATGACAATTTTCCCGTTTTGATTTGGTATAGAACTTTCCAACCCCATTAAACCAAACAAACCGGAGACTAAAAACGCTCCAAAATTCAGTGAGTGACTGTGTGATCATTGCTTCTGTTTTCTTGATGATTAGGCTTCGATGAGTCCAGATGGTATCGACGAGATAGTCGATCAGAAACTAGAAGGCAATGCAAGCATTGAAGAAGTGAGGTTAATGGCAAAGATTGCAAACAGGTGTGTGCATAAGACACCAAGAAAAAGACCATCCATTGGTGAAGTCACACAGTTCATACTAAAGATCAAACAAGGTCGGTCTCGAGGAAGAAGACAGGACACAATGTCTTCATCGTTTGGTGTTATAGATGGAGAAGATATGTCAAGGGTTATAAGCAGGATTAAGGATCAGCATGTTGAGTTAGGGTTATTGGCTGGTGTTAAAGAAGAGGATCATCAAGAGAGGAGGAATACAACAACACTGTAACTCTCTACTCTTTTAGGAGGACGTCTTTTTGTACATATATTACCACATGAGTCTCTTTCTACCTTTTCTGCAAAAAGAGAGTTTTTGCTTGCTGACCCAAAAAAAAAAACAAACAAACAAACAATGAGAGGTTCTGTTTCAAAAAAACTCTCAACTAAATATATATATTCTTAATTCATTTTGAGTTAGCTTTCTTGTGTGTAATTTTCTATCTGAAAACTCGTTACCAAAGAAAATAAGTAATCTTGAATGATTGTCGCATATTTCACGTGACAGAATTATATATCATAGCTACCACACAAGTTTTACGTGTAATTTACGTAAAATACTATATTTGACATTTGGACTCTTACCATTTTATTAGATTTTTCAAAATAAGGGTTTAGTTTTTATCTCAGTGGATATGAAATAGGAGCCAAAAAGATATACTGTCTATTACAAAATCTAAAAAACTATGTGACATAGGAGCCATAAAAAAAAAAATAAGAGGAACTAACCAACTAAAATTAGAATCACATCAATAGATTATAAAAACGAAAATTTAATCTGTAAATTATCATCTTCACAAACAATTGAAACCCCACTAACAACAGCCACCTACTATTTGAACCCGTCAATAAATAATGATATCTTGATCAACTTTTTGTGTACTTGTTGTGCTGCGAAAGCTATGTGTCTCGGTGGATCCAACACTATTAAATTCCAATTAATAAGAAATTTAAGGGAGCTGTTGACAAATAAAAAGAAGCTAGTGAGACACATCGAAACGGCTAGTGATATAAAATTCATTTGAAGAAACCAGTATAATCATTCTGTTGAAATATCTTTGTAGATCTTAATTTGCAATGAAGGGAAATATGTTTACAGTGTCAAAGAAGTTGTACAGATGAGAGAAAGCAAAAAAAGATCGTGTGGAGATAAGAGAATGAGTTTGGTATGATAAGATCAGGAACCTCTAAGAAATTTGATGAGTGGTACATGAATTGAAATTTCTTGGATCACCCGTTGATAGGAGTATAAAATAAAGCTATTAAATATTTCTTGGATCACTTGTATAATTATTAGAATATTTTATTTTTCTTGGATCATTCGAATACACTTGAAAACTATGTACTACTGCTATCAATCTATTCAAATCTATATTTTTCTCGAGATATAAAATTCTGATTTGATTTTCTTGAAATAATTTAGACTAGTAATATTTTGTAAATGGTTTTAAAACGAACATAATGGGTTAGCCAGTCTCCATTTTTCTCTCCAAATGATTGCGAAAATTGAAATGACTTGGTTGGTTCTAAACAAAATAATGCGAAAGGTGTTTTGGTTGGCTTTGAACTTTGGAACTCAAAAGTACTTTTCAACACATAAAATAGGTGAGAATTAGTGTTTCGAGTAATGGTGGAGCGGACTCCACTTTTTAGGTGTTTAGGTAGTGGATCATATTAAATGAGTAGGTAAAATTAGTGTTCTTGTACTAACCAATATGATTAGACATGAATTTCATAGCCTAAAACATGAATTATTTGTTGACAAGAAAAAGAAAAAAAACATGAGTTGTATTTTATATAGTCGACTACGAAAATTTTGAATTTTTATTTGATCATCTATAATTATGATTTTGGGTTAGTATATCTTCTTTTTTTGGTCATTTCAATTTTCTATACCCCCATAAGATTCTTTGAACATATTATCAATTATTCCATCTGTTTCACAAAGAGTGTCATTAAAAAAAAAAATTCATAAAGAGTGTCACTTTATACTTTCAATGCAAAAATTCAAACAAAATTCCAAAGTTAATTTATTGATTCAATGTATTAATTAGAAAGATAAAATAATTTAGTATATTAATTAGGGGTAATATAAACATATTACTTTTTAAATATGTGTTATATTACTTTTTTTAATATGTGTGAAATGTATTTAAAAAGACTCTTTATGAAACAGAGGAAGTATTAAATTTAGGCAACTAATTGTTTAAACAGTTTCTTAGAACAATGTAACTTGTGCAATCTGAAAACTGTCATTTGTTACTAGTTACTCAATTTATCTGAATTTCCATTAAAAAAAAAAAAATGGTTCTCTTTATACAGACAACATTTGCTATCAATAGAAAGTACTAATGTTGAAAATTGGGACTATGTTTATGATGAGGGGAAATAATTATCTGAAATATTGTATGTATACAAATGTAACCAAGCGTTAATTACATAAAATGGCACTTATTATTTAGCTAACAAAACTGGCAAGGCCATGGATGCCAAACTTTACAATGTAAGCTTCAATCAACTTTTCTCTCCATCCATGAAAGCGTTTTCAGAAATCTATTCACCAAGAGCCCTAAATAACTTCAATCTGTAAAACTCACTGTAACTTCATTTTTCAGACAGTATATTAGAGCTTTTAACCCAAAATCTCAGCCGTTCTCTCGCCAATAGCGAGGTAAACATCTTCAAAAGACTCTCAATGGTTCATCTAACAGCTGGAGACATTCTTGCGGGTTGGAGTAGAAGTAGTCTTCTTCCTTGGGTTTATTGGGAATCACTAACCGTCTCTTTGGGCTTCCCATTCGAGTATAGTGAAACGCCTTCACCGTGGATGAGAACACATCCCAAGTCAACAATCCTTCAGTATATTCATCTATCAGCTTAACTAGGAACCTCCTATTCAGCTGAATTGTCTTCTTGAACCCCAAGAATCTGGAAAAACAAAAATGTTGTTAGCCTCAGGATGATGAATACGGGAAGACAGAAGAACAACGGTAACGATATTTCACCTGCGATGACCTTCAACGACTCTTGCCATGTTCCCATCATTGGTTGGAACAAAGATATCGCTCTCTAGAGCCACTAGGTAATCAAGTGCGGCCATTTGAGATGAATGGTTCCGACAAAAATCCAGATCAGAGGGTTCTAGTAGGGTTTCTTTCCGGACCTGAGTTAAGTTAAGATAATGGAGTCAATGGAAGATATAAGGTTGACAAAATTTTAGACCATGAAATTGACTAACTTACCACATTTGGGAAAGCGTCTGTTAAAGCCTTCATCCGCCTTTGACCACCGTAGATTTCTCCAGCAGCTATGTAAATTTGAACATTGCGGTCAATACCCAACGCAGTCAGCGTGAGAGCGGTTTCCTCAGGAGTTAAAGGGCAAAGGCCTTCTTTCCTCTTCAGCTCAGAGTTTATGACTTTCTCTTTCCACCATGGATAAGCATATCTACCAAATAAAGATATAACACAAATCATTCAATATCCATCAACGCTGGAACAAAAATAAAGAAGATTTTCAGTTGTTTTTGTACCTCATTCTTGTTAGTTCTTCTTCTTCCTCGGGGTTGCAACCATGTGAGCAACCGGAAAATGCTAACATATCCATCTCGTATCTGAGATGTAGGACGAGAAAGGGACCTTTCTCTCTCAGAATCTTGACTACTCGTCTACCTAATTCTTCTATTTGAGGAGTAAACTTAAGCCCGTTGAAATTCACTCGGCACCTGAGCTTCTGAACCTCCGCAGGCAGTCCATTATTAGCGAGTCTTGAATCGGTTTTGTTCAGATGTAAAACCTTATGCTTCTTCACCAATGGAAGAATCTGTTCCGGTTTGAAGAGTTAACAAAAAGAGTTAGGTACAGAGAGCAAAGTGTAGACTAATCTTGATTAATAATAAAAGTATATATAGCAAACTTCGAAAATTAACCTGATTTTGGTAGTAAGACATGTTTGACCAACTAATAGGAGGCATTTCGTGGTACATTCCAAGCTCAACCCTTTTCTTAAGCCTTGGAGGTAACTCTTTGAGTATTCGAACTTCATCTCTTAACGAAGTTATGAAGTGATCCACATCGAAAATGTCTTTAAACTCACTGCCCCGGAAAAGAAAACATATTAAGATATTGTCCAATTGGAAAAAAAACAGAGCCAAAAGAAGCTTCAAGTGAGATATGATGACATACATACCTTGGATCGTTCCAAAACGAGGTCTTGTCAAGCTCAGGAACAATAAGTGTGACATTCATGAATCTTGCAACAGTTACCATATCGCATATCTGCAGAAAGCCAGACCAAAAAGAAAGTGAGAAAATCAAAACACTGTAAAAGCTGAAAACTTTGCAAAGAACGATTAAGCTCTCATCTTACTGCAGCTCGCATTTGATTGAGTCCACCATTGCAAGAAACCATGAGATAACCATTGTTCTGGTATAACCCTGAGAAGAAAAACAAAAGATTAGCTACATTATTCGATTTAAACCACAAAGATTTTATCAATCAATCAATCTTCTCTGGAAGAACTTACTTTTAGGGGGAAGGGCGATTTTGGTGGGAAGAGACTTGATTTCTGCGGCGGCCATGGACAGATCATTGTGATTGAAACAAGAAGGCCAACCTTTGAACAGTCTCGGTCCCCACATCTCTCCCAAAGCCATCAAATGAACAAAGCAGCTCCAGAGCAACAAAATGGTAACAGCACGAATCATCCATAGGCTCATACGAGACCTCGAAACAAATGAGCTTTTGAGTTTCTCAACCTTACTATCTCCTAAAAGCCTAACCTTCATCTCCCAGAGTTTCCTGTGGTAAAGAAACTTCTCCATTTTACACATTTTTGTCATTACCTACCCTCACCACCCCCTTTTTCTTCTCACAGAGATTCTCTCAGAGGAATTTCATCGAACACATCATCACTCAACTTAGACTCTTTCTTTTTCAATTAAAAGGGAATATATATTAAAAAACGGAAGAAGGACGAGAAGAAAACAATATAGTAATAGTTTTGGAATATATCTGCTGGAGATTACTTATCCTAATAACACCCAGAGATATATAATCTCCACACTGTGAGCATTAATCACACCTCGAAAAACCCAGATTTTTTCGTTTAAGTAGCCACGATCGTCGCCTTAATCTGACGGAAACCCAGATCTTGCTCAATTAAATATAAGAAAAATGAGAAGAATCTCAGGTTTAATTAAGAAGCGAGAAGAATGACAACTTTCAACTCTCAGCAGCAGCACGAGAACAAGATCTCAGGTGAAGGAATCGCTTTAAGTTACAGATAAATGAGAGAAGTCTTTGAAATTCCGCAATGGCGATTGATCCTTTTAAACTTCTCTCAATGTAGCCGCAGAGAAAATAGAAATGGAAAAAGGAGGAATAGTTTAATTCGTGAGAATGTTTTGCTTATTTGGTCGACGAGATTCTCCGTCGAAGTTCACCTGAGAATAAAGATAAAGCACGTCGGAGAAGATATAGGGAGTAGATCGGTGTGGGGAAACAAAAAAAAATAAAAAGAGACAAGAATGTGCAAATCAGCAAAAAGGAAAAAAATTTCTACCAGGGAAGGAAAAGAAAAACGGTCTTTAGGTTTTTTCATTTTTGTCGGCAAAAACTGTGATTTATAGTGTTTTATTTTTTAAAAAAAAACCGTAATAGTGAGAAATATTTCCTGCAATATTGTTTGGGATTGTTTTTGTGATTTTTTAACAAAGCCAAAGTAGAGCTTCAACTACATTAACTAAAAATAAAATAAATTCTCTTTTTCGGCTTTACATTAGATTATCTTTTTTGTCGTACATATATGCACGCCTTGATATGTATTTTGAATAAATTAATCTGAATTTTGGTTGACCAAATACATTCAATCTATTTTTTAGTTTTCTTTTCTAATGGGGGTAAACTATTTGGTGGAAATTAAATAATATTTTTCTAGTTATCTAAACCACATTAGCAAATCTTGCCTCCAAACTAATTCCGTCGTTAAGCAAACTAATCCACAAGTTAACTGTCAAAACTATTAAGAAAAAAATATATCTGAATTGATGTCATACAATACAATAATCAAATGTGTAAATCGTGAAATGTTTAGATCCTGTCCAAAACCAATCACTTCAAAATAGAAATGAGTTTTCTTTCATTTAAGATACTTTACCTTCATAAATTCAAAAAAAATATATTGAAACCTAAATAAGATTCGACTGAAAACAAAAATTTCAAGCCATTTAAATCCTATCAAAACAATTCGTACGTACATATTCGGTTTCATGTTGATCAGATATATTTTGAACTAAAAATAAATATCATAAATAGAGATCTAATAATATATACACCCTACAAGTTTAAATGATATATATTTTTCTAAGAAAAAACTGAAGAATCCCGAAACTTCATATGCTTAGTTTATTTTTTGTGCAACCATATTTATACACCCTACAAGTGAATTTATTTTTTGTGCAACCATATTTATTAGAATAATATTTTTTTCCTTTATTTGGATTCTCCATTTTGTCTCATTTTCTATCGACGTAAATCAAACTAATACGGCAACTTGATTTTTTTTACATGAAATACGGCAAACTGATTTTTTGTCGGTTTACAGTGTATTATATACGGCAATTCGAAATGGCATATTCTAGACTTGTGGATCTCTCGTTTTGTGACAGCCATGGACAAAGAGAGATTCGAAGAACTATTGAATATTTGGCAAATAAATACTAAATAAAAGAGATGTTCAAAAAAAAAAAACTAAATAAAAGTAGTTCTACAGTATGTATAATAATCAAACACCGAGATGGACCAATTATTTGCGCACACACACACAAACAAAATAAGATGGACCAACTCTATTCATTGTTCACAGTTGTCATTTGTCAATCCAAAATAAATATCAAAAAAGTTTGAGGATGTGTGATATGTTTATTATTTTTACAGAGTTCAACGACTAAAAATCCGTAAATAATATATAACAACCTTTTTTTTGGCAAATTAAACAACTTAAACTAGCTAGCTTGTTACCTTGACTTCGGTTGAAGCATGGTATAAATCTGTCCCCGGGCCGTACGAATTATCATTTCCAACATTATAAATTCGAGATATCGAAAATGTGTGTGTATATTGTAAATCTGAGAGAAGGAAGCAGGCTTTTGTTTTCTTACAGCAGAAGGGTTTAAGGTTTCTTTTTTTTATGTGTGTGTGTGTGTGTGAGGGGATTCAGGAGTACTTATAGAAAACAAATGGATGAATGCATAAGAAGAAATCAATATGTGTCGTTTTGAAACAAAGTAACGAATATAAATAGATACATTTTAAAGTTTTGTACACCATCGATATAACCAAATTAAGATGGTTTTTTGGACGGGCTATATTTTATTTGGTTTTGAAATTTGATAATTTTCTGATTCGGGATGATTGTAAATCTTTAGTTAAAAAATCATGTTCTATTTAAGTGATAGTTCTAAAATACAAAATTAAAATTTGGTTGTATTCCATTATCAGTTCTGAAATAAGCTACATATTTTAACATATTGCCATTTTTGTAAAAAGAATCCAACAACTAGTCTTAAATAGAAGACAAAAAACATAAATAATTGCTTTTATATTTTTCAATCTAATAATAACGACATTTAAAACTTTGACGATATATTTTCAATAAATTATGATTTGAACTCATTAAACATATGTCATATGTGAGAGGAATCACAAATTTATCCCCAAAGAAAGGAACTAACCACAATTTCTAGAGTTACAGCGGCAGTAGACTTTAAGCAATGGTCTCCCGGCAGGTCAGGTTTAAACTTTAAAGACAGTGAAAGATCAAAATGTAATTATAACTTAAAAAAAAAAAGTGAAGACAATTCTAAAAAAGAGAAATGTGTACACGTGTAGATGTGAAGTTATGAATATTGATCAGGTTATAAATACAAGTAAACCTCACGATTACATCAACGAATAAATAATAGTACTATATAAATGCTGTTCGTTCGGTTATAAAATATCGATCAATCTCCTTCATGTTTGCTATTCGAAACTGTTTTGTTAATTAAATACTATACTTATATTTATAGCAAATCGTGTATAACGTCATTTGATATGTATGTAAGCATGTGTTATATATATACTGGAAATGAATCGAAGGCCAGCAATGATTGGAACAGCATCTTCTTGCCTGAATTTTTATTTCTTTTAACTTGGAGTCGAAAGAACTTCAATTACAATATAAATTGCTTAAGAAAACAAATATTAATGTCAAATTTTTTTCTCTCTATATAGGGAGAGGCATATCGGTTCCGTCGGTGTGCCTTTTAAATTAATATATTACTTTATATGGTCGATTCTCTATCCGTAATTAAATTTTGATGTTGTAATTGGTAAATGAATCATGACTTATAATCAATAAAAACCATTAAAAGAGACATCCAGCTATTTACATAATATATTTCCATGTAAGTTTTTTTTTTTTTTGGTATGATGATCCATGTAAGTTTTTTTGGTAAACATGATCCATGTAAGTTAGTAGTTAAATATAAACAGATGTTATAACTGAGCTACATCTAACTTTTTTTACATGTGCATGTGAGGTGGCTGTGAGCTACATTGTAGAACAACCAGTTGCAATTTTTTTGGCCAAGATACATAAACGACAACTAAATCATGCATGCATGTTAGTGTAACACTAATATTTACCAGTTACTAACAGATATCGGTAGAATGATCATCTTTCCTAGTAGTTGTGGAATGAATGCGAATTTTAAGAAGGTGTTGGAGTTTAGTTTGTCGTTAACGTCGAATTCTCATCATTATTAGATGCGATGTCTTTGAAAAGTTTAGAATCGACGAATTATCATTAAAAACCTGAAAATAATATATGCTATATATCTTCTATGACCATATACGTTCCACCGACATCGGACATTACATTGCTGTCGGACTTAATTATTTATTTTGCTAAAAATTAATACATTTTTCCAATGGGAAATATAAGACTTTAACATATTTTTATAAATAACTGCTGTAAATGTCATTTATATCCAAAAATTTACAAGAAAACAGAGAGTAAAACGTGTAATATTCGTAGGTATCATCAAATACTTCCTTTCTATTTAATTTAAGTCTATGTATTTAGAGTTAATTAACTATTTTGAGTAACATGTTATTGACATCTTTTTCCCCCAGGTCACAATCGAGAGAAAAAAAAACTAAAAAGGTAGTTTATATATAAGCTATATAGTAAGCCAGTTACTAAAAGAAAAGTTATATAAGTGTTAATGCTTAAACAATTTCTTAACGATATTCTAAAGTACGTACAGAAGTAGTCAGATCTAAGAAAAGAACAACAAAATAAATGAAGTAGACCCTTTTTAATGTTTTGCTTGAAATAGAACAGACACGTATTGTAAGGAAACCAAATAACTGTAAAGATAACTAAAACGAAAAATATTTAGTTGAAAACGGAATTAACAATCAATATGCCCACGAAAACTCTGTCGGTGGCTCAATAGTCTCACTCAACTTTCAAGCCTATGCGTGGGCGTGCGTGTTGTGTATATGTCCACGCCAACGTGTGCGCGCATTTGATTTGATTTGATCTGATTTTTTTTTTCAATCATTGATAGTTTTTTTTTTTTTCACTACAAACTTTTTATTATAAACATAAACGATTACAGATTACAGTTTTGGAATAGAAGGATGGAATACAGATTTGAAATACAAAGCCAGCGGAAAACTAGAATTTCCCGGAGTCAAAGCCAAATACATAAGAGACATAAGATGAGATACTAAAGTCAAAAGTGAAAAGCTAGAAATCATCGGGAAAGTCGGAAGAGATCAATAGACATGGCTAGCTCAGAAGACGCTGCCGAGAAAATCTACAACCGAAAACGGAAGAGACCGAAGGATAGAAGAAACCGCAAAAAAGAAGCCTAAATAAAATGATTATCTTGGATAATAAAAAACACCGGACGAGAATCTAAACACCATTGATAGTTTAGAAGTTTATATTTTGTCCAATGCGCATTATCAATTTTTATAGATTCTCATTATTCAAAAACCTAATTCTTCTCTTTATTTTCTTCTTATACGGTAGTGGTGGTGGTTTGATTATTTTCTAACAACAACAGTTCAATACTTTCCAATTTTTCAAAGTACTCTCAGTTCGTTTCCTAGTGAAATCTTACAACCATTAAATATTTTTTTTTAATGTTATATTACGTGCTTTAGATAGAAAATCAATTAACAATGAAACTTGAAACTATAAGCTCATACTACATCGACCCTACTGTATGGGTTTTAAGTTATTTCTGTATTTGGAAAACCTAACAATTTTACTCAAGATAATAATGACCATTTGGTTCCATTTTAAATTGAAGTCCCGTTTTAGGGTCGACTCTATATTTTGTAGGACCAATTACCAATAAATTAATAATTTGAACAAAACATAACAAATAACAAATGCACAAGACGCCCAAATGAATAAGATTTAGTTCTGCCCAATTTGTATGGGCCTTAGAGGCCTTACAATTAATCAGTCCGTGGGTTTAACCTTTCTTCTTCTTCCTCGATTAGGGTTCTGATTTATCTCCTCTCTGCCTTTAGGTTCTGCTCAAAAACCTCACCTCCTTTTTAGGTTGATTATCTTTGCTCTGCGCCGCCGCGAATTCTCTCTTAATCTCACTCAATAATCCCTCCCAGGTAGGCTTCTTCGTTGTTTACTCTTAGACCAGTAGTACAGAGATTGATGGTTGTTCTCGTTTTATTGATTAATTGGGATTTTATCAATCGTTGTGCCTAATTTCGCATAGTTTGCGTACCCTCAGAAACGTCCGTGATGAGGAAGTTAAAGCCCCATGAGAAGAAGCTTCTGAAGAAAGTAAATTTCTTAGTATGGAAAAGAGAAGGTGGGCATCGGGAACACCTAATTACCCATCGATACCACATGGGAGAGCGTGATGATTACAAAAAGTTCGTTTTTTTTTTAATTTGTTCATACACTCTCAATGCTCATTTACTTTTTTTTTATTCTTCCAGCTTCAAGTTTTATTTGTGATGAACATTGGCTTTCTGATTCTTGAGGACTATTTTGCCAGGTATTCAGGTTTGTGTAGGATGGTGCAGAAACTGACGAATGTGTTGAAGCAGATGGATCCAGCTGATCCTTTTCGGATTCAGATGACAGATACGCTTTTGGAGAAGCTGTGAGTTTTACTTACCAGCGTGTGCACCTTTAGAGTTTTTACAAGCAATGTCTCTTTGGTTTCCTCTAGATTTTAGGTCTTTGAACAAGAGAGAATTTTCTGCAGCTTTTACATCTCTCTTCCCTATCTGTTTCTTATAATATAGCAACGAGAGGTCATCTTAGAGACCTCTGGTGTTTTCTCTGTTTAACTACCTGCAGAGACGGATGAATTTGGACTTCATACTTTATAAGCTGATTATGTTAGGACCGTGGTTTTGCAATTTCTTAGAGGTTGAATGTCATCCTGGTATTGGTCTAATTCTTCTCTGGTTAGCAGTCTAGAGGAGTAGTTTGAGTCCGGTTTCTTACAAAATCTGTTTCTTCATTAGCTTCTATGTAGAGCTAGCTAAGTTACTGTATAGCTATCAGGAACCGTACTGCTTATGTATAAAAAAAAATGGCCATTCTACTGATTCTTGTTGGTCACATGGTTCCACTCTGTAATGAGATAACTTGTTTCTTAATGGATCATTGGCTTATGTTTATTCCATGTCTATTACAATGGCAGGTACAACATGGGCGTTATACCGACTAGGAAAAGCTTGGCTTTGACTGAGCGGTTATCAGTTTCGTCCTTCTGCAGGTAAGGGTTTATGCAGAAGCTTATATTCCTTCTTCCCTTGAGAGCCAATGATCTCATTTTAGATGGCCTCATGTCGTTTTTTTTTTTTATAAATCTGCAGACGTAGGCTATCGACTGTGCTTGTTCACCTGAAGTATGCAGAGCACTTGAAAGAAGCTGTGACATATATAGAGCAAGGACACATTCGTATAGGACCAGATACAGTTACTGATCCAGCTTTCTTAGTGACTCGGAACATGGAAGATTTCATCACTTGGGTTGATTCTTCCAAGATCAAACGAAAGGTGCTTCAGTACAATGACAAATTGGATGACTATGACATGATTGCTTAACTTTTGAGGAGATTAAGTTATTGTGATGATGCTTTCGTGTTTTGTATAAGCCAAGAAAGTTTCAGTGCTTTATTTATTATGCAAGGTTTGGATATTTTGGTTATATTCTTTGTGGAATATGGCAAATGTTAACTATGTTACTGATACTATTCACTTTTTATTTTTACAATGTAAGGAAAGAGAAAATACCATAATACAATATTTGTGTTCTCTCACTTTTTCGATATATTTGTCAGTTGAATTAAATAAGAGATTAGAATTAAATCCATTTTAAATTAGGAAAAAAATCCATGTTATTTACAAAAAATATAATTAAAAGGTGACCCATTTTTGGTCCGACCCGACCTGAATCGACGCGAAAATTGTAAAAACCTCAATTTTCCTTTCCCTGTCTCTCGTTCGCTTCGAGAATTCGAAGCTTCAAACGCAGCAGAAATGGCGGTTCAGTCGAACCACAATGCATCTTTTGGGATCAGAATAGCTTCACCTTCCGAGAAACTGTTCCTGAGACCTAGAGCTCATCGTATCTCGCTATCAACGAAGTTCGAACCCTCTTCACAACCGTCGCTTTCGTGCTCCACTTGGAATCCAGGTCAAATTCCGACGAGGCTCTCCAGTTTCCGCCCCGGAATATTCGCATCTTCCTCTTCTTCTGATCCTACCTTCTCTTATGAACCGCCAGAATCTGATTCCCCGCCCCTTAGTAAGGTCAGTCATCGTCAAAATATTTTTTTGGAACCAAAAATTGGGGTTTGTAGCTATTTAGACGAAGTTAGAGTGTTTTGTAATATGAACGACTGTTTTCCTGAGAAAATATGGGAAAGTGGAGAGAAAAAGGTTTAACCTTTAACTAACCGGATCTTATATATTATCATGCTCCTTTGTTTCCATGAGATTCCCTTACCAAACAGTTGCTAACAATTTGTTCCATTGAAAAGCCATCTCTGAACACAACAAATCGCCATTAGGTATATATGTAGACATCTCAATGTCTTAAGTCTTGAGATGCATACCTACCTAGATAACCTCCCTTATGTTGGTTTTAGTTCAAGCCCGGTTTCTTCTTCTTCGTCAATATCCACAAACTCAAATCGAAGTTTCTTATCTCCATCCATTTGATCACTCATTTACCCGTTACAGAAGAAGCTGTGTGTGTGCTAGTGAAACCTTCCTTATCTTGCTTGAATCTGAAAGAAAGTTGAAATGTATGAATTTAAAGGAAGTTTATTGTGTGAATTGCAGAAGAAGCTGCGTGTGCTAGTGAAGCCGCTGGAGAAACCAAAGGTGGTACTAAAGTTTGTGTGGATGCAAAAGGACATAGGAGTTGCATTAGACCAAATGATTCCAGGATTTGGAACAATCCCGCTTAGCCCATACTACTTCTGGCCTAGGAAAGATGCTTGGGAAGAGCTCAAAGCTTTGTTAGAGAGCAAGCCTTGGATCTCTGAGCTTCATCGCGTCTTCCTCCTAAACCAAGCTACAGACATCATCAATCTATGGCAATCAAGCGGTGGAGATTTGTCTTGATCTAATCTCGCTCTCAAAGTATAGAGCTTTGTGTTTTTTTTGGTTATCAGTCACTTTCGATGTCAAATCATGTTTCTATGTTTCTCAGTACTTCATGTTGAGGAGATTAAGTATTTATCAGTGCCAAGTTGCAGAAATGTAGAAATATGATAACTTGAAACCACAGAATGAGGAAGTTTCTTTCATTTTTATCATTAAAATTGCAAATATGAATCTGTGTAGAAGTTGCATAATCAGATAAGAAACAAAAGAGAAATCAATGAAAAATTCTCAGTCGAAGTACTTGGACATTTGAATCCCTTTATTGATCAACCCACATTTCTCGTAGAACACTTTCTTCTCGACACTGCAATCGAGAATCACCTTGTAGCAGCCCATCGATCGGCAATGATCCGTGAGAAACTCAACCACTCTCTTCCCCAGCTGTTTCCCGCGAAACCCTGAATCCACTACAACGTCTTCGATGTGCCCAACTTTCCCGCAATTCCTCAGGAACTTCTTCTCTATCATCACGCTCCCCGTCGCCGCGATTCTCCCCGAGGCCTCTTCTTCGATCACGCAGATCAAGTGGTCGTCTCCGTACGAGCTGATTTCCTCGAACCGCCGATCGAATTCCTCGTCGGTGACTTGTCCAATGACGGTGAGCTGACCAAGAAGCTCCATGAATCCTTTTCTCTTGTCGGAGATCTCCAGTCTTCGGATCTTTAACGTCCGTTTCTCTCCGTTCATATCGGAATTAGACGATTCCGCCATAGCAGATCGAAGAATCTCACGCTCGGATTTGAAGAGATAGAGATTCGGAAATGTCCAACTCAATGAGGTACAAAGAAAGTAATAATTTCGTAAAGGTACTCGAGCTTTCTAATTCTTACAAATGTTTCCTATACTCTAGACGAAGCCAAACTAGTCCATTTTATTTGACTTTTTATGTTATTTTTTTTTCTTCGGACTGTATGTAGTTGAGTGTGTATGTGTATTTGAGAATCAATGAGAATCAGAAAATGAAACTCCTTAATAACAATAATTATTGAAATTACAACAAGCCAACAAGTGAAAATGCCGAGGAAACCAAAAAAAAAAACAAAAAAACAGAGATGATACATATATTATAGATTACATGATGAGAAAAAGGTGTGGAGAAAGGATAATGAAATTTAGGGTTGATGGTGACTAGAAAAGGAAGTCGAAGCCGGAGGGACTCCAGGGATAATGGGAGGGATTCCAGGGATGATGGGAGGGGTTCCAGGGATGAGGGGAGGGAGAGGAATAGGAACAGGGAAAGAAGAAGGTGGCGTCGGTGAAGGCGGAGTTATGACCGGAACAGGAGGAAGAGTCGGAACCGACGGCAGAGGAGGAAGCAACGTCGAAGGAGGCGGCTGAAACGGTAGCGGTGGAAGAGGAAGAGTTGGCGGAGAAGGAATCAAAGGGTTTGGTGGGATAAGAGACGGCGGATTTAGCGGGTTTGGAGGGATAAGAGACGGCGGGTTTAGTGGGTTTGGAGGGATAAGAGGCGGGTTAAGCGGTGTTGGAGGGAGGAGAGGCGTTACCGGATTTGGAGGAAAGAAGAAATTTGGTTTTAGTACTTCGGTTTTCTTGTCTTCCAAGGAATCACCTTTCTTGTTTTGCAAGGAAGCTGATTTCTGAGGCGTTCCTGGAGGAAGAAGAGGAGGGAGTTGAGGAAGAGGTAAGTCCGGAAGCGGAGGGATGATTGGGAGGTTTGGGAGAGGAGAAGGATTGTTAGGAACCGGATCTTGGATTGGTGGAGGGAATGCAGGATCCGGTAATAGAGGCTTGGTTCCACGGAGATTGATCGGTTTTTGGCTACAGATCTCTGGTTGGTTTTCGGGTTTGAAAGTGAAGAACCCTGCGGAGAACACCCGAGTGTTGTCACCATGTTGTTTGCTCGTTTTAATGCGTTTGAGAGAAGAAGAAGTCGCGGAAGCAGCTACTGAACAGTATGGCTTTGAGCTAGCTAGCAACTTCACCGAGCATCTCTTGATCCTCTTCACGTGTTTGCTTACAGAGAATGGTAGCTTTGCTTTGAACTCTCCGTGCTCGTCTGTTTTCACTTCTTGTCTGAAACTCGGTTTCGAGTTCTCGTCTATGCATTCTACTGCAACTAACGCACCTGAAAACAAGATCCAGCAAATTGTTCATAATTCTTTCTGATATTTTAATCAATCAAAATCTTGAACAAGAACCAACGAAACAAACTGATGACTGATGTTTTGTTAAAACAGAGGACTCTGTTTTAGAAAAAAGAAAAAAAGAATAAAAAACCTGGGATTAAGTGGTTGGGTGATTTGGAAAAGGCGCCATTAAAACAAGTGTCACAGTAGACAGTTCCGACCACAACCGCAGAAGAACGTGTCTTCTTCGTAAGATGTTGCTGTCCTTCAGAGAAACCTCCATTAATAGAGATTCCTATGAAAATCGTAAGAATAAACCAAACCCATAAGGTCGTTGTTCTCTCCATAGTTATCGACTCTGTCTCTCTCTTTCTCTTTACTATGAAACAGAGGGTTATCTAGGAAAGAGGGATTTATATAGGAGTTGTGGTGTGAAGATGAGTGAGCCACGAATTAATAAGAGATGTTAAAAAAAAAAAAAAAGATAAAGCTTATCTCTATTCTATGTTAATGTAAATCATGGGAAAAATACAAGTCTAGCTCCCAAACTATACAAAGCTACTATAATTTCTTGTGACTTGTATTTCTGCTCTATCTACAGCTCAAAAGCTTAAATTATTGCAAAAAATAGTAAGAGGTGAGAAAAAGCCAACAAAAATATTTGGATTCACGTTCGCGTGTCGATTAGATTGATCTATGCTCTGCATGGTAAAAACAGAAGTAAAGAAAAAATATCTCTTATCATTGTTCCTTGAATTGCGGGGTAACTAAAATTGCCGTTTTTTTAACTTAAGACACACTTGAGACATCATTAAAAAAAACACACTTAGACCAGTTCCTTTTTCTTTTTCTTTATTTCGGGTTAAAGGTTGTACACATCTGAGAATTTACGTGTTGAAATTTAAATATTTTCTTTCGTCTTTCCCGTATTTACGTCCTGTATTTTGAATGAGAGTAAAACATGTTGACAGGATTTCTCATTTCCAAATTGTGAATTACTGTGTATCATGTTTGATGTTCTAAGTATTGTTACATCCCTATTTTCAAAGAAAACATATAAAACAATTATTTGTACAATATCGTGATTGTCAATTATTATTATATTATTGCTATTATTATTATTATTATTGTTATTATTATTACTATTATTATTATTATTATTATTATTATTATCAAAGCTATAACTTCTCAGCATATAATTTTAAATATGTTTTACTAGTTTCTTTGACTAAAAACTCTAGATAATTGTTTGTCATGGTGATGAAAATGTTGTTTAACTCTCATTTTTAAACAACAAGTAGATGCATTTTAGCGAATTTAAATTTGGATGATAATGCCATAACAACAATAATACACACCACCAAACTACGTGTTTTAAAAGTAGAAGAATACAAGTACTACGATATCATATGTTTTACAGCCGCGTAGCTTATTATTTACTGCAGGGATTTTGATATTTTACTACCACTAACAGTCTAACAAGCAGATTTTTAACTAAATGTTGGTGGATAACGATGACTTGTTGCACTCTGTTGAAACTTTGTGAAACTTATCCGTACCAACATATACAAACCACTAAAAATAATACTCTTAGAAGAGAAGGATTTTTTCACATATGATTTTGGTTTATAATAAATCCTGTTCTTTTTTTCAGATAAATATATAGGCTTATGTATAGCCAATGAGACTAAAGTTGATATTTAGACTTGATTAAATTTTTTTTTTTGTTTCTTTAAAAGAGGAAACAAAACATGAAATTTATGAAAGTGAAGCCTTATGGGAATGAGGATGAGGAAGTGAATACAGTTGGAGAGTCTCTGTCGATTCACGAGACACTAAGGATGTCCACACAAACCATATATACCCAATTCTTACTTCTGTCTTCTTGTATATAATCATTCTTGATAAAGACAAAAGAAATTAATTAAATGAATCAAAGAATATGGATGTTTTTTTTTCTTCTGTCATCTGTTTAGTTAGTTTTTTTTCAGAGGACGCCGTATATATGCTAAAGCTTTACAAATTCAGTAGAATGAACAAATACTATTAGAAGCCGACGACACAAGAAAACAAAAAACAGATACTGTATTCAATTATAGATCGACCACGGGATTGTATAAATTTATCAAAGTGTTCACATATCTCAAAACTCTGTAGATAACTACAAAAATTTCTAATCTGTTAAATATATATTTTTCTATTGAAAAAAAAATAGATAGTATCTGCTTGCTGATATATTTGAGTAACGATTAAGATGGTTAAATCGATAAACTTTAGGAGTTAACCAATCCGTATTTTCAAGTAAGTGGGAAACTTTTTATTTTGGGCAAAGTGGAAAAATAATGTTAAATTCTAAAAAGAGACACATTGAAATTAAAAATTATAATAATTAATATCAATAATAATAATATAGGACTGATAAAATGGGCCGAGATAAGATTAACTCAAACAGTAGTAAAAACTTGATCTTGCTCATTCCTTGATATGGGCTGATAGACAAAAAAGCCCGATTCTTTGTTGTCAAATAGCAAACACTACAGTGAAAGTGGAACAGCTAAATTATTTATTTAGTTCGTAATAAATAAAATCAAAGAGTTCTATCATTAATATTTTTATTATTTTTATTTTTAATAATCAGTGGGTGATTCAGGGTTTTTATTATCTAACTAATCTCTCAAATTGAATGTAGCCTTCCACTAATGCATTCATCAAGTATAGCATTATTTCGAATATCCAAAGGGAAGCAAAAAAAATTCAAATAGAAATGAAACCCAAAATTAAGCCATATTTATACTCTTTTGTAAACAAAACTTTTTACTACTAAACTAGTACTATTTAGTTTTTTTTTTTTTGGTCAACTTACTCCTTAGTTAATTACGCAAATATTGTTCAAGAAATTAGTTAACTAGTATCAAAGACTAGATTGAGACGTTATTAGTAATTATTATATGATTAAATCAGAATATTTTTGACGATTATATATTTAAAAAAGAAAAGCATATTTTGTTTTTTCATTCTGTAGAGAGACTCCAATGGCATCCAGCAACAACGCCCACCCACCTTCACAACAACTTCATCACACTCCTCCCTCACTTTTTCTTCAATCTTTCTTCTCCCTCACGGATTTTGATTAAAAAGAGAAAAAGATAAAGTGATGGAAAATTCCTCCAAGTTTAATTTCCTGGGAATCTGCAAATAAAGCTCAGTTTCTATTCTTTTTTTCAAAATTATAATTTCACCGGTCTTGGGGTCCCTCGTCGGTTTTCTGTTCTCCATTCTCCATCTCCCTCCTTTTTTTTCCGTCGAGTCCGATCGAAAACGAACCCAATTTAATTCTTCATGAAAGGTATAGTCTTCGCTCCGATTCGACTGATATTTAATTGAATTCTCTGAGTTAGTTAACCATCGCAAGTGTGGGTTATTTTCTATTATATGTTTCTCTGTTTTATTGCGTTTGTTAGGGATTTACCTAAATTAGGTTTCAACTTTCAATCGGTTAATTGCTTGCATTTTACTTTGACCAATTTTTGCTTTTCCCTTACTGAACCTTGACTTCTCTTTTTGGCCAAACACACAAGTTTGTGCTTAGTTAGGTGAAATGTTTGATACCTCTTGCTGGGAATCTCTCAACTTAAAAGTTACTTATTGTCAGTTTTGTAAAAACTCCTAAGTTCTTGCTAAAATTATATATGGATTTTTTGGTGTGCTGTTATAAGTTTTGGATAGTAACTGAAGAGAGGTGTCAAAGTCCCAACAGTGATCAGATCATTTTACAGGTGAAGTTTGGAAGAATGAAACAGATTGTTGGTGAAATCTCTGGAGAGCTTCTGTAAATAGAAACCTCGGATTTGCATTCTTGGTGACGGTTTGAGCAGTTTCCAAAAGAATTCAAACCGGTTTTGTGATTCTGGTTAATCTCAGCGTTTGGTAAATTTTCCTGCAAGTTCTCGAGTTGAAGAAACAGAGATGGGCTGTGTTTCTTCTTGCTTTCGGGTCGAAGAATTCGAGGATTACGCGAATCCTAGTAATTCTGTAAATAGAAACTGCCCATGCCCTAGATGTCTTGTTAATAACTTCCTTAACCTGGTAATGTTCTCTTCTTCACAGTGTCTACTTTAGAACTCCTAGTTTTTTTAAAGCAGAGCTCACTGAAGCTCTGAAATTGATCTCCTTTTTTTGCAGTATATCTCTTTGTTCAGAAGAGGCGAGACTCGCTCTCTCCCATCTTCCTTACAAGCTACTACTGTATCGATAACTTCCTCTACTTCATATGATAACTTTATGTCTAACACATTCCACTCTACTCCAAGGCCTCTGCCTTATGATGCTGATCCAGGATACTTCCGGTCACGGCGTGATTCGCTTGTTTCAAGACGGGATAAGGGTTCAAGTCATTCTCATGAGGAAGCTGAGCCCTTGAGAAGTGATGCTGATGTGGATTCTGAGTCTTTCTCTGTCGAAGGAAGCAAATGGGCTAATAAGCTTATCATCTCTGGTGAAGATTCCAAAGAAGAGTTCTCTAAATCCACTCGGAGAACTCTTACGTCAAAGACAATGGATGCTGGCAACGAAGGCATGTATATAATGTCTGATGATGAAGATGTTTGTCCAACGTGTCTTGAAGGTATGTATATTCATTTTCATCTTCTTTTTTTTTTATTGTTCGATCAATGCGTTTGAAGGAAGCTAAGTATAAGACTCTCTTTGACATTTTTTGCAGAATATACATCAGAGAACCCGAAGATTGTTACAAAGTGTTCTCACCATTTCCACCTCAGTTGCATTTACGAATGGATGGAGAGAAGCGAAAACTGTCCTGTTTGTGGAAAGGTAACATTAATCATGTTCTTCCAAGCCATTTCTAAGAAACACTTATGCGTAATAGTGTCCTCAGAAAAGCAAAATCTTTATCTTTTGCAAATAATGTCTGGTCTATGAAAAATCATTCTTCCTGAAACTCAGAACATTTGCGTTGTTGTTTCATTCATGTTGATTAAGGAATAATTACGCTCTGCTGAGTTTTTGTCTCGTTTTCAGGTAATGGAGTTCAACGAAACACCGTAACTGAGATTTTATCACGGATCCTGTCTTGGACTGCCTAAACTGAAACAGGGGAGATCGACAAGGCAACAGATAGATGTGCAAATTGATTTGACTTGTGAATACTGTTTATTTACAATGTATGGTATATATGTGATGGAGAAATGAGGAAATGTCGCTCTGCACAGTTAGCTTATGGAGTTAAGAAGAAACCCTCACGACAAACAGCAAAAACACACACAGGAACCTGATGTTTCTCATAATATGCCTCTGGTCCTGTGTTCTGTCCAAAGCTTGACTCTTTTTACATCATCTTGTATGAATTACTTAGCCCTTTTATTATTAAGTGTTATTTATAGATTTGGCATAGGAGAGAACCCCATTGTAATCCAAAATGTTTCTCATTACATGCTTCTGGTGCAGTAATTTGACAATTAAGTTATCAGGTTCAATGGCAAGTTCCACACATTTCAATCCTTAATATAGCAAGGGTTCAAAAGACACACATGTCCTGAGGAATCTCAGGACTTATACATATAGCCACTTATGCCTACAACTCCAAGTCTTGTGTCTATACTTTTTATATATAAAAAAGGCCTTTTGTTGGTGACTTTGATCACAGCATTAGAATGATCACATGACTCTCAGAGCATCCAGCCTGGAATGTAACCGTTTCCATGCTGCGCCTGAGCTTGTGTTGTCGCAGTTATCTGCTCCGAGCCTACCGGATTGTCATACCTGCCATCATCATTATCATCACTATAACATCAAGAATAACTTAAAAAGTCCACACACATTGATGATCAAATACAATCTTGGATGTGTATGTAAACAAGCTGGTTTATCTTAAATGATTTACCCTATCTGCAGAGTTGCATTGCATTCAAGAGGCTGGTATAGTCCCTGAGACTGAGCTTGATGATGCGCGTAGGAAACGTTCTGTTCATTTCCTTCCCATCCTCCTCCTCCCATATGATGGCTTCTCACACCAATCATATCATCCAGCTAAACGATTACATTTTGTCACCAAAAGTCTATTTATCAGAAACTTGAAAAGTAGGGGGCTTTTTCCCCAAAATGTTTAGAAACTTCAAAACATGTGAAGAAATTGATCCCAGTATAAGGATCTTCATCAATATATATACCTTCATTGACAAAGCTCTATTGGTTTCAAGCAACATCTGCTCTTTGCTTTGAAGATCAGAGAGCTGGTCAAGCATGTACTGTGTCTGCAAACAATCATCATGCCACCATAGTAGTCATAATTAAATAACAAACATTTTAACACATTATTAATCTCACTTGAATCATTCCATGTCTATATATATAGCTTCAGATATAACCTTGATGGAGCGAACTTGCTTGAGAGAGCCGTCTAGTTGACGCTCAAGCTGCTCTAATTCCTTTGAATTCAGAGGTCCTAAATCCTCCCCAAGAAGGTTTCTGCACCGACAAAAACACACACAAATATGAATGATATTTGAGTATATAACTATATATATATATATATATATAGAGAGAGAGAGAGAGAGAGAGAGAGATCTACCTTTGTTGACGCTGAAGGTTCTCATATCTACCCTTAAGCTTCAGATACTCTCTGTAGCTGTTCTGAATTTTTAAGAAAAACAAAAACAGATTAATTCTATGAAGGATCTTTCTTGAAATGGTGTTGGTATGATATGAAATCTAAAATATAAAGAGCACCTCAAGTTCTTTGGCAGGTTTGTTGTTGACTTCGATGGAGCCATAACTGCACTTCTGGTACCGGTCTAGTGTCTTGATCATGCTGAAAGAAAACCACAAATTAAGAGGATAAGAAATTATCAATAAGATCATACTTGACATAGGACACAAACCTAACTCGATCATCATAAACAACACACGTAAGTGTGCATGTCTCTATCTATATAACTGAGCTCCTCGAGTATTAATAAAGTTCTTTCCTATCAAATTTGAAGTTAATTACTTCTCGTTAGTCACTCACGAGTTATATATTCTTAGGATTTCATTATTTCAAACGCTCTAAGTTGGCATTTGTATTTTACATGTTACAAAAAAATTATTTGAAGGCATTATTTCCAATTTTCGTTTGGTTTTGAGATTCACAAATGGAATAAATTTGTTTGATAAAAGAATTAAATTATCTATTTTTCTTGAATGTAAGAAAACGTTTTCACATATAGACAGGAAATAAATAAAAATAAAAAAAACAAGAAAGAATCAAGAGCTTCATAGATACACACACGTTTTAAGTTTTAACCAACCATAAAGTATGAATCAAGAGCTTCATAGATACACACACGTTTTAAGTTTTAACCAACCATAAAGTATGAACTAACAGTTGGTTAATGCATGGAACCATATATTATCATTCTACGTTGGGTTCTTATTTCCATAGAGATCTGTGTATCCAACTTTTAAGTTTCCAATCGATATCGCACACACAAATTAATTAATATCTCGTTATATAAAAAACTTTTCAGATTGCATATTTGGATTTGGATTTACTTTGAAATTCATGTACCATGTGTATGTATATATTAAAAAATGATGAAACATATATTGATTGCAAACTTCTCAGCTCTAATAGTTGACAGAAAAACAAGAAGAGAAACCAGATCTCAAATTTTAAGAATTCAAAACTAAAAACTACAATAAAAACCCTAGAGATTATGAAATCAAGAGGACTTAAATAAACTCAACACGTTCATAGAAATCAATCAAGATCAAGATCTATACTCAGATCTAGCAAAAAACCAATGAAAAATTGAAAATTGAAGAGAGAGGGAGAGAGAGTGGTTACTTTGAGGAGCTGCAAAACTCATAGAGCTTTCCACGATTGGAGAAGATGATAAGAGCAACCTCAGCATCGCAAAGAACAGACAATTCATAAGCTTTCTTCAACAAACCGTTCCTACGCTTTGCAAACGTCACTTGTCTGTTGATTTTGTTCTCTATCCTCTTCAGCTCTACTCTTCCCCTTCCCATTTTTTTGTTACCTAAATTTCCTCTTTTATATCTCTATATGTATTTTTACACACAAATATGGGTATGTAATGTTTATCTATATACAGACACACAAAAACATGAGTTGGGTATCTATTTTTCTTAGAAAAGATCTGATCTTTTGTGAGGTTTTTTTCTCTAGGGTCTGGAGAATTGATTTGAGTGGAAAAGGAATTTAGCCCTAATTTCAAGAACAAGAGTGCTAAGCAAGAAGAGGAAGAAGAAACTTTTGGATTTTCTGGTTTTTATTTTAGGGTTCTTGATGTCTTTTTCTCTCTTTGCTTTGGAAGTGTGTGGAGGTTGTGAATCTAAATAAAATTTTGTGGAACAGAATCTAGAGATTGGGAGCAAAAGATAAGAATTTTGTGAAGGTGAGGTTAGGGTTTGGTGTGTTTTCATTTCAAGTCATCCCTTTTTCTCTCTCCACTTCTTTATTCTTTTTTTTTTCGCTCTCTTTAACAAAAAATCCCCACGCTCTCACTAAGCGCGTGATTCAATGGTTTACTTCATTCAATTTAACCCCAATCGATTTATCACCAAAGTCGTAATTTTCCAACTTGTAGGGAAAATTAACTATTAGAAAATATATGTGTGCTTTCTCTTCAGGTAGAATTCATGTCTATATATATATATTATATGGTCTCTACTATTTTAGGTGTATATGCCTGACAATATACATATTTATCTAAACATATGCTTTCTTAAAAATCCTATGTTTATAACATCATAACAAATGATTTATGTTTAGCTATATATAATGCAACAACTTGTTAAAAACGTATCACTTTTGATGTTTGACTTGTAACGATACACATGCGCCCCAAAGGTTATCAGTTAACTTGTGTATATTATCTATCAATAATCACAACTAAAAGTCAATTCACAAAAATATTACGAAACAGTATGTATAATGGCATAATGTATATATATACTCGTCCTAGATGTAAATAACACTATTATTTGCTGAAAGTATTTTTACATTTATTGTGATAACTAGGGATTTCCCCGCCCTACGGACGGATGGGAATGAATAAAACTTTTATATTTATTATATATTTAATTTAAATTTAACTTAATGTAATGATATATTAAATTTTTACTATCAATTTCAAATTCATTATTTCAATTACATAGGAAGATATAATCGGGAAAAACTTTAGTAGATTCTTTAAAAACTGAAAATGGTACATTCTTGTCTTTAAAGTTCAGAAAAAGATAATGTATATCATAACTAATTAAAATTAAGAAGTAAGTACACATATGACTGATTGTGGCAATCTTCATCTTAAAGACCATTAGTGACATACAACTATTCACACATACATAACATTTAATTTTCTTCTTTATATTTTTATTTTTTCAACCAATGGAAATGGACATCAGATATTTCATGAATAATATTATAATACTAATTTACATAGCTATAAAAATTAAGATACAACTGAAAAGCTATAAACAAAAGCGCAAATTCTATCACGTACGGCTTACCTATAAAGTCAGAGAATACGATATCATCTTATAGGGATTAAGTGATTCATTAGATGTAATCATCCAAGTTTCTGTAAAAGAAAATTTAATACCTTGCGAAGAAATTAACTTCAAATTGTAGCTGAAGTAGTTTTAGATATTCTATGACTTTCTCATATGGTTTAAATATTCTTAAAGTCTAGCTAACCCTTTTATCCATGATTCTAAGTAGGCTCGTAGGTTCTTAACACATTTTTCAATATTTCCAAAATTTCTGGCTCGTTCTCGATCGTTCTCGTTCCGACAGCAAGAATAACCTTTGTTTCCAACCTGAATTCTGCATGGTGAGACACCTATTAGGAATGAAAATAATGCATCTGAACTAATTAAAGAAGTTACTAAATACCTCGGTATTGTAGACGCATCAAGCCATGAATAGAGAAAGATCTTAGCCATGACAATCACTGTAGAATTAGGAACTCCACCCACGTGAAATTAGAGGGAGTCGATGAATTATTTAGACGAAGGAAGCTAGCAACCTATGTTGAGAGCGATTCCGTTACAACCTTGTCCTTGTCTTTTCCCCGTTTCATCTGTTATATTCTTAATTTCTCTCTAGAATCTTCCATTCCATGCCTCCGTCATCATCTTCTACTTCATCCGGCCAGATATTTGGTGTCTTCAGCTATGGAATTGGGTTTGCGGTGGCCGACGCGATTTTAAATCTTCAATCTGCACGGAAATTATAATCTTCTTTATGTGAATATTATTTTGGTCTTCTGTGTTTATCAATGTGGATGTGCTTTGAGTGGCAGCCTCTTTTATAACTCCGAGAGAACGTTGGAAGAGGAAGAAAGAACGATGAAGTTCTTTAAAACGCTTGCGTTTACATATCATGTTATCAATGTTAATATATAATTTAATGAGAATGAATTTGAATCATTTTTAAAGAGTAACCGCTTATGTGATAATTAATTCAATTTCGTGTGATAATTAAAGAAGAACAATGACACTTAGGAATACGAAGAGATCGACAGTAAATATGTAAGAATAAACAAATTGTTGTTAGTTGTTACGAAGAAGAAGTCGAGAGAAGTAGAATGTACAAAAATTTAGGTTTGATCTATGCCACGTGACAAAATCTTGATGATGTGTAGCTTTGAAATGTTGTGATTGGATGATTATTTTTCTGATTATTTTTGCCTATGTGGCATAGCTGAGAGGCCTCCAAAGTAATCCCTTTTAATGAAAAGGAATTTGAATCATTTTTAAAGAGTAACCGCTTATGTGATAATTAATTTAATTTCGTGTGATAATTAAAGAAGAACAATGGCACTTAGGAATACGAAGAGGTCGACAGTAAATTTGTAAGAATAAACAAATTGTTGTTAGTTGTTACGAAGAAGAAGTCGAGAGAAGTAGAATGTACAAAAATTTAGGTTTTATCTATGCCATGTGACAAAATCTTGATGATGTGTAGCTTTGAAATGCTGTGATTGGATGATTATTTTTCTGATTATTTTTGCCTATGTGGCATAGCTGAGAGACCTCCAAAATAATCCCTTTTATATAAAGGAGATATTGGTCCATTAAATTGTTGTGGTTAAGAACATATATATTATACTAATTTGAATATATATATATATAGAATATTTCTTATATAAATATATAATGACTAAACTACCGCAAATTAAATGACCAGGCATTATGATCATTTTTATAACTGTAATAACTACTATTTGGTTTTAACATATTTGGCTCAATGGGTTAAAATATGTTTGCCAAAACTCTCTAGTTCAACTAATAAACATCAAGGGAGGCGAATCTTAGAGTTAGAGAATACAAGATCAAATATCACTTGGACTGGAATTATATTACATTTTTTGGTCTCGGACTTACGGAATATATTGATTTGAGCTACCTCCCAATCATAAAAATAATAATTAAGAACTCATATTTTACTCTTTTTTGGGTTCAACCCTCATATTTTACTTAATAATGCCTATTCAAACCTGAATTATGATATTATAAACAAAACAAATAAAACTACAATATTTAGGCAATTTATTTATGACAAATATGATCATTTTACAAATTTGTAATCATATAATATCCTGTTAGCCAAAAAAAAAACTCATCTACTATATATATGTTATGTCAAAATATTTTAATAAATGAGAATATATCATGATAATACATGTGGATACCTACGAAGATTTTAAAGTTTTAACTTTGCTTTACATATAGTCCGAAGTTTCTGTCCGGTAACTGATTATTTGTTGTTTTACGTGAGTCTCGAAACTTGATAATCATAATTTGGAAACAAAAGTAAACAGAAGTGGGCAAGTTGTTGTAGATATGAAGCGCGTGATATTGTAAATAAACATTAAAATTTAGTAAATACAATAAACGAAAGCAACTTATCATACCATTTCCTAGTTGTTTTCAGAAGCCGCAGAAAAGCATCTCCTACCTTAAAATGGGTTAGCACGTGTCGATATATTATTGGAAGACATTTTTTATTTTAAAAACGGTGTACAGTAGAGGCAAAAAAGCTACTCGGTTCAATTATACCATAAAACACTAAAACTGTGTAATAGTCAATTAGGCATAATAAGTCATATTAAATCAATTACCCAAATTATTTATATGCTTTTTTTTTTGCATTACCCAAATCAATTACCCAAATTTATATGTATGGATCGAGTTATCCATGTTCTCGGGTGTTTGATGCCATAGAAGATGACACACGACTTTGTAATTTTTTTTAGAGCAAACGATTTTGTAAGATGCAACTTCCAGGTCACGACTTTGTAATTCGTTATATGAATTTTGTTTATGGTGATCTAGCCCGGACTATAACAAGAGTATTTGCATCCTTTAACGCAAATTAATCTCGTATTTGCAAAATTAATAAATAGAAAATTTGGTTACTGTTTATTTTTTTAAAATCTCATTATGCCTTTTTTCTCCTTCTCTTTCCTTTCTCTCCTTCCATATCATTGTTCTCTTTCTCTCTCCCTTATCTCTCTTCATCCTTCTTTCGTTTCTTTTACTTGTTTCTCTCAGAACTTTTTCTTCTCAATCAAATTCAATCTCTTATTGTTTTCTAAAGAGATCTAATTTATTAAAAGAAACAGTCAATTAATCTTCAACCCAATTTATTAACACAGCTCCAGAATAAAATTAATTTTTCGAAAAACTTGAAAAAAGCTTTGGAAACTGCATTGAGAATGGTCCGAGATTTCCACGACGAAGAACAAGACGACATGGAGAAACGACATCCACAGAGACAAGAGAGGCAGATTCCGATGAATCTCTCCTCCAGGTGACAGTCGATGTTGGTTGAGAGACGACGTAGCTGCAAAGCTCGAGTTACTGTAGCAGCCGCAGTGGTTTATTACCACGGTTCAGATTTAGTTGACTGATCAATAATATTATTAGAGAAGTAACAATTAGAATCACTTATAATACTTTATATTAACATGTTAATGGTTTATTTGACTGAGTAGAAAAATTGTTAGAGATACAACTATATTGTTATCTTATCTTGTATGCGAAAATGCAAAGTCTATTGTCTGGTTCATCTCATAACTATACCTAGATATACTAACACATGCATAGATCTCATTTTTTTATTTTTATATCTTTCTCTCCCTTGTCTCTTTCTTTCTCCCATCTTTCCCTCATCCGAAGACAAGCATTTCTCTTTGAAAATCTGGTTAAGGAAATAAGTTTTTTTGTTTCTGTGAAACTGAATTAGTCTTTCAATTCATTGTTAAACCGCTAACATATTCAAATAATGTGTTATATTTATCTATATCGTTCTAAGCAAAATGTACCACCTTCCAACAATCTATATAACTCAGTATTGTTATCAGTCTAACATGTATTTTACTAGGTACAACAAAACAATTATAAGTAAACTTATATGTAACACGCTAAACAAATCAACACCTTTAACAATCCATACGACTCATTATTGTTATCAAACTAACATATTTTTTATCGTGAAAATAATAATGTTAGACGTTAACCTACTTGTTCATATATAATACAATAATTGTTAATCACTAACTTATTTGAATCTGATGCAGTTTTTTTAAATTTAACATAGAAAATGCTAACATGTTTAATAGTTGATAACAAATAATTTCTCAGTAGTATCAATTGTTGCACAACTCGAACAGAGATTAAAAGAGAGAGAATAATATATATATCAGATGTTCGATGCAACTTGCATAAGTGGTGTCTTCTATTCTCAAGAAATGACAGATATAAAGAATGATATATTGGTCATTTGTAATAACCATATAAATAGTAAATTATCAGTTATGTCACATCAACGTTAGATCTGCAAATTCAGCTGTCTTTATGTATATTCAATTAATTGACTCCTATAACAAACGCCCTAATGCATATTCTAATTTTTCTTACAACATCCACCAATCAAATTAATGTGCCACCATTATACGAAATAAGGCGTTTGGCCTGAATATTGTTACTATACGATAGCATCGCCTAGATCCCGCCAGCGATATTCATAGTAATCAATCGATTGATCAACGACACAATTTTCACTAAAACGAACTAAGATTTAACTGTTGAGCTTGAAATATGATTTTTGTTCTTTTTATTTTAGAATCTATATAATTTTGGCCATATATTGGAAGCTTTTTGGAAATGTGGGCTTTGGAAATAAACTATAATATAGAATACTATTATTTATCCCATCTTGCAACAAATAACTTATGCATATCAAATTTTTGTGTGAAAATTATGTGTCCACGTAAAAATATTACTTATCTTACTTCATATTACGAAATCTGTTATATATACACCACCGCTTATGCTAAGCTAATGCACATTTATCATAAAACTTTTGTAAATCAGTTGGTTCCGGAAACTAGTCTCCACTTTAGTTAGATTCAAGTCCGGTTATCCTTTATATGTGGTTTGTATATATAGCTGAAAATTCTTAGATTTTGATGTAATTCCCTGATAAATTCTTAGTCTAGTTATAAGGTTTGAACCTCTCATCAATTCATCCTATAAATTAATGTTTTCTGTAATAATAATCTGGGTTAAAGAATTAAATCTCTAGAAGAGGACAAAAACATAGATGATATTTCTTAAACTATATATATATATATTGCGACATTTCTAAGAAGAGGACAAAAACATAGATGATATTTCTTAAATGATATAATCGCTATTCGAGTGCGAAAAAAATCGATTACATAAATTGAAGCCTTTTTAGTTAAAAATTTATTCCAAAGAGTGGAATATATATATTTGGGTTGCAAATGCGACTTGCATAAAATATAAACGGACTCATGGTTTTGTTCAATAAAGAAATAAGTCTACAACATTAAGCAACTGAAATGTGTAAAGAGCTTTTTGGGCAGAGAATCTACCAAGCCAAAAAACCTTCAGGTGACGTGGGATGTCCGTACGGATTTACAGAAGGTAAAGTAACGATGTTGAAAAGTAAAAAAATCTTTCCTCCCCAGTGAAATTACACAACATGATGGGTGATGTGGTCTGACGGACACGTGTCGAGTTATGATTGAATTAGACTTCTGTCGGAAGCGTGTTCGCTCAGCCAAAGCCTCCTTTTTAACAGTGACTTTTCTACGTTATTTATTTACATTTCTACCCTTTGATTTCTTTTTAAATACACTTATTTTTGACAAAAATCATTGTTTCATTTCACACGTTTATCTATTTATTTTGGTTAAAATTCGAGTTTATTAATTGTTAAATATCTCTAGTTTTTTAGTGGGAAATGACACAGTAAATATAGTATAGACAATTATTTTCTGCCAATTAACTTTCTTTGTTCAAAATAAAACACATCCACTTCTTTCCAAAAAAAAAAACACATCCACTTACCATCAATAATGGTTGATTTTCTTTATATCAAATGCAAACAACAATAAAATGAACTCACTTGATTTATATTAGCAAAATCCTTTTAAAACCTGTGATAATTAAAGGTCTGATTATGTAAGTGCCAAAACCCGCCTATTATACAGAAAGAATGGACAAGAAGAGCTTTTGGTTACTAAGTAGATTTTTCCGGTTAAAAGACGACAATACTCAGTTAACACAAATCAACTCAATCACCAACATCCGGTTTAGCTAATCAAATTGCCAATCTGGTTAAACTAGCACCTGATCAAGAATTGGAATAAGTCTTATCAAACAAATTAGACTAGACATGCTTCAACTGTAACATTACAAATTGGACTGATTACGTATATCATAAGGTCAGGAAGATGAAACAAATAGTTTTTAGTCTTGAGGCATCATCTATAAAATACCGAAACAGGCTCAAGATTTTGAGCACTCGGGACAAGGGAAACAACCTTTGGCTTGGCAATTATCACAGGTGACTGATCTTGCGTTTGACGAGTCACCGAATCCAAAGATCCCCTCTCCTGATTTGATCGATCCCGTCCCTTTGCAGCGGCCACATGCTATACTCTTTAGATCTCCACATTTCCTGCACATCCCAAGAGATCTGCAAAAGTTGTGATTAGAAACACACGATGGTAAAATATAGATTCAAGAACAAGTCTAATTTCATTAGGACATAGACAGAAACACTCTTAGAACAGTTCTTGGAGATATCAGCGGTTCAGTAAACTGTCTTAAAACCATGCCTACACAGTGTCTCTCATTACAAAAAGGTAAGATATTCAGAACTCATAATCATAATCAAGAATTTCAACATTGTGAAAGACTTTTAAAACATTACAATTCTTTGAACACGAGCAAATGATTCAACACCTGAATATTTCAATTCGTAAATGCGAGAATCAAAAGACTTTGCAGTGAGCTGCAGATTTTCTGGAACCATTAGTTCACATGGCGAGAACTAAGAGAAAACCATGTTTCCATTGGAGAGTGAGAGGCTAAAGACATAACCCAACACTGATTCTTGAATTCAGAATCTATTCTTTGGTTAAGACTTCATACAACATATCAGTATATCACACATAAACTCCTAAAGTCTTATCATTTTCAGATTTTCCGATTCAAAAATTCATTTTTACTCAGGAATCGAATAGCTTATCACAATTCTACGCAGCTACTACAATCATCATCATCTCATACGCCATTAACACATAATCAACAAAACAATTCTCATGGGTTCATCCAAAATCCAAGCATGTTCATCCAAAATCGGATATCATATGACCTGGATTTTTAATCAGGACATGAAAAATGGGGCAAAAAGTTTGGTTTTGTGTTTTTTTTTTTCAGAAATCTGTGTGGTGAGATGATGAAATGGCTTCTAAGGTTGTTTACCTTCTCTGAGCAGCGGCAATGAAAGCGTCAACTTTTGGAGCAGCGATGGTGGCACCGAGAAGCAGAGCCCCAACTGCGAAACCCGCTACTTCGTTTGATGTTAAGCTCTGCATCGTCTTCTTCCCTTTCTCAGTACTTCTCTGGCTCCTCTTTAGCTTGATAAATGATATCCTGCACTCAGATACGGACTTGACTTGATATAAATAGTATTAGCATCTTCATATCAACAAATTGGCCTATTAGCTCAGTTGGTTAGAGCGTCGTGCTAATAACGCGAAGGTCACAGGTTCGAAACCTGTATAGGCCATTTTTTTTTCATTTGTTTTGTTTTCCCTCCTTTTTGGAATATTTATAGTTCGACCCTGTATGTTTTGATAATAACCAATTTCAGACCAATAAAATTTTGTTAAATTTCTCGTATTGTTTGTAATTTGTAGGGTTTAACTGAGTACTCCTTTTCTGGGTCTGTCTATTCGCTTCCAAGTTCCAACGTACGGCCTCTTACACCTTACCTTCTCTCTGAAACTGCAACCAAAGGATAAGCGATAGGGTTTCTTCTGTCTTCACTCAAGCAAGTGGTTAAGTGTCGTCGACACCTTTGTAGCTTCAAGCTTTGTGTTTTGCCGTTCTGGTTACAGATTCGTGTTGTTAATTCAATTTGTGAATCTTCTGCCCCTAAAGAGAAGAATCTCAGATCAGCAATGGAGACAGATCTAACTGATTACACCATTATTAAGGAAGGTGAAGCTGAGATCCTAATGCACAAGAAGAATCAAGTCTTCTTCAACAAAGCTCAGGTTTCCTTCTTTTGTTGCTATTTGATTTGTTTTGCTGCAAAGGTTCTTCCTTTTAGCTAAGAATTGATTTAATTTCATCAAGGGCAATCTTAGGACTGATCAAGTATTAGTTTGGGGCATTTTAATTTTCGTTTCAGATATCAAGTTCAGTGCTTTTCAGCCATTAACACACAAATGATTTTGCTTCTAATGATTACTCGTTAGTTGTTATGGCAGAGTCTCATTTGGTGTTTTGTGAGAAATTAGTAGAAATTTGAAGACAAATCCTTTTTAGGAATTCTAACACACACTTATGTTTTTATGATAATATTTTCTTTTGTGAGCTAAACGAACTGCTTATTGTTTTATGGTTAGGTCAACAATAGGGACATGTCCATTGCTGTCCTAAGGGCATACATATCCAAATGCAAGCAAGAGCATGAGGCAATGTTATCCAAAAGAGCTAGATCATCTGGGAAAGTGACTGAGAAGGATGCCTCTAAGAATTTCAAGGAAGAAACTCCCACTGAAAACGGTGAGGATAATGGTAAAACCAACGGAGAACATGAAGTAACATCTCAGGATGGGCCAAAGGAAGCTACCAAGACCGCTTATGAGCCTGCACGAAGGGAACTCAAGCCACCAAGAGTTCTTGAGGTCTACCTATCTTCTTTCCTTTATGACTGTAGTAACTATTCGTTGTTATCTTATTTTGTTGTCTAGTGTGCTTTTCTGTTAGATAACTCTTTCTTGTGTTATTAATTGTAGGCCCTGTCAGCTTCTGGGTTACGGGCTTTGAGATATGCTCGTGAAGTTGAAGGAATTGGTCAGGTTGTGGCTTTAGATAATGACCCAGGTATTTGTTTTTCCCAACATTTGTGCTTGTGAAAAGATATCAGAATTCGACTTTTCTTCTATCCTAAGTTCCCAGAATAATATAATATTTTCCTTTTTCCTGTTAAAGCATCTGTTGAAGCTTGCCAGAGAAACATAAAGTTCAATGGCTTGATGTCTACTTCAAAAGTGGAGTCACATCTTACTGATGCTCGTGTCCATATGCTCACCCACCCAAAAGAATTTAATGTGGTATGTGTCCAATATTCCCAAAATCTTATGCTCATTTAGTCAGAAAATTTCATTTTATCGACTTTCTTAGTCTGTTAACTAATTTGGTTGATTGATGTCTTAGGTTGATCTTGATCCATATGGTTCGCCGTCTATTTTCCTTGATTCAGCTGTTCAATCAGTTGCCGATGGTGGGTTGCTGATGTGTACAGCAACTGACATGGCAGTGTTATGTGGTGCTAACGGCGAGGTTTGCTATTCCAAGTGAGATTTTTTTTTACCCCTCCATTACCTTATTCTGAAAACAAATATCTATGATTTTTGTCTGAATGTCTTAAATCCGTCTATTGTTAGATATGGCTCCTATCCACTGAAAGGGAAATATTGTCATGAGATGGCTTTGAGGATCCTCCTCGCCAGCATCGAGGTAAATTTTTTGCTACTGCGTGGAATTAATTCACTTCCGCTAAATCTTCCAGGCTTTGATTGTTTGTTAAGATGCTCTATTATTCTCTAAAATCTTATTTTTCCTTAATCAATTGACTTTGGTCATATTGTTGATTTGCAGAGCCATGCAAATCGCTACAAGCGGTATATTGTTCCTGTTCTATCAGTCCAAATGGATTTCTACGTCCGTGTTTTTGTCCGCGTTTACACGTAAGTTTTCCTTTCTTTTCAAACACTTCCCTCAGCTAGAGACAAGTAAAGATTGAAGCTTTATGGAAATGCAGTTCGGCGAGTGCAATGAAGAACACTCCGCTAAAGCTCTCATATGTTTATCAATGTATTGGTTGTGATTCCTTTCATCTTCAGTCTGTTGGAAGATCTCTCCCTAAGGTATCTTTTCTCTGTCTCTTTGCATAGTTAGTTTCTGGAAACCGCCTTTTTGAAAATCTTCTTCTTAAATATTTGTTTTTGGCAGAATAACAGTGTGAGGTATCAGGCAGGAGTTGGTCCCGTTGTTCCTCAGGAATGCACTCATTGTGGAAAGAAATACAACATGGGTGGACCGATATGGTCTGCTCCAATGCACGATCAAGAATGGGTGACTTCGATACTAAATGGTGTTAAATCCATGAAAGACAGATACCCTGCTTACGACAAAATCTGCGCTATTCTCACCACGATCTCAGAGGCAAAACTCTTCTCCCAAACTTTGAAAGTTTCAGTTTTTGGTTTGGATCAATTTCTCTTTTTGTTTTTTTCGTCAAAGGATCAATTTCTCTAAAACCCCTATTTGTTTGCCTTGTCTCCAGGAATTGCCAGATGTTCCGCTCTTTTTGAGCCTTCATAGTCTCTCTGCAACGCTAAAATGTACTTCACCGTCAGCTGCTTTGTTCCGATCAGCGGTAATCAATGCAAAGTACCGTGTCTCGGGGTCCCATGTGAACCCGCTTGGGATTAAAACTGATGCTCCAATGGAGATTATCTGGGACATCATGCGTTGCTGGGTAAACCATCTGCTTTTTTCCTTCATTTCCCTCAACTAAGCCTAAAGGCAGAAGCTTTAACTGTGTTCATCTTTTCTTTTCTTTTTCTCCTCTTGGTGCTAATGAATGAACTATTTTGGTTGTAGGTGAAAAATCATCCAGTGAAAGCGCAACCACCTGAACATCCTGGAAGTGTGATTCTATCTAAAGAACCATCTCATCAGGTCCCTAATTCTAGCTTGCCATTGTTTCTATGCTTTATTCGTTGATTTGATTTGGTGGAAGCTGAATAAAGTTCCAAGCTTTAACCTTGAATTACTGTTTTTTTTTTTTCTCTCGGACAGGCTGACTTTTCGCGCCACGTTGGTTCACTTAGCAAAGCACAGGTGAAGAAAGTAGCCCGGTTTCTGCCAAACCCAGAGAAGCATTGGGGTCCAAAGATAAGGGCTGGTCGTCAAATCACGAGCAAACACGTCTCGCTTATTGGTCATGAAGCAGTTAACGGTCATCTCAATGGCCACAAGGAAGCAGGAGCAGAAGAAGAAGAAGAAGAAGAGGAAGAAAAAGAAGAGCAGCAAGAAGATATCATTAAGGATGAGCCAGACCTGAAACGCCAGAAGACAACAGATGATATTGCCTCCACATCATAAGGGGGCTAATGTTTACACAAAAAAAAATATTTATATTTTGTTTGCGAAAGATTGTGTCACCTTTTCTTTGTTTTCAACTCTCGTCATCAGAATTTTGTGTTTTTGATCCAAGCAGAGTGAAATTTTTTAGTTTTCAACTATATCTCGTATTCTCGTGTATTGGTTCTCTTTATTAGTTTCATACAACTTTTAAGTATCGAATCAGAAGCAGACACAAAGTCTCTCAACGGCATTTGTCGAAGAACTAAAGAAGCACACACTACATTTTCGGCAGACTTGGGACAACCTAGTGTGGACTATTCTTGGAAATTGAGTAAACTAATGTTAAGTATTAATTTTAACACAGACTTTGGACTATTAAAAAAGTCGTTGTAGTATAGTGGTAAGTATTCCCGCCTGTCACGCGGGTGACCCGGGTTCGATCCCCGGCAACGGCGATTAATTTTTTAATATCATACAGATTATTTTCCATTTTTTATAAAAGGTTTTAGCTATTACGTGGCACAATCTTGGCCCACGAGTGTAAGTAGATAGATACACCGCCATAATATTATATCTTATGTGTATAAATACGAATCTTTTTTATTTTCCTCGACAATTTTTTTGTTATAAATTTTCTCCCAGTTTTTTGACATCTTCTCTCAGAAACTCAGCAATGGCGTCGGCGAAACTTTTCGGTTGTGCAATTAACGTTGAACCAGAGGAAGAAGAAGGTGGTGGTGGTAGTGGTAGCTCAATCGCCGGGGAAATTCCTCGATCTGGTGTCCAACCGGATGGCGAAGCTGCGATTTTGTCCGCCTGTTTCCCTCCGCCCAATCAGAGGGGAATTAATCCATATTTCCGTTTCTTAGATTCGAATTCAGATTCTGGATCGGCTTCTATGGATTCAGAATCCGATCTGCATAGCTGTTTCATCGATTTCTTTGATCGAGAGTCGTACGAGGTCGAGACCGTCCGCGATTGGGGATTTCTCGACACGGAGGAGAAGATAGATTTAGGACTCGGAATCGGGTCAGGTTCAGGGTCAGGGTCAAGCCAGCTGCGCGGTGATTCAGGTGGGTTAGGGCTTCAAGCTACCCGGAATAGGGAAATTGATTCGGGTCGGGTCGAAGTCTGTACGGCTCTAACTTCTGTTGGGGATGATCTCTTTCTGGAGGAAGCTGCTATGGATGTTACTCCTGTTTGGGATGAATTCTTTGGCGATACAACCATGGTGGGTGGTGAGGAACTTGAATGGGAGGATTTGCAGAACGCGATCACCTGGGTTGAAGAACCCGTCCAAGTTAGTATTTTCAGTCTGGAAGAAGCAGAAGAAGTAGTAGAAGGAGAAGAAGAGTTGCTTGTAGCATCGAGGGATGAGGATCAAGATCATCATGATGTACATTGGGAGGTTTCGTTACCTGTTAACAATGTTGGTTTTTTGGAAGAAGCTGAAGATGTTATGGATATGGTAGACGACTCTGCTCTTATGGATTTTCATTACGGCGTTTTTCTAGCTAGTATAGATGAATATGATGATGATCATGGAGATTACGATGCCATATTCGCACAATCATTCGATCAAGAGGCTGGAATAAACGGGAGTCCACCGGCATCCAAAAGGGTTGTAGATGATCTCCCAGTTGTGGAAATTACCACTGAAGAATTGAGCAAAGGGGACATTGTTTGCGCAATCTGCAAAGATGAAGTTGTGGTGGAGGAGAAAGTAAAGAGGCTTCCTTGTAAGCATTACTATCATGGAGAGTGTATCATACCTTGGCTAGGGATAAGGAATACATGCCCTGTTTGTAGGTATGAGCTACCAACTGATGATGTTGAGTATGAAAGGAATAGGAGATCACAAAGGCATGGTAGCAGCGTTTTGGCAAGGGATTTGATGTCCGAGTAGATTGAAGTAATTGTGCTTTATCTTCGGTGTAATCTCTCTCTCTCTCTCTCTCTCTCTCTCTCTCTTATCAGTAACGATCTGTTCCTGATTGATATGGTGTACATATTATCTTGGTTTTAGGCAGATTAAAAAAAGAAAAAAAAATATACTTTTGGAGCTTTATCTTGTGCTAGTTATTTAGGTTCATTAATCTTTTAGGCTTTGATGACAGTTGCAGCCCCAGTTTCTTTATGGTGGAATTGTTTATCCTACTTTCATTAGATCTAAATATGATTTTTGCGATGTGATTTGATGCTTCTTCAATAGTCTTTTTAGAATTTCTCGATCAAGATTACCTCTGCAAGATTATATTGTAAACGTTAAAACTTTAGGCGAGTCCAAATTTAGGAATGTCATAGGGAAAAAGAAAAAGACTTTTGGAGCTATATCTTGTGTAAGTTGTTTAGGTTCATTAACTTTATTGAGAATCGCAATCACAGTTCTTTTTAGTGGAATTGTCCATCCTACTTTCATTAGAGGTGTTGCGATGGGCTAACCCGATCCATGTCTCTAAGTGTCAGATGTGGAAAGAATGTAGGTCCTGGTCCGGTCATGCGACTCTGTGGCCAGCTTGTGGTTAACCAAATACAAAATTAAAAATGATGGATTTTATCGGGTTTAACTTTGTCTTAATTCGGGTTCAACATGCGGGCTTTTAGCCCTGTCCATGCCTAATTTGTGTTGGCTGAAAACTAGATTCATGCGGAAGCTATAAAATGCCTAGAAATTCTACGGTAACTAGAAGACGGTTTTTTCATAATGACATTAGATTAATCTAGACTTTTAGTTGCGTATTAAAAATATTTCCATGTTTCTTTCAGTTAACTACTTCAATATAAACCGAAGCCGGCCACTACGGATAAGATTGTTAAAAAAAAAACAAAAGTTAATAGTCATTTTCACATGGGAGTGGCTGGTTCCTTTCCTCTATAGTGACTCTACATATCTAAAGAGCCAAACTTAAAACATTGAGTGTCGATTTTCTTTTTTATGATCATGGAAAAATCCATTTGATGGCTCTTGGATACCCAATTAGCTCAACACTATTTGCTATCCTCATATGCAATAATTATGTCTCTTCTTTCGTTCCATGTAACGAATACTCCACATATTTGAAAAAATATAAGCTCCTCTACGAAATCTAAAGTTTTAACCGTGTTTATTTATTTTTCTTCTATATAAATTTACTGTTTAACAAAGAAAATAGTTATGTACGAAGAACAAAAACTAGACGTAAAACCAAGTAAAAGACATGAGAAGAAATCATAAAGAAAACTTTAAATACATTAAAAGACAAAAAAACAATTATCTATGTAGATGCCGGTGAGAATCTTGGTACTGAAACGACACTTCTCTGTTTCGAACCGATTTCTAACTTCGCTAATGAGATTATCCGTTTCTATATTGACATTTGAAACTACATTTGTGTGGATCTTTTTCGATTTATTAAAAACGATCTAAAGAGGTGCATTAAATAAGTAATTGCACGAAGATGAAGAAAATTAATATTTCCTCCGTTTCATAAAAAGTATCATTCTGACATTTTTCACATATATTAAAAAAATTATTAAAAATACAATTTTGTTCCTTATTAATACATTAAATAATTTGTTTTTATCTAATAAATACATTAAATTAATATGGTTAAAACTGGAATATTGTTTAAAATTTTACATTAAAAATATAAAACAATATTTTTTGTGAAACAAAAATAAAATTTTAAAATGACACTCTTTGTGAAACGGAGGGAGTATAAAACGTATGTAGTTGGGATGGATGAATAACATCACATCAAAAATAATTTTCATCACACCATTTGAAAATGTTTCATTTGGTAATTATTACCTCAATCATTTTGGGATTGAAATTTGAGCTCAAGTTTTTCCGTGACGTTCTCCCACTTTGTCTTCTTGTCTCTTAGGATTCTCTATACCTTCTCCTTAAGGGACATTAAGCTTTCTAGACCAAAATGCACATCAACTACTCTCAAGCAATAACCAGACAATTAAGAGTATAATAATAGGGTAAATAAAACTTAAAGTGAATGCTAGACTGGAACACATATGTAAACAGTATTCCAATAAAAAAAAAAACATAACCTAAATGAAGTTCATACAAGCTAATCACTACTAAGAGAAAAAGGATCATATGAGTGTAATAACAGTCAAGAAATACAACCTACTTAGACTGAAACTCGTACTAATTGATACATGTAAGAGCAAAACAAAGACTTCAATATTGTGAAGGATACAACTTACACTAAAATCCAGCAGACTGAGAATACGTAATAACCAAGATGTAGCATCAAGTTGAAAAGTATTCATCACCAATAATAATAGATAACATATATGCATATGCATACATGTATCAGTGTCATCATGTCTGTATGATGTGTATGTGAAGTTGTGAACTGCATGTATATATGCATGCACTTGCTTATCGGATACCAAGTTCTTGCGACTGTGTTAGGTATTAAATTTTCATGGGGGAAAAGTTGTTACCTTAGTTTTCCTTCATACTCAAATATTAATTTATCTGGTTTCGTCCAAAACCTATAATAACTTAGAATAATAGACTAATTTTGACAAAAACAAGAAATATCTTAGGACAAAATAATTAGGCAATGACAAGTTGGGTTATTTTTAAAATTTCAAACTTTTTTGCTGGTCATGGTAAAATTAATAACACAATCATAACTTTTATGATTATGATTGACGATAATGATACAATTTGGCAGTGATAGTGGGGCAAACCCTTAATAAAATCTACAAGCTAAGTACCTCAGCACATTATGTTGGCCTCCATCCATATACCATTAAAATTTAACTAGAAGGAAAGTGGACTACGTATCCGTGTTCTATTTTATGTATAGTTTTCTGTTTTCCACTATATGTTAAGATATTAGTTCTCTTATTTAAACATGAGATTACTTTTACAGAGCAACTGAACGTACGCATGCAGAGATTAATAAAAAAATTAGCCATAGATGCTTAAAATATATTTGTTAGTATTATCCATTTGGCAAATTGGATAGAATGATTTAAAGGTATACGAACGAAAAATAAAAAGTATAAAATGGGTATATATATAATATACTAATAAAAATTTCATAAAAATAAAAGAATATCTGTGGAACTATAAAAATTATCGTAAAAGGTGTAAATGATACCAATAGACTTCGCTTTGGTGATTGGCTTATCCTTAATCCTCCAATCAGTTGGACCATCATGGAATCATCCCTTTTAACTGTTTCAATAAATTAATATGGTGATGATTGCTTAACGAAGAAGATCAATGGGATTTCCAACTCTCATATGGTATTTAAGGGGTTAATGAATCTCTGAGTAAAAAAAATCCAGTTTTAGTTGGAAAAAACGTAGTAGTTCTACAGTTTTGTTTTTAGCTATATGAGCATTTTTCGATACCACAAAATTCACATGTTAATTACTAATTACATTAGATTTCAGTTTGAAAATTTTGATTTTCTATACAAACTACAAGATCTTAAGGAAAACTTTTCGTAAAAACATTAAAAATCAAGGTAGGCCAGTATCAGGTGGTAGTGTTACTATTATGAGCAAAGCAATGAAACATTAAAAATACTTTTACAGTTTATGGTTCGATAAAAATATTATTAAAATAATATGAGATAAAGGAAACACTAAGAAAAAGCAAATTGAAAAAGTTATAAAAAATAAAGAAGATATGAAATACAAAAAAAAAGTTTAAGGCTGTGGAAGAAGAACAAACCGTGCAAAGGACATGAGACTGAAATAAAGAAGAAATAGACTTTGTCTGAATGATATGACTTGATGGTGTGTATTTGCCTTTTGTTTGACCAACACAGTCACACTCTCTTTCATTCAATAGTCATTAAATTTGCCAAATTATGCAATTTGATGGTTTTAGTCAGTCAAAAAGTTTAAGGTGTTGTGAATATCGCATTAAAAAGAGTATAGAAGGATTATAAACTAATTAATTTTTAATTCATTATCAGTCGGTTTGAGATGAAAATATATAACATCAGAACTTATTAATCTCATATGAATATTTGATCCAAAATCCAAGAACTACCCTACATCTGTTCAAAAGAAGCTAGTGGTCTCTTGAAAATGGGATTTCCTCAAATGGTAAGGTATGGCATTACCACAACAGTAACCTGCAATAAACTTTTGAAAATAAAGCTTTAATTTTTACTGTGTTATATAACTTTCTGTGAACACCCAAAAAGTCTACCAAGAGGACCAATATCAATTTGCACATATTGTAGTTAACTGCCTTTTTTCAAATTGGATTATAATAAACCCATGCATGCCTAAGTTTTTGATTATTTAAAGAAAGATACGTTCTAAAATTATAATAGTGACAAGAAAGAAAATAAGGAACCAAAGACGATTTGTTCAACTTCTACAATTATTAAACAGTTTTGCCAATGATTATCTATTGCGTCTATTGTTTTTATTTTTTTTTTCCAGTTTAATGAATCTAAGGCTGGAAACTATTGGTCAACCCAAACGATTTCCTAGAGTTTAATGACGTTGTATATTAAGTCAAACAGTTCTACAACGAAATAGTCGATCTTCATATTTAATTTTGACCAGCAAAAGGGATAACACTCATATCTAATTAGCATAACTTAGTTAAATTAAGGAAAAATATTTGTCTTGAATTGTAATCATTTTGCAAGTGAGTGGTTTTAAGTGGTTGTTGTGTCATCAGCTCCTCAATTGTGTTATAGACTTTGCCTTAGCCTTTGTACGTAACGAAATCATAAAACGACAAGCCAAGCCTGCCTAACACATCTTGCTTTTCTAGTGCAGCGAAGGAATTTATTTGGTTTGGGTTTTGTTGATAGTGTGGTCTACTATATATATTTATTGAGTAGAAAACACCACATTCTTTTATATTTTACTCCTCTAAAATTCTACGCAGAAAACCATATAATAATCGATGCTAATGAAAGAAGAGAGGCAAATCTCAAAGGTACAAGATATAATCTGCTTATTTTTCTATAGAAAAAAAAATAAGAGAAATTGGTGAATTGTGTAGATGTTAGGATTATAGAAGCTTTATAAATTGACTTATTTGGCATCATCACCACTTTATATGTTGGCTAATAAAAGCATTGTTTCTAAACCTATTTATTTTGAAACCCAAAAAATAGAAACTACAAATTTTCTCTCTGATGTAAGCACATTAACACTGATCCCAAACTTTATTTTATCCACAGGTTATATATATTGTATCCAAGTCCTCGTGGATCATTATCATCAATGCATGGGCCATGATGCATAAACCTTTTCAGTTCAGTCATGCATGAACATCATCATGATGGCCATGGCACTCTCTCCTATACCTACATTACATTACTTGCCACTTGGTTACCATCATGATCGACGTATAAGGCATACTTTCCCTAGTATCAATATATCCTCATGCATCAACCGATCGGTGAATAAACATACAAATGTCAATGGGACCAAACTTATTCTGATTCAACCTGTTTATCGATATCATTAATATTTTTTACAAAAAAATTATATGTATCTATTGCCCCCACCCCCCCCCCCCCCCAAAATCTAATTTATGTGTACCTTTATATGCCCACCTGGAATTTCTTTTTAAAAAAATCTTCTTCCCAATAATTTAAATTAAAGGAAAAAACAAACATGCCAATGGGTCATGTAGAAGACATAATCTAAATTGTTTTTCAAAAGCAAAACCCTTAAGTGTCACGAAAGCCACCAATTTGCAAAAATTAAAGGTGTGGTCCACTTTTATGCCGTTTTCTGCTGTATAAACACACCTTCTCATCCAATCTCCACCATTAACTCACCCTCTTTGAGCTCTAAAGAGAGAGAGAGAGCGAGACATAGAGGGAGAGAGAAATTGACCATGCAGCCAATTAATAATAGCTCAAGTCTTAGCAACATGCAGCAACAAGACTACTTCCAGTTAAACCACTACTACAACAACTTAAACCCTACAACCGGTGTCAATCTTATCCATTACCCTCAGATTCAAGAACTGAATCTACAATCTCCGGCAAGCAACAACTCTACGACTTCTGATGAAGCAACTGAAGAAATCTTCATCATAAACGAGAGAAAGCAAAGACGTATGGTATCTAACAGAGAGTCAGCAAGAAGGTCAAGAATGAGAAAGCAAAGACACTTAGATGAGCTTCTCTCACAGGTTGCTTGGCTTCGAAGCGAGAACCACCAGCTTTTAGATAAGCTTAACCAAGCCTCGGACAGCAACGATCTCGTTCTTCGAGAGAACTTGATTCTTAAAGAGGAAAACTTGGAGCTTCGTCAAGTTATCACATCTATGAAGAAGCTTAGAGGAGCAGGAGGAGGAAGCACAAACATCCATGGAAGATCTTGTTCTTCTTCCTTGGATCATGACTTGGATCAAGACTTAATTTCTTCTATTTCAGATGATCCAAGAACTCATCATCCATCATGACTTGTTAATTTGTTCTGATCGAACTCTAAGTTTCGGCCTCTAATCTATCTACTTTCTTTTCTTTTCTTTTTTTTTTTGGTGTCCGCGAAATTCCGCCCCTTATATATGTTTTTGGGGCGGGTACAAAAGCGGATTTTTATGTATTTTTTTCTCTGAGCTAGACTTGGATCTAGCACTGCTGAAAAACATTACTATTTAACAGTTTCACTACGTACCAAATTTTGAGTTTTCCCTTCTCAGCTGTTTGTGATGGATATTGGAAGTTTTCTTCTCTGTTTTGATTTGTATAAACAGAAAAGAAGATAATTTGGGAGATGATGAATATTTCTTCTTTTATTTGCTGCTTGGAGATGATGATATAAATTTAAAGCTGTAAAAACAAGGAGCTAAAAGACAATTCATTGATCCATGAGGATATCTGCGATATATTCAGCGCTATTTCGGACAATTCGTTCACTCCTTTGGTTATTGTTTATCATCACTCATTTTTTATCGATTATGACAGCTATTTTGTTTTTTTATGAAAACTCTAGCCCCTCTCTAATCCTTTTATATTAAGCTTGTTAGAAAAAAATGAAACGTTTAAAAATGTAAATATGGATGCATGGATCGAGACAAGGAAAAATCCCTAAAATTTATCCATTGGAAAGCATGTTTGATGAGAAATTTTTTTAAAAAAAGACTAATAATTGGGCTTTAGTCAATATCTTATGGGCTTTATTAAGCTTTTTTACTTCGGCTTAGCAGGCCCATTTATGTTGACACGTCATGATTCGTTCGTTCTTTTTTTTCTTTTCTTTTTTTTGTGCAACTCTATTGATGGTTCGTTCTCTTTTCGGAACATTGAGCAGAAGAAAAAGGATGCGAAGTTGATGATGGTTATTGACCACTCGATTGAATATGGAATTAGTAGGCCTATTTGGAATTTTAAATTTTTTTTAGATTGAAATTTTTTTGTCGCTGTCTTCTTTCTAAGTAGCCAGCCAATTGAAATTGGCTTGAAACGGAATACTGTGAAGAACGGAATCCTAAGTTATTACAACAGTGTCACTTCTTTTTCTTTTTGCTCCTATAAGTTAGCATATACCTTGGAAAAGTATTATAATTTCACAAATGATGATTTGTACCAAGTAGACAGGTTTTCAATTTAACTAATGCTGAGAAAGAGGAATGCTAATTTGTACTAGTTAGCCAAAAAAATACAGACCAAAATATGATTTACAGCTTGCAATCTAGTCTTTATTTTATTATAATTATTTTGTTCTTTAGCAACATTCGAGTATCAGAAGGAAGGAACAATGCCATATCCAGTGTCGTACATTAGCATTGTGTTGAAGCATTGGTCCTCCTCAGCTTCGATTTCGATTTCTCTGCTCTTTACAAAACGGCCATTGATCCTTGGTCTTCTCTCTGCATATGCCTTCCTTGAAGCATACCTTATTATCTTCTCAAATCTCCTAGTCTTCTTCTTCTCTCTGTATCTCAGGACTCTGGCTTCTCTGTCCATTGGACTAAGTTGGGTTGGAGGGTCAGGTAGTGGTTGGTCCATCGTCACTTTGGGCGTTCTTGCGTCACTTGCTATTGACTCCGGGACAAAGTCTGTTTCCGTACATGCCTAATCACAAAAACAAAGACATTCTTGTTATATATAGACTAAGTGTTGGCAGTCAATCTTTGTGTATGACGAAAGAAAGCACTCTGTTTCTTTTTTCTTAAAGATGAAGGGCCAAGAATATGTACAAAAAAAAAAAAAAAAAGAAGCCTTACGTTATGGTTTATGGAACCATTGTAGCTGTAGTGACTTCCTGAGGAGATATCGAACTGAAAATTGTGTTGATTGTGTTGCAAATGGCTCCTTGATTCGTCAAGCTGAAGCGGAACAACTCTATCTCCCCCGTGGCTTGTCTGTGGTACACTGCAGTCTTGTTGATGCTGTGTGTATTGACCTGTGAATTTGTAGTCCATCCTCGAGTTGTAATCCGTAAGTTCTAGATACTCATCACTAAACAAGAAACCATTGTTCTGGTCATGGTTCTTGTGACTGTCATTATATATATCTGAATGTGGGAACAACCACGAAGCGTCCTCTTTGGCATCCTCTTCACCTCCCTTTGGATCCACCACCATCACTGTCTTCTCTGGATCAGTGGCCATGGAGGTGTACGAGATTCCAGATATTGGGAGAATTGGAACTCGGTGATGGCGTCTAGCAAGTGGGTTTGCGGAATGAACCTCTGAATCACAGGCTATGCATAGAGACGCATCATCTGCCTCACACAGGAAAGCAGCCGGGGCACGCTCACATGACTCGCACACCTGGACTCGTTTGTGGCGGGAAGCAACACGATTGGCAGAGTGAACTTGAGCATCACAGCTCGTGCACAAGTAGGCAGAGTCAGCACGGCAGTACACGGTGCAGGGTGTTGACCGGCATGTGTCACAGGCTCGTGCCATGTTGTACTCTCCAATACCAATGTCTTTACTCTCTTCTTTCAACATAGTGAGTAACTCAGTATGTCGTAGCTTTTGCTTTGATTGGTGTGTGAGATTGTGTCTGAAAGAAGGTGCTAATAAAGGTATATCTGTTGTCAGAGAATAAGCAGAGGAGAGATCGAATCCTGAGTGCCTACACGTGGCCCCTTGAAATGTTATTGGATCATCATGCGGCTGGCTGAGCTTTTTGGAAGGCTTATGTGTAAAGAGTAGAGTGTAAACATCTCCTCTTTTGTCCTCTTCTTCGATGGGACCCGTTCACAAGTTGCTTCGGTTTTGCCACTTGCTGATTCTTACTATTTTGTGTATCACCTTTTACTATTTTCATATGGATTTTCTAGGGACTCAATCGGAAGTCTTGAGACTAAAGATTAGCATTTTGCCTGCTGAGCCACAAGTTGATAGGTATTTTGGATTCCAAAGGAGCAAGGTTAGTTATATATCGCTTGATCACCATCATGTTAACAAAGCACTATATATGGCTCTTGAGTCTCTCTAACATTTTGAGAATATGGTCTTCCTCTATATTGTTTATTGTAGTTTTATAGATTTCAACCTGTGGAATACATACTAAAGCGTGGCATGTCATTTATGAGAGCTGTTACGCGCCCATTTCTATTTCCATATTGTATACTGTGTCTCGCGTAAGAGATGAAAAAAGTTTCAGAACTTGTCTTTAGGATTGCAGAAGGAATTGTAAAGTTTTGGTATAGAAGAGCACATTTGTTTACTAGTTTCTTTGTTAGCAGATATTGGCAAGCTATTGGTGACCCATTCGTCTATGCAGCAACTTGGGGTTTGCTTGGACTAGTAACCACCAGTACGTACTTGAACTAGTGGCCTTGTTGGTGATATGCTAATGATATTTATTATGTGGAAGCTAGAGATATGATATGCTTTTGGGTTCAGTGGATGTATGATACTCATTTTGTGGTCCTTGAGCTCTATAGCTGGAAAATGAGTTTGCTTGTATAAAAGGGCTGGTCCTAGGATACACTATTCGCATCTCTTCCTCTTTCATATCTGCTTGCACCACGCTTTTCTTTCCAATAAGGGAAAATTTTTAAACTTGTAAAATTCTTGTCATTATTGGTTTTAGGAGGATTGTAAAGGCATATGGAGAAGTGTTTCCCATATTATTGCTCTTTGCCAAATTTATGTTTTGAACTTCTCTCAGTTTTGTAGACCGGACCTCCAGCCTACATGAAATTTGCTATGTGGAGGAAAATGCATTTTTTTTTTTTATCTACCGTGACTGACTCAATTTCAGAGATATAGGGAATAAAGCTATATCGCGTATTTGTTTCCAGTGTTTCTCAGTTTCTCTTGTTGCGAATACTTTCCTTCTTTCAGATTTAAGGGAAAGCTTCTTTTCTTGAAAAGACTGAGAGGAGAACAAGAGTCCAGGGACCATATAAAAGCTTGTAACTGTACTGCGGATTCTCCACTTTCCATGGCTGTGAGAAACTATCTGAAGAAAAGTGCCAAAATGCAGTGACCTTCGGCAAAAGTTAATCACTTTTATGCATTTTCACGTGGTATCTCGAATCCATCACTAAACTATTAACATTCATTTGCTTCTTTAATTCTTTACTACTTAATTCTTCTAGTACAAACTCTGCTACTTCAAGCTTCCTTGTTGATGATATGCTAGTATTGTATGCAACAGGGGATATCTTTGATTTGTGATCAAACCAGATCACTGACTAGATTCTTCTGGTGGTCTGAGAACTTTGCTGCAGTGAACATTTCTGGCTTCACCTATGTTTTACGACACTATGGTGGTGGCTAGCTGCCTAGAGTCATATGAATAATAAACACTTACTCAGTTATGTCTAAAACGAATCTTTTGATTGGTTAGAAGTTCATCAGCTTAACCTTGGAAATGAATAAGTTGACCTATAAAGCCCTTTCCAAGTGGCAAAAAGCTAAAGGCCTAGTTACGGTGCCTCGTTATTCTTTAATGCCAGCATATACCCTGGAAAAGTGACCTATTATAGGCCTATATTCTAAAAGATAGAGCAATAAATAGGTTTCTCGATACTGAGTTTTTATTTGCTTACTTGGATGGTCCATATAGGCATTTGATATATTCTGCTAGTACTTGGTTGTGAGGGACAAAATGTGTTCGAATATTGTTATCTGAGAAAGCCACGTAGGAATGGGTTTGATACCGCAGCCATATGCTCCAATGCTAAACAAGAACAAGAATATGCTTTGATGTGATTATACGTAGCAAGTATTGTTCACTCAGGGTGCTCTGTTTTTGCTATCTAACTTCCACTTATCTGAGTATGTTACTGAAAATGACTTTACAATGTGTGATGTTTGTTTTTTACTGGATTTTTTACATGTTTCTTTTTACAAAAATTAGACTCTGTAATCTACTTTGATCGGGAAAAATCATAGAGTGTAAAATCTTCTTTCCTCAGGGCGGCACAAATGGAATCAATTATCTTCGACGTGTTCAAGTGATGTGGAAAGTGTCACCAAGAAAGAAATCACTAGTTCCGTGTTAACTGCTCTTGGTCTAGCTAGATAAAGTAATGCATATCTCTTTAAGAGGATTTCTAACAGGTGGGAAAAATTTGTTTTGACTATAGCAGCAAAATATATGAATACATATATCTAATTAATTCGTAGTAGTTAGACAAAAACTACAGACCTATAATGCATTACAGTGGTAGTAACTAAGCATGTGTAATCCTTAGAATGAAGGAACAATTCCATATCCTGTGTCGAACATTATCATTGTGGAGAAAGCTTTGTCTGCCTCTGCATCGACTTCTTTCCTCTTTGCAAACCGGCCTTTGATCCGTGGTCTTGTCTCTGCATACGCTTTCCTCGAAGCATATCTTATGGTCTTCTCAAATTTCCTCATCTTCTTCTTCTCTCTGTATCTCATGACCCTAGCCTCTCTGTCCATTGGACTCAGCATCTGAGTTGGAGGGTCTGGTAGCTGCTCTGCTACCGCTTTGGGCGATCTTGGGTGTGATACTGTTGTGTCACTAGTTGCAGACTCTGGCACAGCTCCGATATGACTCACCATATGACTTGGGGAACCATTGGAGCTTCGATGAGCTCCTGAGGAGACATTTGTGAATCCAAACTCAAAGTTGTATTGCTCTTGGTGCATGTGATGACCTTTTGATTCTTCCACTCGTAGTGGAACAACTCCATCTCCCCCATAGCTCCTCTGAGGTACGTTGCAGTCTTCTTGATGATACTGATTGGATTCATCTGTGAATTGCTTATCCAGACCGGAGTTGTAATCGACAAGGTCAAGATACTCGTCACCAATCGACAAACCATTGTTCTGGCTGTTGTTGTTGTTGTTGTTGTTGTTACCACTGTTTCTCCCTGAATTAGGCAACAACCAAGAAGCCGCCTCTGCTTCATCTTCATCCTCCTCTTCTTGACCCACCACCTGTCTATTCTCTGGATCTGTCGTCAGTGTTGTCTCACTGGAATGGTTAGTGGCCATGGAACTGTAAGAGTCGCCAGAGACTGGCAGAATCGGAACTCGTTGATGTCGTCTAGCAAGTGGGTTTGCGGAATGGATCTGTGAGTCACATGCTGTGCATAGAGAAGCAGCATCTGCCTTGCAGAAGAAGGCAGCAGGGGCTCGCTCACATGATTCACAGACTCGAACACGTTCGTGGCGGGAAGCAACACGATTTGCAGCATGGACTTGAGCATCACAGCTCGTGCACAAGTAGGCAGAGTCAGCTCGGCAGTACACAGTGCAGGCGGCTGACCTGCATGTATCACAGGCTTGTGCCCAATTGCTCTCTTCTTTCAACATAATAGCTCAGATGTAGTTACTGGTTTTGTGCTGGTGAGGGAGATTGTATATGAAAGCAGGGGGGGCTAATAAGACAGAGGAAGGATAGAATGCTGACACGTGGCGAGAAGTTAGTGGCCTTGAAAAGTTGGTTGATCATCTTGTGGCTGGCTGAGTTTCTGCGAAAGGTTGTGTATGGGGTCCAGTCCATAGATGCTTACGTTTGGCTTTTGGAATCATCAAACTCTGATGAAAAAAGTGAAAACTACTACTAAGCTAGTCTTCTTCTTATATCTTGACATTGGAGAAGAAAGCCACACCAAGAGTTTCTACTCTATCTCTCTCTCTCTCTCTCTATTGTAATCTCTTTTTCCTAAGTAATCTTCTATGGGACCCAACAACATGTTGCCTAGGTTCTGCCCCGTGAATATCGTGATGTTACAGATACACTACTATTTTGGTAAAGCTGGAAACTTGGTTAGCTCTTTGGCTTTGACCATCAGCCTTTGGATTCTTAACTTTTGTAATGTTTTAACGGTTCAGGTTTCTCTCCAGAGTCTCAGAGCCATCACTTAACAATCAATGTTCCAGAGGTGGTTGCAGCTGCACTTTTTTAGAATGATTTTTAAATAAAAATTCTAAATGGTAATTCTTCTGATGGAAAGTGTTTAGCATTGTTAAGAAAGTGATAACCATTTGTGATCTTTCGTATGATGCTGTCTGGTTTAGTGATATTTTAGGAGATAACTTGAACAAAATGGTTATCACATCAAGTCGGTCATGTGAACGTAGCAAACAGTGGAGATCCCAGGAGCCAATTGGAATCTGCCAAGTCGCTTCGAGCTTAAAGATTAGGAAGAACATAAGCCACAAGTTGAAGCAAATGGTGGGTCCCCTAAGGTTTGTTAGATTAACATTTTCTTATGGTCTGTTTTATACGAATCCAATTTGCATATGATCACCATCATTTTCAATAGAAACAAAGCATGCACGAGTCCATAAGTGTTGTCACATCTGATCTCTATCATCTTTTGAGCATACGATAAAACTCGATCTTATCAATTTTAGCTTTAGTAGATTTCAAACTTGTGGAAGTGATCATTTACTGGTATGTATTTAAATCAACATGTGTCAAATAAAATTGGTGGGATTCATGAAGTTTTAGATTTTGAAGCCCCAACGTATTCTAATGATTCTAATCGGGCTGACACTTCGTTGATTAAAAAGAGTCTTTGAGTTAAAAGTGAATATTTTGTAGCTTCAGCAACATAACAGGTGAGTGAGAAAGTTTCTATTTATATTTAAGAAACAAATTGAGAATGAAAAATACAGAGCAAGTAACAAAGATAATTACTGAGGATCAACATACTAAACACGATTCTTTTTGTTTTTTTTTGTTTTGGCGGTCAGAAGGGGCTAACCTCACGAGCTAGTTTCAACAACAACTCTGGGACAAGACGCTTTCTGGGAGGAGCCAATGAGTCTTTAGTCAGCGCGTCATTGTCCTCGCCATGTATCACAGAGACTATGTCATCAAAGAGTTCGTCTTTACCTCCTCTTAAGGGATCCTAAAACAAATAATCTCATGCCTTTATTATACCCACACTGTGCTAATTAAGTCTATGTGAGTGTGACACAAATGTAAGGTAGCGTATTTCTGTGGCTTACCTGAAGAAACAAATCCGTATGTGTTTTACCGGTATATAAAATAAGCTCCGCTTTGGCTCCAGCAGCTTGGAGAGCCTCTGTAAAAGTTTTACTGCATAAAAAGGAAGTTTTAGAGAAGCAGAGGATTAGTTAGCAATGTATGACTTCAAGAGGATGATGATATATACCTTGCATCGGCTGGTATGGAATAGTCTGAGGATCCATGGAAAAGCATAATAGGAGGCAATAGAGACGCCGCTTTTCGGACAATTGGGTCTTTTAATCTTACTTCCGGAGAGAATTTTTCAAAGGACTCTTCTCCTTCCATTATGCTACAACAAGACGGAGTTGAACATTAGTAATCAGACTGTGTTTAGGATTTGATTAACTGAGAATTTACCTTAGGAAAATCGAGCGATACAGGCCCCGATTATGGAAGTGATCAACCAAATTGTATAGATTGTACCTGTTCAAGTTCAAAACGATGAACAGACCAATTGATTTAACACAGAAACAAACGGGACATCCAGAAGCAAAGTTAAGAAAATTGTACCCTCCAGATAATCCAAAATAAGCTTTTATTTGGTTAACCCTCCAAGAGATGCTCTCTCCTTTTGATTCTTTAGTAGCTTGTTCCAACAGAGCACAAGCGGCTATATGGGCACCAGCTGATTGCCCCATCAGGTAGATCCTACAGAAACAAGCACACGCAGTTCAATACTCGAGAAAAATTTGGAAGATCAAATGGTGAACAAAACCAAAGCGAATGAGTTGAAACCTGTTGGGGTCACCTCCAAATGCAGAGATGTTATTGCACACAAATGAGATTCCTTGAGAAACATCCGTCACCATATCACTAATTGTTCCCTGAGGAAAGTTTCTGGACCAAAAGGAAGGGATTGCTTGGTAAATGCATGAAGAAAAATATAGATTTTCAAATATCTTCAAATCCCAAAAAGCTCCAAACAGAGCTAAAGTATTTTCGATTTTGTCTGGATTATAGTTATACCAACTAAGTATAATCCAGAGTAAGTAATACATTCAAAAGAACACTAGTACCTGTAGTCAACACATGCTACAATGATATCCCTTTCTGCTAGCTGCATTCCCAAGAGCGAGCCCCAAGCTTTGTACCTAAATATCAGCACAACAGTAGCAAACATGAACTTATTAACACGTGACTTCATTAAGTGCAAGATTAAAGAAGATGAAACTTGGGTGAAATAAGAATACAGAACCCATCGGGATCTTTAATGTTTCTTTCTAACCCAAATACCAACAAAGGATAAGGTGGAAGGAATACTTCTATCACTGTGCAGGGGAACTGGGACACGAGATATAACTTATCAACCCTACACTAAACTACATGCACAGATACTGTAAAACGAACGAATTTCAATCTTATGAATGTCGTAACTCCAATGTGCTACTCACCCAATAATCCAAGCTCCCCCAGTCACGAAAACCACAACCGGCTTCATGCCATCGTTGTTGCTTGGCAAGTACAGATCCAGCCTACCGAATCGTCGTTCGTACATGAAACACATCAACAGTCTCAGACATAGGTGATGTGATAAGAGCAGGCATTAAACATACGGTTTTATGCCGAGGTGAAAGGAGAAGGTAAGATTCTATTTAGTTCACACACAAACCTGTTCCTTGGTTGATCTCCATACACTACACTCCTCCGGACTTGTGATGAGAAAAAATAACTATATGCAACTGCAGACGTAGAAACAAACTTGGGATGAGAAATCAAAAGACTAAATTTCCAGAAGACAGAATCTTGATGTAAAGAAGAAGTCCTTTCTATGTATTTATTCATCAGCAAAGACGAAAACAAAAAAAAAAAATCAAACCTTGAAGAAAGCCAGGCATAAGCAGCATAGCATAACATGTAAGGGCAAGTAATTTTGTGATCCACCGATAGCCTACCCTGAACAAAACTAAACAATTAAAATAAATCCTTGCTGATATGGATAAACATACAAAAGTTATAAAACCATATTTCAAGATACAGGCTCGTCTCTGCAACGAAACTATCACATGTTCAATAATAGATCAAGAGTGAATCAACAGCACGTGAAGTAACTTTCCCTAATTAGAGCTAAGTTCCCAAATCTCAATCAACTAGCACAATAAAAAAACAGATTAGTTCCAATGATTCTTTGCAGAACAAGCAACAGCTACGATATATAAAAAAAAATTGTATTTTTAACAATACCGTGCACACAATGCTCAAAGCCAGCTAATATCTACAACCAATCAAGCGTAATCATCAATAAACCTATCCCAAACCGGGAAAATTAGAGAGATTTAGTACCCGAGGTATCGAAGAAGTTTGAAGCTAAGTCCAGTAATTAGGTACGTCTCAGCCGCCGCGTGGCCGATCTCGCGGCCGAACGACTGCTGCCGGGAAACCCGACGAGGTCCTCCGTCCGCCGGCAGCTTCCCGGGCACTCGACGGCGAACCGGTTCGGGTGAAGACAAACCGTAAGAGCCGTTAAGAAGAGTCGTTCTATCGGAGTCGTCGGGTATAACCTCCTCGATCTCCGATACCGTCGAGGTGGTGGGACGGCACCGTTCTGGGTGCTGAATCTCCAGAGACGAATGCATCCTTCGCCGTGAAATTAGCGAATCTCGACTCAGAGATTCTTCCTCTCCTCGTGTTCTTCTCGGTGATGCTGTGATGTATGAGTTCTCTCTCTCGAAATTCAAACTTTCTGTATCTTTCAGTTTTTGTGCGCTTTCCTTTCGTTCCCTTCACTAGGAGGAAATACTGTAGATATAAAAAGAAGCTCTTTCAAACGACGGCGTTTCATCCCCCTCTAATTAATAAACCTTATATTTCATGTAATTATAGATTTTTTAAAAAACGGCAATCATGTAATAATAAAGTGATTAGAGTTAAAGAGTGTATAAATAAGGTGGAGAAAAGAGAGAGAAAATCCTATTACCCCCATAAAACTTTGTCAAATGCCAGATACAAAATTTCAGTGTCTTTAAGATGTTTAAATTAATGCTAATAATTTCAAAACTTAAATGATTACACACCGGAAATGTTAATTTTCTTTGTTATTTTTAATACATATTTGTTAGTTAATTTTGATTGCATTGGAGAATACTGACGACATCCTAGCTATTACTAGTAGTAAGTCATGGGGCTTAAATATCTTCTTTCTCACATTCGCAAACGACTAAATTTCGTGGGTCCAAGTCTGACGAATATTTCAGAATGTTATAGAAAATCCATCACTTTCACAAGCTCAAGATCATGTAGCAGTGGCACACCCTCCAACCACTAGAACATGCCACGTTAATCTTCTATTTTTTAAGAAATAATTCGTGTTTTATAACATTAGCTTATAGTAGTTATAGCTCTAGCTTGTGGTAATTGACAGCAAATTCTAAACAAGCATCATCATAAACGTTTTTTTTTTTAATAGAAAACTAACCATTTTATCATTGCATTAAACTAATCTATTTTTTCTTTTGGACCAACAAAAAGACAAATTGGAGCCACCTAATCCAAACTTTTTTTCCACGTCCATCATTTTAAAATTTAAAAGATAATGAATTTGTTTTTAACAAAAACCGACACAAAAAAAAAGAAACAACTCACTCAGTTTCTTCCACTACAAAAATAAACCATCAACCAAAATTTTTCAAAAATCTAACTCTCTATCTTTTTTTCTTTTTCTTTTCAGAATACTTCCTTTACTCGCTGCAATTGATGGACAATGTAACCAACGAGTAAAACCTTGTTTTCTTAGATAAATTAAAACTCCATATTATATATATATATATGACCAAGTGTTCAAACTGCAAATCTTAGTTAGACATACGCACAATGGAAATTGAGAACCCTAGAGCTCGGTCGATCGAGTGCATGCAACGCAAGAAATGGGCTAAAATATCTACAAGACCAGTGTGCTTTTTATAATTACAATACGTCAGAAATTTTTGAAAGAAAATAATAATTACAATACGAACTCGAACATTCGAGATGGAGACTTTGGGTAAAATCACTACTATAGGTTACGAATGTATTTCGACATACAGTAGAATTTAGATAAATGTTTTTTCAAAGAGTTTATAGATAAATGTTTTGAATACTATTTACTATTTCTATCCAAATTTTGTTTGCCCTACTTTTTTTTTTATCTTGTTTTTGATTTTGATTATCTTTTCCTATAAATACTCCACCGCAGAGAAAGAAAAAAAAAAAGATGGAGAAGAAGTTAACCTCGGATAACTTGAAACGAAGAAAAAACTAATTACTTGATAAGCATGAAGAGATCACTAACTTATCCACAAGAAACCAAAGAAAGCTCTTAAAATAAGAAATACTTTGTTGTCGTCATCGACAGTATATATAGAAATAGTCAACATCTACATTTTCTTTTTTCTTCAGATTTTGTTTTTGCATTTTTCAAAAGCTTAAAAAGAATCATGGTGTCTACATTTGTGCTTCCTTGTACTTCTCTTTACGTTCTTTTGGTGGCACTTGTCTTATCGTTATGTATCTCACTCGCATTAGCTCAACGACCAGAAGAAGAATCAATCATATGTCCTTATAACGACAAGGGATGTCTAAAATATCTGAAAGAATTTGCAAAGGAACACGTCAACAACCATTTTGAAGCGGTCATAGCTTCTCTCAAGAAAGAGTTTCAAGATAGACGCATAAGCCCAGATGGAATTCATTTGGCACATAAAACATTTATACAAATGACAGAATTCTTCACTTATAACACTATCTAGTCTCCAAAGCCTTGAGAGACATGACTTTTTATGTGTTAATCTTCTTAGACACATGCATATATGATTGATTGTTTCTTTCATGTGTAACTTAAAACACTTGTATATTCTCTGTAAAATTGACAGCATCTGTTTTATTTTTCAAATTTTGAAGGTTCACTATCGAAATCTCGATATGGAAGATCAATGAGGCGAACCAAGTTTTATTTCATACATAAAGTTATATAGTAATAAACTTCATTTTCAACAAACCAAAACGCAAAGCTTAATTACAATAATGACCAAACGAGCAATACTTCCCGCCACCGCAATGACCACCGTATCCACCTTCATCGTCTTCATCATCATTATCATCACTGTTTCTGCTGTGAATCCACCACAACAGATTACTCAGAGAGTTTCCGTCATCAAACCCATTTAAGCCCTTAACCTTCTCCATCGCTCCTTCTTTGTCGTAAATGCTTTCCAAAGCATACACAAATCCTTTCCAGCCTTCTCCGACGCCGCCTTCTCTCGCCAACGCCGGCAAAGTCCAACTCACGAGCTGCTTCACGAAATTCACATCGGAGAAGAGAATTTCCGACACCGGAAGTAACGGTAATAACTGTATCCCAAGGCGACACTCTTTCCATTCCTTTGGCGCGAACCATAATCCACTGTCTCTCTTCGTTGACCATAATACCCCCACCACTCGATTCTCTGCCGTGAAGTCTTTCGGGTAAATTGCGTCGTCTTCTTTCACCTGCCACCACCAAGAATAAAAAAAAAATCAATTTAAAACTACATTAAATGTAGCGCGAACCGTTCTGGTTTAATGAGATTTTTGTGTTTGGTTTGAATTTGGTTATATATCCAAAAAAAACATAACTATAACTATACCGAATCGAACCAAAGTTAACCAATTAAAATCTGTTACTTTAGGCGGTTTACCTGCCACCACATCTTCGCGGCGTGGATCTCGAGCGTCAAGACCGTTGAAGCCACCGCCACCAGATGTGAATCGCCGTAAGCTAACCCTAACAAGGCGGCGGAGTAATACGCGTTTACGGCCTCGCTTGTGCTCTCCTGATTCCTCCCGTCGGCGAACTCCGTTAACCCTCCAGCCCAAGAATGGAGCTTGAAAAAATCGAAGCATCTCAAACGCGGGTATTTGGAATTGGAATTGGAATTGGCCCCTTTCTTCTTCTTCCCCAATGTCATGAAATCCGCCATTAGAGTGTACGCTTGAGGTCTGTATCTCTTCCCCCACAAAGGATCGATCTTAGCGAGCACAGCAATCGCGTAGAGAAAGTAACCTAGATGGTAATGGTGATCGTTGTAAATCCCAAACCCGAAATCTGCTCCCGAATCTCTCGATCCTTGCTTCGTGATCACACCTCCCCATTTAGGATCATACAGAAACCCGTTTGGTTCGAAACCCCCGTCTAACCACGGCTCGATCATGTTCTTCAAGTACTTTTTAATCGCCGGAATCACATCGAGATAGCTAACTTCTTCGGCGATCAAAGCTAGCCTCGCGGCTCTCGCGATCAGTTTCGCGTAGAAGTAGGACGAATTCGTGACCGGAGCTGAGGAATCCAAGGCGTTGACGTCTTTCACGAGTGCTGAGATGATCTCTTCGTGAGCATCTTCTTTGACTCCTTTGATAGAGTGCCACGTCACCGAAACAGGGTCCGGCTTCAAAACCCATGAATCTCCAACGACGCCGACCAAATCTCCGTCGATGCTGCTGTACCTGAAATGATCTAGAACGGAGATTGGACAGTCGTCGCTTGCTAAAAGCTTGAGATGAAGAGGATGAGCGAGCATCAAGAGATCTCCGTAGCCTCTCTTCTCCCATTTGTACTCCAAAGCGAATGGCTTTGTGAAATCGGCGTCACCGGAAACTGGGTAACAGCAACTAAATCGGTCGAGGATTGATTCGAAATCTGGGTTCGAATCCGGTAACACGACGATCCGGATAATACCCGAGAACCCACCACCGCAGTTAATCGAAGAGCCTCCGTTTTGGGTCAGATTAATCGGCGAGGAAGCGTAAATCAGCCAGGTCTGGTTGTTGTTGAGCTTCGCCGTGAATTTCGTGGATGAGCTGTTTCCGGTGAACGATAAAACCGCGTGAATCGTTGAGATTGTGATGGAGGAGTTACCGGAGACGGAGCAGGTGATAAACGGGCTTCCTCTGACGAGAAAGAATCTGAGATTGGAGGAAGGGAAATCGAGAGTGACGCCGAGATCGCTGAACGAAGAGATGAGATGGGTTTTCCTGGAATGCGGGTCGGGTCCGTCTGACCCGGAGATGGTGATGTCGGCGTTGAAAGCCTCGAAGATGAAAGCAGAGTTGTGAGAAAGAGATGGGTATGAGAGCGAGAGTGATGAAACCGATGGTTTGACGATGTAAGGGTGAAAGTACTCAGCTTGATCGCCATTTTTTAGAGTGAAGTTTTGGAAGAAGGAGTTTGTTGGGAGAGGAGTTGAGAGGAGATCGTTGCTGAAGAAAGCAGACGGGTCGGGTAAAACAGAGGAATTGGATGTCGGGAAGAGAAACGGAGCGTTCCTTTGTCTCGAGGAAGCCATATTATGAGGCGGCGGAGATGGTGGTGGAGTATGAGGAGGAGGAGTTTGCTTTGGTGATGGAGGTCTTAAAGGTCTGTTCTTGGGCTTTTTAAAGGGTTTGGTGACAAAGACTTTGACTTTTCGCCTCACTTTCTTCAACATGTTTGCTTAGTCAAGAGGAGAAATAGATAAATTAGGTTCCTAGCCAAGGGGTTGTTCTAAATTAATTGTGACAGGGTCGTGACTCGTCGTCGTGTTTGTTTTACGATTAAATTATGACACGGTCGTGACTCGTGTGGGTTTGTTTGGTTAGAAAGAAAAATATAGGGGAGATTTTGTAAATTTATAAGATAAGCTGGTTTACAAGCTAAGGTTTTGGGAACGTGCAGGAGACTTGCTAGATGCTAAACCTTAGACAAGGTATTGATATATGCCCAAATGAACTAGATGAAGAAAAAACAAAACATTAAGAATATGAGTTGATTACATTATTTTCTACGAATGTTATTCGTATTTTGTAACAAAAAATTTTCGTTAACAACTTAAGGCATATGTTTGATTGAATATAACAATGTTTGATTTGGATTAATTATCTAAAAAATTCCAAATTTTGTTGGATAGTTTTGGTTTTGGTTTTGGAAGATGCTTGGGGTTTCTGATTTATGTTTTGCTTAGCGAACGAGGAAGAGGGTTGATTGCAAGCAATGCAAATAGAAAACACGCGGTATTGCTCCTACTGAATAGGAAAATATAAGAATTCTCTTAGAAATTTATTTTTATACCATTTACATTTACTTTGAAATGTTACTTTCAACGTATAAAAAAACAAGAAAGGAGAAATGTTGCTGTCAATGCATTTATATATGACTGATATACTTTTAGAAAAAATATCAAATTTCTTATTTGACAAACAGGCGGTTTTCCCTTATATATCAATTAATTGCTGTTAAGAATAACTATATTAATATTGCTTTCAATGCATTTATATATGACTGATATACTTTTAGAAAAATAATCAAATTTCTTATTTGACAAACACGCGGTTTTCCTTATATATCAATTAATTTCTGTTAAAAATAACTATATAAATGTTGCTTTCAATGCATTTATATATGACTGATATACTTTTAGAAAAAATTTCAAATTTCTTATTTGACAAATACGCGGTTTTCATATCAATTAATTTCTGTTGAAAATAACTATTTTAATTTTAATTTTTAAAATTCTGATTTGTAAATTTTAATAACTATATTTGTATATTAAAATAATTAATTATATCTAATTTTTGTTTTCCGTTTCAAATCTCTCGGTTTTCGAAGCCCAGTTTTCAAGGCCCAGATTTACGACGGAAAAGAAGCCATTTTGAGCGTAATCTTTTTATCAAACCCTTACCCAGTTTATTCCAAACCGAACCAGTACAGTAGTAGAATTCAACTATCACAATCGAACCGAACCGGTTTAAGCACCAACCGCTTCGGTTAGCTCTGCGATCGTCCTGACTCCTGCGAATCCCGTCTGTGTCAGACCAAAGAGACGAAGACGACGAAGAAGAAGACTAAGTGAGAGAAGATATGGCTGGACTTCTAGCTTGGGCCGCCGATGTCGTCGGAAAAAATGGAAAAGAGGGAGGCGATGAGAAGGATCGGATCCCACTGGTTTTCACGGAGGAGCAGCAGAAATACGTCGATGAGCTTGGCCGTAAAGCGACAACTCTCAGCCGTTCGATCCAAGATCTGCGGCTCAGATTGCCTCCACCGGATATCTCTCAGCGTCTACCTCACCTTCTTGCTCACTCCCTAGCCTCCAATGCCGCTCTCACTCTTCAGCTTGATTCGCATTCCGCTACTCGTGAACAGGTTTTTTTCTGGTTCAAGAGAATTGGATCGATTTGAGTAATTAAGCATCTCTCATTTCGGAAATGGTGAAGCTGATTCGAGAATGTTGGTTTCTGCTATAAATTGGATATGTCTTTGGGTGATTTTGTAGTGGTGATCCATTATACAGAGGGGAAAATTTACTATTCTCATGGTTCTTCCTTTGCTTTTTCAATTAGGCCCAAATGAGAGAGCAGACGTTGCTAGAAGAAAACAGTGCATATGAGAATGCAATATCAATCTGTGAGACAAAAATAGAAGAGAAAAGACATGAAGCAGATTCTCTTGTTAAAAAGTTGAAGGTGAGTTGTGAAATATAAAGATGAAGTTCGACAATTTCTTTTTTATAAATAGAGTGGTTCTTTTCATGTCTGTGGTCTTGTTGAGATATGAATGCTAGTCCTTTTCTTCTCTGGATTCCTTGCTACCACTTGGGATCATATTAAGCAGGAGCTAGAAGATGTTGTGGAAAGCTTGATAAATGAGCAAGAAGATGCACAAGCTTCTCTAGATGCAACGCATTCTAAAAGCTCTGGTGAATCTGTTGTCCAACCTGATGGGAATGGAAATGATAGAGCAGATACAGAAGCCACGAAGGCTCTTATGCTAGAAAAGTTGGAGAGCAAAAAGAACGATTTGGTTAGTAGTTTTCATTTTACCTTTCATTGGTATGAAATTCTCTGATCCTGTATATGTGACTGCGGTGTAAGTTATTCTATTCTTTAAGAGTTCAATGGAAGAGAAGGTTCAGGAGTTAGAGAGGAGTTGGGCTGCTATTCAGGAAAGAGCACTGAAGCAGCCTTCTCCAGGTACTTTTTGTCATCAACACTGATTGTATTTCTCAGCTTTCTTCATGTTCTCACACAAGAAACTTCAGTCTGATTTGTAAAGTTACTAGTTTATCCCCATTCAGACCATCACGTCTCCAACATATATGAATCCAAAAAGCTATGTTAGACAGCTTATTTTTAATAAGAATCCAATAGAGATCTATTCTTGGTTCCGTTAGATAGGTGGATAGCCTGAAAAGTTTCATTCACATTATCTAACTGGGAAGGTTTTGCTTTCACAGCTCAGAGAGAGAAGACCCTGGATAAACAACTGCATAGTTTAATCGAGCAATTAGCTGCAAAGCAGGTCCATCTCAAGCCAAATCAATCTACACTTTTCTCTTTAAACTGTTTCTTAACAGAAACTTTTGATATGCCTATCAGAAACAAGCGGAGGGGATTGTTGGTGAGATTCATTCGAATGAGTTGGAGTTAGAGAGACTAAACAGTTTGTGGAGAAGATATGAGAGCTTTAACGTCGAGGGGAATGCTGCAAGGAACAGATTCAAGAGAACAAATTCAGACAGGGGATTTGGATCAGACCACGAAGTTGATGCACATTCCTACCTTCCATATTCATCTGCTACCAGAAATGAGACCCAAACTAGGCTAATGTATCTCAGGTCAGCTTTTGTCGTCTACATTTTGGCTTTGCACGTCCTGGTTTTCATCAAGATCTCCTTTTGAGAAATTGTGTACACGAGTACTCTCTTGTGCTTTTAGTTTGCACAAGGGGGTCAAAACACTGCATATAAAATCAATAGGAATACGACAATTGTTCTCCAAATGGTTTTCCGTCCTGGCATATGAATACATGGCAATCAAATACTGAGACTCCTACAAGAATCTTTCTTTACAATTTTTTATTAATTTTGGATATTAGTTTCTTCAACTCATTCTTAGGGAATGGTTTCTACTCCTCTGTCTTCATCATTTGTAGCAATATATCATTCCAAGTATCAATAGGTCCAGGCAGGCACCAATGAATACAGTCATTTCTTAAAGTCACCTTTGCATTCGGCAGATGGCCGTATCTCCCAGGATGCCCATCTGGTCGCAAGAGCATTGCCTGTGTCGTGTCCATTAACCTGAGCCTCAAACCTTTCTTCTTCCTTCCTTCTTCTTCTGCAGCTCTAAATTCGTCTAGTTGAATGTCGTGAATCTTGAGATCTGCACCTTCAGGTATAGTCTCGTTTCTTCTGTAAGGCCGTGTCCTTACACAGTCCCCTCCTTCATTCCACGCCCCACCTTCGAAATGTTGAGGAGAAAAACTCCTCAAAAACGCCAGACCCTTGAAATTGTGGAGTATAGCTTTTAGAGATATTCTTAGAGCCTTCCTGTATCCGTAGTACAAAGGCAACTCGGTCGTATTTGGTAACTCACAGTATTGGCACCCAGTGATTTTCTTGTTTTCATAGAAAATAACCGGCCGGTAAAACCAGTGGCCGGATGATATAACCAGGTAGTCGAGCCGGTCGATCTGACTAGTCCACTTGGTGTCATACTCGTCAAGGTAAAGGCTGAAGAGGCTGGACTTCGGAGGCTTAGTAGACTTGACTAGAAATGGTGACCACATAGCATGAAGAGTGAAGTTATAGGATGTGTAGTTCCATATTTTGAAATCTGTATCTGGAGAAGAAGAAATGTCTTCAGGATATTCCACCTACAAGGAAAAAAAAAAAAAAAAAGTCAACACATTGAGAGATGTTGGTTAGTTTGTGATCATTGACAATTAGATTAGGTTTTTACCTTAGACAGGAGGCACAAGAGAGATTGGACTTGGTTTCTGCTGATGGAATCACCAACAAACCCCATGGCTTTCCCTCTAACCATTTCCAAGAACTCTTGAGGATCAAAGATTGGGAGGTCACAGCTGTCTGGCTTCCACCTCCATTTCATGAAACCGGTGTCTGGTCTCCCGTACTTCATGCAGTTCTGGTGCTCGTGTATTGCCCAACACGTTGTGTTTGTGTAATATGGAGCTTCCTCATTCGGTACCCATTCCCCAGTAAAAAGATCACACCTCTGCTCATCATCTCTGATCGGCGTCCTCGATACTGATGCAGTGACAGGGAAAGACTGATCATCAGATGTTGGCACTGGTGAAGGAGTCTGATTTGATAAAGAACTCAGTTGACTTAGACGTGTATGATTGGATGGAGAGGGAATTGGACCATTCTTGGGTGTAGGAATCTGACCAGACGAAGACTTGCGATGTCTTAAAGTCGTATGATGAGATGGAGCCGGAATGGGACCATTCTCAGGTGAAGGACTCTGATCTGATGATGAATCCCGATGTCTTGAAGGCGTATGGTCAGGTGGAGCGTGAATGGGATTTGATAAAGAACTTAGTTGACTTAGACGAGTATGATCATCGGATGGAGGGGGACGATCAGTTGCTAGTGATGAGATTGATAGAGGTGAGATTGGATAGGCAAGGAGAGAATATAAAGCAGGGACTATTGTGAGGAGAAATAGAACAAATGCTAATGTAACTGCGATTCTTGGTGTTCTTTGAAGGATTGCAAACAAAGGAAGCTCCATTTTCCCACCTTCAAGACGATGGTGTATGGTCTTATCATAAATATTTATGTGTATATATGGTGTAATGGTGAGCTCGTGGTCACCCAATAACGAGGCACAACATTTGACCATTTCTTAAATTATACTCCCTCTATTTCATTATAGTTGATTTTCTGAATATTTGCACACAGATTAAAAAAGTTATAAATGCTCAATTATTTGCTGTTTATTTTGTTTAATTAGGTTATTTTTACAATTAATTTCATTACTTTGATTAGTATTACTGGTTTTACTTTAACCTGGGCTTTTCATCTCCTCTCTTTTAATTAATGCTTACAATTAATAAGTTTTGTAAAGCAAATAAATATGATTCATTCAACTTAAAGAAAAGATGTGCATTAATTAGATGTAGAAAATCAAATATTATGAAACAAGAAAAAAAATCTAGAAAATCAACTATAATAAAACAGAGGGAGTACTAATAAATTAACCAGAGAGATAGAGAAATGCGCAGATTAGGACAACATTTTCCGAACTTGAGCCGAGAGTCCTTTGTCTTCTTCTTCTCTCTTTAGCATAGCGAGCAAGAAGTCATTGAGGTTATCGATCGGACCAGGCAGGCACCAGTGGACACAGTCATTGTACAACGTGACATTAGCCTCGGGAAGATGGCCGTAGTGGCTCGGGTGACCATCGGGTCTAAGCCACATGGCTTGAGTCGTATCTAGTAGTCTTAACCTCTTGCCTTTCTTCTTCGCTTCTTCTTCAGCTCTCCCAAACTCTTCCAACTGAATCTTGTGTAGCCTCATTGTCACTTCGTCTTGAGTCTTGTTGCTCTGATAAGGTCGTTTCCTCAAACAGTTCCCTCCTTCGTTCCATAATCCACCCTCGAAATGTGACGGAGCAAATGTCCGTAAATACATGACGCCCTCGAATTTCTCTGAATCCAAGATCGCTTTAAACGCTGTTCTAAACGCTTTTCTATACCCGTAAAACATGGTGAGATCGGTTATGTTTGGTAGTTGGCAATAGTGGCAACCAGTGAGTGTCTGGTTTTCGTAGTAGACTGATGGCCGGAAATGCCAGTGGCCAGAGGAGATGATCACGTAGTCAAAGTCTCCTATCTCGCCTGTCCAACTCTCGTCAGCCTCGTCAAGGTGTAGATTGAAAAGATCTGTATGGTCGGGCTGTGTCGGGACAGGTCCTGTGGACTTGACCAAGTGTGTTGTCCAAAATGCGGCGATGGTGAAATTGTATGTCTCGTATGTCCATCGTTTGAAATATTCGTCGGCCTTGACCGAAGCGTCTACCGGATATTCAACCTGACAGTGTTAAAATCCATCTTTTAATCTCAAGAAATGAAGAAACTTAACTGGACTTTTACTACGTAATTAATACTGAAATTTGAACAAATTGTAACCAAAGCGAACCGATTAAAAGAAATTCAATTTCTTTTAATCTAAAAATGAAATAAACAATGCTATCATTTTTGAAGACAAATTCCACCAAATTAGATGAGATTCGATTTCTATATATAATGCACAAAAGTCCAAACCGAAAATTAACAACAAGAAAGCCAGCGAAGAGTAAACTGGGGGGAAATGTCAATGTGTATTCAATTTTGTCGCAGAATCTTTAACCATAAGTAAACTAGTTAATTAGATGTTGACCCCCAAAAAAAGAAAGTAAACTAATTAGATTAACACCTAAAATCATTGGACGGGAACTGTATAACAAAAACATTATTTCAATAATTGTTGTGGCACCGGTGAACCAAAATCACCTTTATGCACGTACCAATCTTCTATTTAAATATAACGAATATTGAGTAGTTATATGATTTTATCAAACTTAGGTAATATCATATATATATATATACATATTCACACACTTATTAAGCATAATGGTATATGATCAAAGTAATGATGCACATCTAACTTCTTTCTTTTATACTACTTTATTAAAAGTGTAAGCTCGACTAATAAAAAAATAATACATATGACCTAATCATTTAAGTTAGCTCATCGATTAGTATGTTACTTCGAAGCCAAGAGTGGTTATATGATTTTACTTGGTGCATGTGTACTAAAATACGATTTTACTGATTTTAATGCTTTTGGCCATTAAACTTTAAACTGTCTAAGGAGGGTTTACTGACAAAATAGTACTCCGATCAGTTTACATCATCTATTCATCTAATCTAATTTCTTATTTTAGTGAAAACATTAAGTGAAATCATTATTTCAACTGAGAACAAATCAGATGCTGAACTAAAATTCAAAAATATGTCCAAAAAAGAAAGAACGATAAGAATAAGGTTAAATCCTACATCAAGCAATATTTACTTTAACAAACAAATAAATACTAAAAAGAAATAACTAGAAAAAAAAATGGGTAATTAGGAAATTCTGTTGTTACCTGAGAGAGAAGGCAGATCAAAGACTGCATGTGATTTCTGCTGACGGAGTCACCAACAAACGCCATGGTTTTCCCTCTCACGATCTCAAGAAACCGAAACGGGTCAAAAACCGGCAAGCCATCTTCGCACCGGTCGGGTTTCCATTTCCACTTGATAAAGTCCGTGTCGGGTCTTCCAAACTTCATGCAGTTTTGGTGTTCGTGTATCGCCCAGCACGTCGTGTTGGTGTAGTAAGGTGCTTCCGGGTTAGGAACCCACTCTCCGGAGAATATGTCGCAGCTCTCTTGTGTTGTTACGAGGCCGTTCTGGAGCTTGAGGATGCTGGTTTGGCTTGGAGGTTGTTGCTTGAGGAAGAAGTTAGGGTCTTCAACAAAAGGGTAGAGAAGAGGAATAATGGTGAAGAGTGATATGGCAATGGTCACTACAATGAGTAGCTTTTGTTTGCTTGGAGTTGTTGCAGAATGAAGAAGCTCCATTGAAGGAAGATCGAGAGAGAAAAAGGAGTGGTGTTGAGAACAAAAATAAGATTATCTCAGTATTGAGACTAATTTGTTTCTATGTTGTGAATTATTTAATCATGGAAAATTTGTGAATCTTTTTGTTCTACGGAAAAAGAGTAGGTGTCACATCTAAATTATGAGTTATGATTATTGCAAAATAGCTCGCAACAAAATACAAAGTGATCAATCAAGTAATTAAATCCACAATGTGATGACTGTTCGCTAATTTGGACGTTTTTTGTCGGCAATTTTTGACGTTTAAATTATATTTATAACCGATATACTTAGCCTCTTTTTCTTCTCTTCAATTTATATGTTTTTCTCTTTGCTGATTTTGTTGTTAGAGAAGTGCCACAAGATAATCAGCTTAATTTTTTTTATATATACCAAGTTATTTATATGTTTTCCAACTGTTACAAACAAGTTAAGTATGATTAGGTGACAAACATATATATTTTAGTATTTTCAGTCATGTGGATTTCTTTTGGTTAGTTGCTATTATTTTAGCCATAAGGGTAAGAAACGTTATATCACTTTTAAAAAGAACTCTTCTTTAAATTCAGTGTATAATACAACTTTAATATTTTTAAGGAACAAAAATATGTTCTAGTTGGTACTAATATTAGTAACACGCATATATTATTCATTTTAGAAAGAAAAAAAATAGTTATTAGGACGTTCTAGCAAGTAAAACTGAAAATGAATTGGATCTAAGAAACACTCAAAAGCTTAACCGAGAGTTAATTTTGTTGTTAAAGTCCATAATGGTATTGCTGTTGATTCGATCATATGATCCTCTGTTTTCGGTTGAGCTCATGCGAAGCTGTCCATAATTTTAAACCAAATCTTAAAATGTATTCAATTAGCTTTGGTTTCTTATGTGTTAAACTGTAAGTGCCAAGAATGATCTATTTTATAAGGTTTTAACAATATTACGAGTTTGTGTTGTAATGGGACTAACATTTTTTCAAAGAAATAGAATCAGTATTTGATTACGGAAAGACACAAATGCATCCCGTTTATTTTTTTTTTTGGTTATTCTACCGGAGAGTGGAGACCAAAAGGTTCAAAACCAAAATTGTTTTTTTAAGACGGAGACACGTGGATCGTCTACGTGGAAGCTAGAACGCCACAATCGTACACAGTTGTGATTTTGGTAAAGGTCCCTCTTTTTTTTGGGTTTGGCTTCGGAGATCAGGATTCTAACGATTCCACTTTATAGATTTCTGCAGTTTCTAATTGTTAAATCGCTTACCCAAGTTTCCGTATCATAGTAATTCCCTGAGGAACATTGTTTTACGGAATAAAAAATCGACACTCAGCTAGTAGGTTTAAGTATACGATGTTTAGGTCTCTGATTCGGACACGATCACAGGCATCCTCTTCAGTCGTCGCCATGTCGTGAGTTATTTCTGTTCGAATAAAGTATTCATCTTTGCTTCTATTCTGATTCTGTCGATAAAACGCTTACCGAAGAAGAATCATTTCTAGGGACAGGATTTTTATTTTGGGGGTGCATTGGCCTTTCAGTGTCCCAATTGTTGACCTTAATGCTAAATTGTGTGATTTCTTGATAAAATCATAGATACATGTTGCAAACAGTGATTGATTTGTGATGATCTTCTCTTTCTCTGGCAGTTCAATCACTCAGAGAGGAAATGAAAGGCTTCTGTCCAAAACTGCAGCTTCACATTCAGGAGACAAGAAGGTAACAGATCATTCCCTTTTTAATTGCTTTTGTGTTTGATAAGACATTGTGGCATTCTCTTTTTGAGAGAGTTGAGAGTGCTCTTTGTTCCACTCTCTTTAAGTGTTTGTTTCTTACATTCAAATATTCTTTGGTTGATTCCGTTGTTTCCTGGTTGCTCGACATTTATCAGGAGTGAAATAACATAGCAAATTGTTCACAAACTATCTCTTTCTGCTCTCTGAACCTGTCACGTTGGTCTTAAGATTGTTTTGTCCTTGAATGTAGATATTGGTTTTGGGAGGAAATGGTTATGTTGGTTCTCATATCTGCAAGGAGGCACTGAGACAAGGTTTCTCCGTGTCTAGTCTTAGCAGGTATTTGTATCATTACCAGCTTTCGTTTTTCAGTGTTTTATTTTTGTTTTAAGTCTGTTTGTTAGTCATAGACTGCCTTTACGTAGCTTAACCTTAGTCTTTGCATTGTTACATAGGTCTGGACGATCTTCTTTGCATGATTCATGGGTCGAGGATGTAACCTGGCATCGAGGTACTTCCAAGATCCGAGAAACGCATTTCCTTTCTTCCTCATTTTGAGAAACAAAAGACTTTGATAAATGACTCGCGTTTTTGTTTTCTACTAAAACAATAGGCGATTTGCTCTCACCCGATTCTCTGAAGCCTGCACTAGAAGGAATAACATCTGTGGTAATTAAGAAACCTTCTTCTAATAAGGTCCTTACATCATATGGTTCCTTTCAACCGCAATCTCATATTGGATATATTTGCAGATTTCATGTGTTGGTGGTTTCGGTTCCAACTCACATATGGTCAAAATTAACGGAACTGCAAACATTAATGCTGTTAAAGCTGCAGCAGAGCAAGGTCAAAATTTTCATAGATTTTGATGCATTTTGATATCTTCTTTGTTTGTAATTTTATGGGATGAATTGTTAAGTCATCTGGAAAAAAAACCTTTTTTCAGTTTGTTCTTTTGCAAACTGACAGAAAAAGGACCTTAACATATTATGTTCAGGTGTGAAGAGATTTGTCTACATATCAGCTGCGGATTTTGGTGTCATAAATAACTTGATTCGTGGATATTTCGATGGGAAGGTACTTCCCTCTTCTCCTTTTTGGCTTAGTTCTTAGTTATAGCATATGTCTTTGACCCATTTGTCAATCTGTTTGCAGAGAGCAACTGAAGCTGAGATTTTTGATAAATTCGGAAACAGAGGTGTGCAAATTCTCTCATTTTATGCGTGTGTGTAATGTGTTCATTATAATTCTTCACTTATTGAATCTTTTTCCTCTGTTTTTTTTAGGAACGGTTTTAAGGCCAGGATTCATACACGGGACTCGTCAGGTCGGTAGCATAAAGTTGCCACTTAGTCTCATTGGAGCTCCTCTCGAAATGGTAAATAAGATTTGTATCAGTCATTGATTGTTCTGAAATTCTAAATAAGATGAAAGTCTTAATCTTTCTTCTTTTTTTCTTTTTCTCAAAACATCTTCTCACTACAGGTTTTGAAGCTGTTCCCAAAAGAAGTGACGAAAATTCCTCTGATCGGGCCGCTTTTAATACCTCCGGTCAATGTTAAATCCGTCGCAGGAACTGCTGTAAAAGCTGCAGTTGATCCCGATTTTGCTTCTGGAGTCGTCGATGTGTACCGGATTCTTCAACATAGTCACTGACCACGACGACGTCTTTAACAACGTTTGTAACTTTTATGTTTCTACGGATTGATTTAATTGTTTGGATTCAAATGTAAACATTGTCTTTGTTTCTGCCACCAAAATAAAGTACGAGTTTCGCACATTACAAAAGGAGAATAAAGATGAAAATTTTGAAACTGAAGCAGCTTGAAGCACCAGAGACCCAATTTTGGCAGTCACGTACCAAAACAAAACAACCAAAATTTCGTCACCACTTGGAAAGTGAAAAGGTTTCGTTTTGATAATCTTTCATTGGTAAAAAAAAAAAAAAAACAGGAGCTTGAAGGTATTTGAAAAAAAAAAAAGCCTTTGGGTTGATTAACCCGGTTTTGAATAACCGGATTAAAACCATAACCGTGTATAATTTCAAAAACTAGTCGAACCGGATTTTTGAGGTTTTGGAAGGCTAACCTAGAGTCCTTTTTATCGTTTGTGTTAATCTTTTTCCCGGGTTTTCGCTCCTCGTCGTTTCACTTTAAGCTCTCTAAATAAACTGTAGCGTGGGAATTCGTGATTCAGAGAGAGACTCTAGGGTTTTTTTCATATGGTACAATTTCGGAGTCGAGAATCTTCGATTTCGGCTAGGTTTCACTTGTTCAGGTCAGTTTTTCCTCTCGATTGGAATGTGGGAACATGAGTTTGTATCATATTTTGTTCGTTTATTTTTTGGGTTAGAGAATCGAATTTTTTCTTCCTTCTCTTGGATTTCGTTTCTCGGCGCTGGCTTTGATTTTTCATCTCTGTCTTGTTCGTAAGTTGATTTTGCTTAATTTTGATTGTTTTGGTTTTTCTGTTCATTTTCAGTCACAGGGTTTATGATAGAGAGAAGAGATAGTGTGGGACTGATGATTGCTTGTGATTTGAGATTGAAACTCGAAAATTTTAAATTGATCAGATTCTAGTTTTCGATTCTTCAATATGGGTTTTAGGGTTAGCTTTTAGCATTGTCCCTTAATTTTAAGCTTCTTTAAGTTTCTAATTTTCGATTTGTACTCTTTTTCCCTAACCAATTCTGCTTTTTCTCTCCTCTTATTAGAATACTCTAGTTCTTGTATCTGTGGATCTCATACAAAAGTTTGATTTTTTTTTTTTTCAGGTTGATCCAGAAAAATCTCTGACTGCTGTACGGCCATGTCTGAACGTCGTGCCAAGCGCCTCAAAATCTCCAGAGGGGAAGATGACTTTTTGCCTGGGAATATAATCGAAATCGAGCTTCACAATTTCATGACTTTCAATCACTTGGTATGCAAACCTGGATCACGCTTGAACCTTGTAATTGGACCAAACGGATCAGGTAAGAGCTCTCTTGTCTGCGCCATTGCACTCTGTCTTGGTGGTGAGCCTCAGCTTCTTGGGAGAGCAACCAGTGTTGGTGCATATGTTAAGCGTGGGGAAGATTCTGGCTACGTCAAGATTTCTCTGAGAGGGAACACGAGGGAAGATAAATTTACCATTTTCCGTAAGATCGATACACGTAACAAGTCGGAGTGGATGTTTAACGGAAATGCAGTTAGTAAGAGAGATGTAGTTGAGATAATCCAGAAATTCAACATCCAAGTTAACAACCTCACGCAATTCCTGCCGCAAGATAGGGTTTGCGAGTTTGCCAAGTTAACGCCTGTGCAGCTCCTGGAAGAAACGGAAAAAGCTGTTGGTGATCCTCAACTGCCAGTTCATCATCGCGAGCTTGTTGAAAAAAGCCGTGAACTGAAGCAGCTTGAGAGAGCTGTGGAGAAGAATGGAGAGACGCTGACTCAGCTGAAAGCTCTTGTTGATGAGCAAGAGAAGGATGTGGAGCGTGTTAGGCAGAGAGAGTTATTTTTGACAAAGGTTGATTCCATGAAGAAGAAATTGCCCTGGCTTAAGTATGATATGAAAAAGGCTGAGTATGTGGATGCTAAGAAGAAAATGAAGGAAGCAATGAAAAAATTGGATGAAGCTGCAAGGCATTTGAACAGCATGAAGGAACCTATTGAGAAGCAAAAGAAGGAGAAAGCTGAGATGGATTCAAAGTGCAAAAAGGTCAAGAAACTCCTGGATGCAAATGGAAATAAGCGTTCTGACTTGCTCGAGAAAGAAAATGAGGCTGAAGCACGAGTTATGGCGACATACAAAGAACTGGAGGAATTGAAGAAACAAGAAGAGCATCGCCAGGAAAGGATTCTGAAAGCTAGAGAGGATCTGGTTGCTGCGGAACAAGAACTCCAAAACCTGCCTGTATATGAACCACCTTTAGCCAAACTTGAAGAATTGAAGTCTCAGATTACAGAGCTGCATCACAGCATGAACCGGAAGAAGAGTCAGAAGGTTGACAACGAGAGGCTCTTGTCTCAGAAAAGATACACCCTGAGGCAATGTGTAGATAAGTTGAAGGACATGGAGAATGTAAATAACAAACTCTTGAATGCGCTATATCAATCTGGAGCTGAAAAGATTTATGAAGCATATCAATGGGTGCAACAGAATCGTCATGAGTTTAAAAAGGAAGTATATGGTCCCGTTTTGGTAGAGGTTAACGTTCCAAGTCGAGAGAACGCTTGTTATTTGGAGGGTCATGTTCCTTATTATGCATGGAAGTCTTTCGTCACTCAGGATTCCGAGGACCGCGATTTGCTGGTTAGAAATCTAAAACGATTTGATGTTCCTGTTCTAAACTATGTGGGCGGTGGCGGCAATCACAAGGCTCCCTTTCACATATCTGATCAGATGCGTTCTCTTGGAATCCATTCTCGGCTAGATCAAATATTTGATGCTCCTGACGCCGTTAAGGAGACTTTAATTTCCCAGTTCGGTCTGGATGGCTCGTACATTGGATCGAAGATTACCGATCAGAGGGCTGAAGAAGTCTCCAAATTGGGTATTACTGATTTTTGGACACCAGACAATCACTACCGGTGGTCGTCCTCAAGGTATGGTGGTCACACCTCTGCAAGTGTAGATTCTGTGTCATCATCACGTCTTCTGTTATGTGGGGTGGACGTTGGAGAACTTGAGAAACTGAGGTCAAGAAAGGAGGAATTAGAAGACTCTGTTTTATCCGTGGAGGAAACTTTCAAGAGTCTTCAAACAGAGCAAAGACTTCTGGAAGAAGAAGCAGCTAAACTTCAGAAAGAAAGGGAGGAGATTATTAATGTCTCGCATCTGGAGAAAAAGAAACGGCGTGAGTTAGAATCCCGTTACCAACAAAGGAAGACGAAGCTAGAATCGTTGGAGCAAGAAGAGGACATGGATGCTTCAGTTGCTAAGCTGATTGAGCAGGCTTCCAGAGCTAACGCTGACCGCTATGCATATGCGATCAATCTCAAGAAATTGCTCGTAGAAGCTGCTGATTATAAGTGGAGTTACGCCGAGAAGCATATGGCTTCTATTGAACTGGAGAGAAAGATCAGAGAGTCAGAAATCAATATCAAACAATATGAGAAAGTGGCGCAGCAGACATCCCTCAGCGTTGAGTATTGTAAGAAAGAGGTGGAAGGAAAGCAACTGCAGCTAGCAGCTGCCAAGAGGGATGCAGAATCTATCGCAATCATCACGCCGGAACTTACAAAGGAGTTTATGGAGATGCCTACCACGGTAGAAGAATTGGAAGCGGCTATACAAGACAATATCTCTCAAGCCAATTCGATCCTTTTTGTAAACCAGAACATACTCCAAGAGTATGAACATCGCCAAAGACAGATAGAAACTATCAGTACAAAGCTCGAAGCTGATAAAAGAGATCTGAGCAGATGCTTGAAAGAAATTGATTCGCTGAAGGAGAAATGGCTTCCAACATTGAGACGGCTTGTTGCTCAGATAAATGAAACTTTCAGCCACAACTTCCAAGAAATGGCTGTTGCAGGAGAAGTTTCATTGGATGAGCGTGACACTGACTTTGATCAATACGGAATACATATCAAAGTGAAATTCAGGGAATCTGGGCAACTTCAGGTTCTAAGTTCTCACCACCAATCTGGAGGAGAGCGTTCTGTCTCAACCATCCTTTACCTCGTCTCTCTTCAAGATCTCACAAACTGTCCTTTCAGGGTTGTTGATGAGATTAATCAAGGTAAAAGTGTAATGCTTACAAAAACTGTCACAAAAACACCATCAAACAGTTTCTGAAAATCTGCAATTGCCCGTGCAGGTATGGATCCTATAAACGAAAGGAAGATGTTTCAACAATTGGTTAGAGCTGCTAGCCAACCAAACACACCACAGTAAGTGTTCGTTTTGGAATACCAAAATCATGGAAACTGTTTTCTTGCGTCTCTTTGTGTGGTAAAGTGTGGTGGTCTTTTCTCTTGTAGGTGCTTCTTACTGACACCAAAGCTCTTGCCTGAGCTTGAATACAGTGAAGCCTGTAGCATTCTGAACATCATGAACGGTCCTTGGATCGAGCAGCCTTCACAAGTTTGGAGCTTTGGTGATAGTTGGGGAAATCTCATGAGACGAACGGAAGCAAGTCAATGTTCTTGACTTCACCAAAAAACATCATCATCAGTCACCTTTCTTTTTTGGGTTTTTGTAAGAATTTATGTATTTAAACTTTTATGTTATTTAACCAACCGGTTTGACCAGATTGAACTATGTAACCGGCTTAAACGTGCTGCTCGTTTTTTGGTTTACATTTTCTCGGGAAAAAAGTAAAAAGAAGACTAGAAAAAAATTTCCGTCGGATAAATTCTCAAGCTTTGGTAACATCTGGAACGTCTTAATACGCGTACGAGTAATCGATGTGATCTCCAACGTCTCATTTCTCTTTGGGTTCCTTCCTTTTAAGTCATCTTCAATCCATTGTTCTTCAGAGATCAATTCCGTTGGGTAAAACCCAGAAATTACAGCTCGCTACTCCTTCGATCGCCTTATTTCATTCCCAAATTCGAGGTTTTGAATACGGCCCTTATCATCTGACACCGGAATGTTGGTGGGTTTCGTATTTGCCGGACAATCTCTCTCTCTCTCCCTCCTTTTTGGATCGTCTTTGTCTTCTTCTAGTAGAAAGAACTGATCACCCTGAGTTATGTTAATCTCTTCTTCAGCATTTTTCTGCTGTTTGCGTTTTTGGTATTGCACTATGTATATCATCACCATGGATCGAAATTCTATCTACGAAGCCCTGGAATTCTATTTTGCCGGTTGCGTTTTTCTGTAAATGCCATTTAAGTCATATTGAGATCAAAGCTCCAAGATTTGAAATGATTATGATCTGGAATTTTGAGTAAAGCTTTTAGGTCTGATTGACCATACTTCTTCTGTGTATATGAGGAGATTTTTTGAGTTTGTGATTTAACCATTGTAAAGTCTTTTTTTTCAGCTTAGTTTAAATGGAAAGGAAAAGAGCAGATGACAGTAAAGCAGGAGCTGTCCCTTTGCTTGTACCGGTTGATAGATTTGGGTTTCTGAAGCAGGAACATGCCAATTCTCCTCAACGTTTCACCAAGACTAGATCGTCTAGTAATTATGACAAGTATGTCGCAATGAACAATGTTTGTTTTTGGGTGAGAATCAGTATTATGCTTTGTTATTTGACCATGGATGCTAAATTCCTTAGGGAGGAGAGAAGAGTGACAAAATGGAGGAAGATGATTGGAGCTGGAGGTAGTGACTGGAAGCATTACGTTAGGAGAAAACCTCATGTGGTCAAAAGGCGAATTCGGAAAGGGATCCCTGATTGCTTAAGGGGTCTAGTTTGGCAATTGATCTCTGGAAGTCGAGACCTTTTGCTTATGAATCCCGGTGTTTATGAGGTAGTGATAATCTCCTTGTGTGTTTTTTGTTTTTGATTTCCTGATATGTTTCATTTTCTTTGGCTTCATTGTGGGAAACAATTTGATAATTCTCTCTCGCTTTCACTGTAGCAACTGGTGATTTATGAAACGTCAGCATCAGAACTCGATATCATTCGGGATATATCCCGCACTTTCCCATCACATGTTTTCTTCCAGAAGAGACATGGACCAGGCCAAAGATCATTATACAATGTTCTAAAAGCATACTCTGTCTATGACAGAGATGTCGGATATGTTCAGGTCTATCCAGAGATTTTTTCCTTGTTCTTATTTCCCCAATATGGTAACTAAAAAGTCTTGGTTCTATATTTATTGCAGGGAATGGGGTTCGTAGCCGGTTTGTTGCTTCTTTATATGAGCGAAGAAGATGCTTTCTGGTTATTAGTTTCATTACTCAAAGGAGCTGTTCACTCCCCAATGGAAGGATTGTATCAGGTGAGCTTCTTGCCTCTTTAGTTACGCGAGTTTGAAAGCGATAGAGCCGCTTTAATTGATTGCAGGATTTTAAGAAAAAGACATAAAGTCCACACAAAAAAATCCTTTCCTTCATGAAGTTTATGACTGCTTTTTCAAATTCTCTGTCAACTACACTGTAGAGACTTGTTATTCTTCCTAGAATATTTAAGATTAGCGGTTAATTCTCTGTCAAATGCTTCTCACTGAAGTTATGATATTAGCTCTTTGGAACTTTATGCTTGAAAACATAATCTCAATGGGACTGATTAAAAATGATTTTAAGATTTAAGATCTATTTGATTTGTGTAAATGTAGGTAGGGCTTCCTCTTGTACAGCAATATCTGTTACAGTTAGATCAGTTGGTAAGAGAGCTAATGCCAAAACTAGGAGAACATTTCACTCAAGAAATGATCAATCCGAGTATGTATGCAAGTCAGTGGTTCATAACCGTCTTTTCATACTCATTTCCTTTCCCTTCGGCTCTACGAATCTGGGATGTGTTTCTAGCCGAGGTAAATCAAAATCAACATCTCTTATAAACTCAATAGTCTCTTTCTTTTCTACAGTTTTGCATCAATGCGTTGTTGGTTTTTTTCTTTTGTCGGTATAGGGTGTTAATATTGTGTTCAAAGTCGGTTTAGCATTGTTGAAGTATTGCCATGATGATTTGGTGAAACTGCCATTTGAGGAACTCATGCATGCTCTGAGGAATTTCCCTGAAGACGCCATGGATCCTGATACTTTGCTTCCATTGGCTTACTCCATCAAGGTTCTCTCTTTCTTTTGACTGAAAAACTATTCACTTTTTTGAATGAACAAGTTGGGTTTGGGAAAAGCCAAAAGAGATGCTTGAAATTGAATCTCTTGATCATTGTATATTTTTGTTAATGAATCTCCAGGTATCAAAGCGTTTGGAAGAAATGAAACAGGATTGTGAGAAGGCCAGAGCTAAACCGGCTCAAATGGCCAACCCGGTTCAACTATAGAGTTTGATAATTATGACTTATGAGCCGAACCAAGCCGGATCCAGGGTTGAGGACTTTTTCTTTCGTCAAGTATGGATTTTTCTCATTTTCAACCTTTTCTACGAAGTGTAACTAATGTGTGAAGAAAGTATAGATTTTCTCTTGCTTTTGTAAAACTAAGTTCGATTCCAAGAAAATCAACTTTTAGTTTCTCCTTTACTTTTTTTCAATGTATTAAGTATTAACTATCTATTCAAAGCTTAAACTTTTTTGATAAGGGCAACCCTATTTGATTTCAGTTCGGTTTCTCTAATTGATGAAAATATTAATCAAACCCTTTTAAATATAATTTATAAACTAATTTGCAAGACCCGCAAAACCCGTTTTTTATCATGGCGATGTTGAATTCAATTGCGAATCTTAAATCATACCTCACTTCATTTGTGGTTTGGCCAGTCTGGTTCATTTGCTGGAGGCGGAGATAGAGTTTGCATCAAGAAATAAACCTTATTTCATCACTGTCTCTTAATAAAATGCAGCAAATTTCACTTCTGATGGTCCAAATCTCTTCTTCCTTCAAGGTTTTGAAAGAATTGTTTCAAGTATTCGCGGTTCCCTGAATCATTTTGGATCTCCGGTGAGTTTCGTCTCGTCTGATAAAATGTAAAAACATCCATTTATGATTTAACTGTTCAACTGGATTCGGATAAACAAACAGTTTTTGAGATATTTTTTTTTGCAGAAGATGATGAAAGAGGTGAAGGAGGCTTTTCTTTTTGTATTTTCATATCATTTCTGGCGCATGGGTCTTTGGAGCATCGCTCTCGTTTATTCCTACTTGCAATTGCATAAAGCAAGGATCTTTGGCTCAATATATAAAGCAAGGCTCTTTGGCTCAAAATATACTCCAATTTCTGGCTCCATCGATCCAAAGATTCGGTCTTCGAGACCCATTTGTGTTATCACTGGTGTAAGTAAACTAATGTTGTGTTCTTTACTTGAAGTTTGCTTAAAACATAGGATTTTGGCAAAAGAATCACAAAAACGGGTTATTTTTTTTGGACGCATTTGTGTTATCAGTGGTGAAATGTGTGAATCATTGCCTTGATTGTGTAATATTGTCATGTAAAGTAATGCCTCCAATACCTCCATTTTAAAGTGTAGAGCTCTTCTTGTGTCTATCAAGTATCGACTGTGTGTTGAACTTTGATTTCAGGCTACCTCTGGGCTTGGTAAGGCCACTGCATTTGTTCTTGCAGAGAAGGGTTTCCACGTTATTCTTGGTAAGAAATCTATGATGCATTTCTTCCTCAAGTGATTGTGTATCAGGACGGATTGGATAAATGTAGTTTCCCATCACAAAGATTATCAAATTTTACAACAAAATTCTATGGTGGCCTAATGAGATGAATCTTTCTTGGTTTTTTCAGTTGGTCGGTCCTCTCAGCTTCTTTCAGAGGTTATTTTGGATCCCTTTTGTTATCACATTTGTCGAAATAACTATGTTTCTCTTTCACATTTTTTTTTGATGCAAAAGTCGTTTTCTTATAATGACAGACATTGGAGGAAATCAAGAGCAAGAACAAAGATGCCCAACTCAAATCTTTCCAAGTTGACATGTCCTCTTTTGAATCAATCTTCAAGTTTAAAAGCTCTCTAGAGCAATGGCTTTCGGATGCAGAGTTACATCCTTCGATTCAGATTTTAGTGAACAATGCTGGAATAATGGCAATTTCTAGTCGACCAACCACGGAAGGTTATGACAGGTAAGTCTGGTTTTCATCACTTTTGACATCTTGGAAAGGACGCACTTATGTTTCAGTTTTCATTAAAATCTAGCTCATGTATTTATTTGGCAGGATGATTGCTACAAACTATGTTGGCCCATTCTGTTTGACCAAACTTCTTCTGCCACTCCTGAAAAACAGCTCTGTGCCCTCACGGGTCGTGAACGTTACGTCTTTCACACATCGTTATGGTGAAACATACTGTCAAAATTCACAAATGGATGGACCCTATAATTAATGAGAGTAGAGCTAAGTGAAAATGATATCTGATTTCCTGTCTATTTCTGTGTAGCTTCTATAGGGAAGTTTGACAAGGATTCTGTAAGTGGAGTACATACTTCGACATTAAACAAATATCCATATGCTCGGGCCTACGAGTATTCTAAATGTAAGCCAAAACCTCTTAACAGTTTGCTTAAAAAGCAAAATAGTTATATTTTTATGATTCTTTGACTGATGAGCTTATGATGTTCTTGAACAGTATGCCTTCTACTTTTCTCATATGAATTGCATAGACAGCTTCGCCTCACAGACGATTCACACCATGTCTCTGTTATGTATGCTTCCTATATTGCTCTCTTGATTTGTTAGTCTATCACTCTTTAAAAATTATGTTTTGACTTGTGAGTTTTGCTTGTTGAATGCAGAGCTGCAGATCCCGGATTTGCGAAAACGAAGATAATGCGCGAGTATCCTACATACATAACTGCCATGGCGTTTCTTGGTTTCAAAACACTTGGCCTCCTCCAAACCCCCGAGGAAGGAGCTGAATCTATCGTCGATGCAGCTTTAGCTCCACCTGTTAAGAGAAATTTTCTCTAATTGCTTTATATGAATCTTGATTTTATTAAATATTGTCCTCATGATCTCTGATTTGCTTTTTTCTTTACAACTTATGCAGGAAATATCAGGTGCTTACTACTTTGGAGGGAAAGGAAGGACCATTGAATCATCAAAAGTTTCTAGAGATCTTAAACTTGGTCAACAACTTTGGGAAACTTCTTGTGATTTGCTCAATGAGTTGCAGCATCTTCATCACAACAACTAATCAAAGACTCGCTTGAAGATCTTTATCTAATTTTATTTGCTTGCATTATCTCTGTTGTTGTTTATTTGTATAGTGTAAACAAGTAACACAAACGGCACTATATGCAAACGCATTTCACTATATGCAAACGCATTTTCAGTTTCATGTTATGAAAGATTGACGTATACGTCTACTATTTCTTGATATAGCGGTAATTTTCTCGCCAAAAAAAATGTTAGTTCTTTGAACATTTTTTGTAAAAGTTTTAGTATGCGAGATATACTTTTTGTTTTTTTATGTTAACTGGCTTACTGAATTTGACAGACTAATCATGTTTTACCTTTTGTTTCAATCTTTCGTGAGTTCTGATTGAAAAGCATATACTGTTTTCTTATTGGTCACTTATTACTTTACATGTGCACTTTTGACGGGAAAATGGCCAAAAACAACATGAATTAAATTATTTGTGCGCTAAAATACATGAACTAAAATACGGTGCCAAAATCAACCGTTTATTGTCTAAAATTTCAAATTATCAACCTATACTTGTATGTGAGTGCCTAAACCTGAACTGACTAACTGCAACGTTAGTTGACTCACGATTTTTGCTGACTTGGAACAGTAACCTATGACGTGGCATATACGACGTCGTTTTAGTGCGTTTTGAAAACGAAAAAAATGTAAAATCCTTTGATTCGAACCTTGGTCGTGTGAAAGATTGAAGCGAATACTAACCAACTGAGCCGTGTAAGATTTTCAATTGTTTATCACGGATACATATATTTATACATTATTCATCTCTCTTCTGTTTAATAAAAACAGAAGTCGAATGAAATCTCTTCATTCTTTTTTCTTTCTCTTCATTTTGTCATGTTGGTAACACAAAGAAAAGAAGAAGACAAATTTTGATTGACCATTCGAATGTCATAAGTAGTACAAAAAAGAAGACAAGTTTTGATTCAAATCTAAACCAAACTCAATCCGCCAAAAAAAAAACAAACATAAGTAACTTCATTCCATAAAAACCATCTCCTGCTTTATATCCAAGTAGCATCTCCTAAAAACCAAATAGCACCAGATCTCTCTTTTCCCCATCTGTTTTTCTTTATATTCCAGGCTCCCTTTAGAGTATAGTCTACTAATGCTTCTTGGAAGTCCTCTAATGTGTAAAATACCTGATGCATTTTCAACTCACCACTACCTTTTTTGCATCTCACCATAAACGATATCAACACTGAAAGTAAACAAAACTCGAATGAAACTCACCTCCCCATTGCCTTTCGCTTCCAATCGAACCAAGAAACACTTAGTTTATTTACGTAAGTCATGAAACTATTGAGGTTTAGAAATTTTATTGCTTACTTATTAATTCAAAGAAGAGGTAAATAAATAATAAATAGATATATTTGTATTGAAAAATTGAAAGTCTTAGACAGCTTAATTGGTTACCATGCGTAAAACACATTCAAATAACCACAGTTTGAATCCTAGCAATGTTGGTGTTTTTTTCCTTTTTTACAAGAACTAAAACGACGTCGTATATGCCACGTCATAGGTTACTGTTCCAAGTCAGCAAAAATCGTGAGTCAACTAACGTTGCAGTTAGTCAATTCAGGTTTAGGCACTCACATACGAGAATAGGTTGATAATTTAAAATTATAGACAAGAACGGTTGATTTTAACACCGTATTTTAGTTCATGTATTTTGGCGCACAAATAATTTAGTTCATATCGTTTTTGCCCTTTTCCCCACTTTTGACCAATGGATTCACGACGTGACGACCATGGTGAAAGGGTTATTTTGGTCATTGTAAGAGTAAAGAAACGAGAGCTATTGGTAAAGCAGAATTAGATTCTCTGGGCCCCATTAGAACATAAACAGCTCACGTACTCCTCACCTGTCTATTTCTTGTGAGTATCGAAATCTGAAACGTGTGGTCTCGGACGATACATATGTCGTTGCTTGATTGGATAATATATTTCTTTGTTTAACAAAACGTTTCTGTGGCTTAGCCAATCTCGAAGATCTAAAATTTAAATGTTACTTTTAATCTTAAAAGGCATTAAATCTCTTGTTTGACTAAAAAAATCAATAACTTTAAATAGAACGATTATACTGCTGTTAATTTTTTTCCGTGGTCAGAAATCGTCGTGATTTTATCTGTGTTATCTTTTCGTGGCCAGGAATCGTCGTGACTCGTGAGAGAACGTGGCTACCTCGAAAACACAAATGTGTCACCCTATGATTCGTTTAAATTCTTCGTCATTTAAGTGTCTTTGTGTCTTTAGCATTAAGGAGTATTAAAAGCTTATTAATAATTTAAAATCTTACAGTAAGTCAATTAAAATAATTTGTTGACAAAAATAGCAAATTACAAAAGATTTGTTGCTCTTTATAGATGAGTGGTCAAGAATCATCGCGAATCTCGCACCTACAATCTTTCCACATAAAGAAAAAAGTAAGGGCCTTTCAGTAAAAGCAAATAAAGGAAGGGTAAGTACGTAATTTGGTGGAGCCCTAATAGCCGCACAACGCATCTGGGCTGGAGGCTATATAAACAACTCCCTCCACCTCTGTTATTCTACAATATCACAAACTCGTTTCTTTTCATCATTACCAAATCATAAGCGGCTCTCAAGATTTAGGGTTTCGAGTTTTCTGAATCACTTCAATCAGGTTGGTTTTTTAGCTTTACAGATCTGTTTCTTCTGTTTCAATCTTTGATTATCGTGTTAGATCTTCTACTTTTAGTCTGTAGTTTATGATCGATTGATTGAATTTGGCTTTTGTTTTCGTTTCAGGTTTCGTTCGTTTAATATATTTGGATAAAAAGTTTCTGGTAGAAGAGAATTAAAAACTCCGGATCGAGATCAATATATTCCTATACACGTAAGTCTCTCACGATGATTTCGATTTCGTTTGTATTGTTTAATTATGTTTGTATCAGATCGTGATTCAATTGTTGGTTGTGACATCTATCTAATGAAATCATCTGATAATGTCTGAGTGAGATATCTGGATTTGTTGTTTAAAAACGTAGCAGATCTTAATAGTTGTTGTTTTGTTGAGTCATAGCCTCTTTCAATTTCGATCAAATCTATTATTTTTCATCAAAACCTGAATTTTCATGGATCATCATTTGTTTGATGCGCAGAAACATTGAATGTTTATGTTGTTTATCATGTCCTAGTTATCGTTTGCATTCTCTTATGTTATGGTTATCTAACCTTTAATTGTTATTAATTTATATGTTACAGAAGAGCGTGAATGAGATTATGATGGAATCGAAAGCTGGTAATAAGAAGTCAAGCAGTTCCTTATTTTACGAAGCTCCCCTCGGTTACAGCATTGAAGACGTTCGTCCCAACGGTGGAATCAAGAAATTCAAATCTTCTGTCTACTCTAACGTGAGTTTCCCTTATCAAAATGTCTTCAAATCTTTGTACTTTCCTACATGTAATCTTATTGACCATCCTTTTATTGTTTCTCTTTTGTTGCAGTGCGCAAAGAGGCCATCCTGAGTACTAATCAATCCAGACAGTCCTCATAGTTTTTATTTGCCTTCCAATTATAACCTCCTTTTTTCAAAGCTCTGGTTCCCAAACCCCCTCGTTCTCTCCTACAAGAAGGTCTTTTCCTCTCACAACAACAACAACAACAAAGCGAGATGGCCATGTCAGTCTCTGCAATTGGGTTCGAAGGCTACGAGAAGCGGCTCGAAGTATCATTCTTTGAGCCAAGTCTCTTTCTTGACACTCAAGGGAGAGGACTCCGTGCCTTGGCCAAATCTCAGATTGACGAGATCCTTCAACCAGCTGAGTGCACGATCGTCTCATCTCTCTCGAATGATCAGCTCGACTCTTATGTACTCTCTGAGTCCAGCCTCTTTATCTTCCCTTACAAGATCATCATCAAGACTTGCGGGACTACTAAGCTCCTTCTCTCTATCGAGCCTCTCTTGAGGTTGGCCAGTGAGCTCTCTCTTGACGTCAAGTCCGTGAGGTACACTCGTGGAAGCTTCCTCTGTCCTGGAGGCCAGCCTTGCCCACACCGCAACTTCTCTGAAGAAGTCTCTGTACTTGATGGTCACTTCGCCAAGCTGGGTTTGAGCAGTGTTGCATACTTGATGGGCAACGATGATGAAACCAAGAAATGGCATGTTTACTCTGCTTCTTCTCCTGCCAAGAGCTACAGCAGCAGCAACAACGTGTACACGCTCGAGATGTGCATGACTGGTCTGGACAAGGACAAGGCATCTGTGTTCTACAAGAACGAGTCAAGCTCGGCTGGTTCTATGACTGACAACTCTGGCATCAGAAAGATACTTCCTCAGTCTCAAATCTGCGACTTTGAGTTTGAGCCCTGCGGCTACTCTATGAACAGCGTCGAAGGAGACGCGATCTCCACCATCCATGTGACCCCTGAAGATGGATTCAGCTACGCTAGCTTTGAAGCAGTGGGATACGACTTCACGACCATGGACTTGAGCCATCTTGTCTCAAAGGTGCTTACTTGCTTCGAGCCAAAGCAATTCTCAGTAGCGATCCACTCGAGCGTCGGACAGATGAGCTACGACTCGAGCCTCTGTGTTGACCTAGGCGATTACGGATGCAGAGAATCAACAATGGAGTCTCTGGGAGAAGAAAGAGGAACAGTGATGTATCAGAGGTTTGAGAAGCTGGGAAGGTATTGTGGTTCTCCCAGATCTACCTTGAAATGTGAATGGAGCAGCAACAGTAGCTGCACTAGCGAGGACGAGAAGGAAGAGGGAATCTAAGCTTTTTTTTTGTTTTGGCTTTTCGAATAATGTCTTGTGTTTTTTTTTTTCCTCATTAAACCAGTGATTGTGTCTGGTCTATGTGAATTCGAATGATCGAATATTATGAAATATCTATTATTACGATCATTTCCGATACATTTTATGATGTCGCATAAAAAACAACTTGCTTAATGAAAATTAAATTTGAAATCATTTTGTTTAACCTTAGTGACGAAAGATGGGGACTAATACGCGACGTTTTGTTAAGCAGCCTTCATACGAGTGACACGACATAGTTTTCGTAAAATCGTCTACGTAAGTTTATACTTTACCGAATAAACAGAAAAACAAACGTGTTTTCGATTGTGAATGCTACAATTGTATAATTTAGTCTAGTTCATGATATTGGTGTGGGCCTATTTCCATGTTTCTTTTTGTAAGAGAGCTTCGGAATGTTGTCTATGTCGATATTTGGTCTAGTTTGTCTTTTTTTTTTGTTTCCTCTCTCTCTCTCTCTCTCTCTCTTGTTTTGTACGTGTTGTTTTAGAACTTCTTTTCTCAAAGACATACTTTCTTTTTTTGATAAAAGATTTAAAATACATACTTATTGTTAAACTGAAACAAATTATATAAGCTTGAGTGTTTTTCATTCCCAATAGTTCACTATACTCTAGAAGGTTGCGTATCATAAAAAACGTCAAGATTGCACTTTTTCACAAAGAGAAGGAGATACGAACCAAACTTAAACACACGAAATTAAGGAAAGACGAGCGAGACTTATACATACAAAATAAGTGAATAACCGATCTTGAGAATTTGATGGCTCACAGAAAAAACAAACGATCAGCTAAATGTTTGATTTTTTTATACTTTGACAAACAAAAAAAAAAGATGGCTTATAACTACTATTAAACTTTTGTCCTAAAATAGCAGCCAGCCCCTGTAACTACTAAACTATATATAAACTAAAGAAAATCACCTAACGTAGACTGATACTATCAAACCAATTCGAGCTTATTCCCTTCTGATTCTTTAGCTAGCTAGACTATCATACTACACGATATTCTACATAACATTTGCGTCAAGAAATAAACCTTATTTCATTTTTGTCTCTCTTAATAAAATGCAGCAACCTTCACTCCAAATCTCTTCTTCCTTCAAGGTTTTGAGCGAGTTGTTTCAAGTGTTTGCGGTTCCCTGAATCATTTTGGATCTCCGGTGAGTTTCGTCTCGTCTGATAATATGTAAAAGCATCCATTTATAGTAAACAAACAGTTTTAAAAATATTTTTTTTGCAGAAGATGATAAAAGAGGTGAAGGAGGCTTTTTGTTTTGTATTTTCATATGATTTCTGGCACATGGGTCTTTGGGGCATCTCTCTGTTTTCTTCCTACTTGCAATTGCTTAAAGCAACGATCTTTGGCTCAAAATATACTTCCATTTCTGGCTCCATCGATCCAAAGATTGGGTCTTCAAGACCCATTTGTGTTATCACTGGTGTAAGTAAACTGATGTTGTGTTCTTTACTTGAAATTTGCTTTAAAATAGGATTTTGGGCTAAAAAATCACAAAAACGGTTTATTTTTAGACGCATTTGTGTTATCACTGGTGAAATGTGTGAACATTGCCTTGATTGTGTAAATATTGTCATGTAAAGCAATGCCTCCAATACATCCATTTTAAAGTGTAGAGCTCTTCATGTGTCTATCAACTATCGACTGTGTCTTGAACTTTGATTTCAGGCTACTTCTGGACTTGGTAAGGCCACTGCATTTGTTCTTGCAGAAAAGGGTTTCCACGTCATTCTTGGTAAGAAATCTATGATGCATTGCTTCCTCTAGTGATGTATCAGAATGTATTGGATAAATTAAATGTTGTTTCTCATCACAAAGATTAACAAATTTTACATCAAAATTGCCATTCTTCTTTATTTCTATGGTTGCCTAATGAGATGAATCTTTCTTGATTTTTTTCAGTTGGAAGGTCCTCTCAGCATCTTTCAGAGGTTTTTATGATCTTTTTTTTTCGCTTATGCCAAAATTAAAATGAGAATGTTCTCTTTCACATTTTTCTTTGATGCAAAAGTCACTTTTCAGCTTGGCTTATAATGACAGACATTGAAGGAAATCAGGAGCAAGAACAAAGATGCCCAACTCAAATCTTTTAAAGTTCACATGTCCTCTTTTGAATCAATCTTAAAGTTTAAAAACTCTCTAGAGCAATGGCTCTCGGACGAAGAGTTACATCCTTCGATTCAGCTTTTGGTGAACAATGCTGGGATAATGGCAACTTCTAGTCGACCAACCACGGAAGGTTATGACAGGTATAAGTCTGGTTTTCATCACTTTTGTCATCATCCAAAGGACGCACTTATGTTTCAGTTTTCTATCAAAATTTAGGTCATGTATTAATTTTTATTTGTCAGGATGCTTGTTACAAACTATGTTGGCCCATTCTGTTTGACCAAAATTCTTTTGCCACTCCTGAAAAACAGCTATGTGCCTTCACGGGTCGTGAATGTTGCATCTTTCGCACATCGTTATGGTGAAACATACCGTCACAATTCACACAAATGGATGGACCCTCCTATAATAAATGAGAGTAGAACTAAGTGAAACTGATCTTATTTCCTGTCTATTTCTGTGTAGCTTCTATTCGGAAGTTTGACAAGGATTCTGTAAATGGAGTATATACTTCGACATTAAACAAATATCCTTTTGCTCGGGCCTACGAGTATTCTAAATGTAAGCCAAAACCTCTGACTGTTACTTACAATGCATAATTGTATATATTTGTATTCTTCCTTGGACTGATGTGTTTATGTTGTTGAATAGTATGCATTCTGATTTTCACATATGAAATGCATAGACGGCTTCGCCTCACAGACGATTCACACCATGTCTCCGCTATGTATGCTTCCTATAATATTACTCTCTTGATTTGTTGTTAGTCTCTTACTCTTTAAAGATGATATATGTTTCGACTTGTTGAATGCAGAGCTGCAGATCCCGGATTTGCGAAAACGAATCTATTGCGCGACTTTCCTACATATATAGCTGCCATGGCCTTTCTTGGTTTCAAAATACTTGGCCTCCTCCAAACCCCTGAGGAAGGAGCTGAATCTATCGTCGATGCAGCTTTAGCTCCACCTGTTAAGAGAAAATTTCTTTAAAAGCTTTATAGGAATCTTGATCTGTTGAAATATTGACCTCTTGATCCCTGATCAGCTTTTTTTCTTTACAACTTATGCAGGAAATATCAGGTGCTTACTATTTTGGAGGGAAAGGAAGAACCATTGAATCATCAAAAGTTTCTAGAGATCCGAAACTTGCTAAACAACTTTGGGAAACTTCTTGTGATTTGTTTAATGAGTTGCAGCATTTTCATCACAACAACTAAGCAAAGACTCGCTTGAAGATCTTTATCTAATTTTATTTCCTTACATTATCTCTGTTTTTGTTTCTTTGTACCCGTATAACAAGTAACACAAACGGCACTATATGCAAACGCATTTTCAGTTTTATGTTATGAAGGATTGCCGTATACGTATACTATTTCTTGATATAGCGGCATTTTTTTCTCCCCAAAATTTTTCCTCTCTGTCTCTCTCTCTTGTGTTTTACGTGTTGTTAATTGTTAGAACTTCTTTTCTCAAAGACATACTTTCTTTTCTCAAAAGACATAATTTGTTTTAAGCGCGAGTGTTTTTCTTTCCCAATACTCTATAAGGTTTATGTATCATAATCAAGATTGCACTTTTTTACTAAGAGGAGATACGAACGAAACATAAACACACACCGAATTAAGGAAGGACTAGCGAGATTTTTATAATCGCCGTCAGCTTTTATAACGTAAACTGAAACTATCAAACCAATTCGAGCTTATTCCCTTCTGTTTCTTTAGCTAGCTAGACTATCATATATTCATATACCACAATATTCTAGTTGAACGTTGATGATATGATATTCATAATCGATTTCTTATAAATAAAAAATCATTAATGATCTATAGTAAATCAGTAACCTAAAAGGAATTAGCTAATTTCCCCATTGCTAACGAGATATTTATATAATTTATGTGTATGTACCGATCTGATCTTTCATTTCAGTCTAGAATAATTGAGTTGGAAATCCATGATTGATGAAATAATAAAAATGTAAAATTTGGCAAATTCAAGAAATAACATGCCTCAAATGAGTTGATACTTTCTAGAAAAAATAAATAAATAAATAACATGCCTAAACTAACATCGAAAGAATATTAATACGAACTTAGCACAACAAACTGTACCAAGGCCTAAGCCGTGGGCATTTTCCCGTCTATTATGCCGTGAACGTAATAATAAAGTTGTTTTTTGATAAAGGTTTTGATACAGGTGTGTAATTAACATTCTATGAACTTTTTCATTTCTTCGCAAATAATAACACGACATATTTGCCATACGCATATGTAACAAACCCAAGTTACAAATTTCTATTTACGGCCATAGACTTTTGAGCACTACTTTGTAAAAAAACTAAAAATATCTATGCTGGCTTTAGAAATTACTAGACGACAAAAAGTATTATATAATTGAGATATTTTCAAAGTGTTAGACTGTTAGTCTTAAATAAATAAAATGAAAAAGAAAACAGGGACGCGAGAGAGAACCACATACAAAGATTCCTAAAATAATATATCCATCCCAAAAACGACACGTGGATCTTGATAGCCAATAAGCAGCTACCGACATAAGGCAAAGCTGATGGTACCATTTTACACGTCGCTCACGTGGGTTCAGGATACACGTGGCACCACACAAGTGTTTCCAATTCGCCTATAAATAAAAACCATATGCCCACCTCTTTTCTCATCAATCAAAATCTAAATCTTTCATTATAAACCAAAAATTATCTTCTAAGAAAAATGGCAGACAACAAGCAGGCCTTCCAAGCCGGTCAAACCGCAGGCAAAGCTGAGGTCTCTTTCTCTCTCTGATCAAACGTTGTTGTGGCAATCACTTTTTTTTTTATATTAAAAGCAGAGAATCTTGAATCAAAACCTATCTTTCTTGAAGCTCTAAGCAGCATATTTTTTTTTTCAAACTATAGTATCCTAATTTCCTGTTACAAAAATATACTATATACTAATTTCATCAACTAACACGATTAGAAATAAGAGAAAAAACTGTTTCGTTAGCCCTTTTTACCTCAATACTGAGGCATTGTTTCTTTATGTTTTTGCCTATTTCATACTATTTCCTTTGCTTATATCTCATTGTGTGGACAATAATGGTGTGTACAGGAGAAGAGTAATGTGCTGTTGGACAAGACCAAGGATGCTGCTGCAGCAGCCGGAGCGTCCGCGCAAACAGTAAGCGATCCATACACACACTTATGATATATACGTAGAAATATACGTTTTTGATTTACATTGAATGTAGATCTCATATCTATTATATGTATGAATAGGCGGGACAGAAGATAACGGAAGCGGCCGGAGGAGCAGTTAATTTCGTGAAGGACAAGACCGGCATGAACAAGTAGCGGCTCGAAAATAAAATTGGGAACTATAATTTCCCTTTTTTATTAATTGTTGTGGTTTCAAATAAGATTAATTTCCATATTCATCCTAGTTGTTGCTGTTGTTGTTGTTAGTGTTTTAATTAATGTTTCTCCCTTTCGGTTTATGGTTGGATGTTATTGTATTTAGCTTCCAGTTAATTAATAAACCTCTCTAATCTTATTCTAATCTTATTAATGCATTTGATTCTTACATAATTATCAAAGTTATCGGTCAAAGTAAAATGATCAGAAAAATTAATTATTTATTTTGAAATAATTTTTATTCTTGAGATGTTGTAGTCACTACTCACTAGGTGAAACCGTAAAAGCAATTTCAGAAAGACATATTTGAAAGTTTCAACAACAAAAAAGAGAGACAATTTTGGAATAAAACTTGAATCAAGGATCCTTGGTCCATTTTACACAAATTCTTAATAATGTTCCAGTTACTAATAAAACATACAAAATGTAAAACTTTAAGATCCGTTCGATTTACAACTTTCCGTAAACAAAAGTTTATTAAAAATTTTAATCATACGAGTGTATTTGGTATAACTGACTTACTTATATATGATTTGGTTCAGTTTGTTCGGTTACGGTTGTTTGCGATAATGAATGTACAAAAGACGAAAGATGGGACTAAAACAATACAACGGAACATTTTGCTTAACAATTTGTATACGAGTAGATCAACCTAACTTACGTAATGTCGTCTATAAAAATACACATTTTTCGATTGGGAATGCTAATTTGTATCCCCTCTATATTTAAATTATAAATGCATAATATGTTGTTACTAAACAATTTTCATAACTCAATAGAATCATTTCTTTTAATTGATAAATCTCAAAAATCATAATTTATCATTATAAATTATCTGAAAAAATAGAAGAAAAGAAGTATAATTTAGTTTGAGTCATGGTATTCTTGTGGGCTATATCTAGATGTCTTTTGTAAGAGCTTTGTAATCTCGTGTATATCAAAATTTGGTGTAGTTTGTAAGTTTCTCTTTCTTTCTCTCTTGTTTTTTACGTGTTTTTATAACTTCTTTTCTCGAATGACATACACTTTTTGTTAGCCATTTTCTTTCACTATACACTAACATGTCATAAAAATTTGCACTTTTTAAATAAAGAGGAGAGACGAACGAGACTTATTATACACATACACACACGAGAGGAAAGACGGGCGAGACTTATACATAGAAATAACCGATATTGAGTATTTGATGGATCAAAGAAAAAAATGGTCAGCTAAATAATTTGCTAGAAAAAACAAAGTTGCACTTAACATTTGGTTGCTATTAAACGTTTTCCCAGCCCCTGTAATTATTAAACTATAAACTCCGTCAGCTGATCTATTACACACAAAGAAAATCACCCAACGTAGTTGAAACTATCAAACCAACTTGAGCCTTTTCCCTTATGATTTTTTAGCTAGCTAGCTAGGCTATCACATAACACAATGTTCTAGTTTTTTTTACGTTGATGATATATATATGATTCATAATCAACATGTATAATAACAAAGGAAAAAATGACAATGTATAATAACCCAAAAGGAATTTAGCAACACGGAATGTTTGCCAAACGCATATGCAGCAAACCTACGTTACATAGACTTATGCTTTAACTTTTTTTGTTGGGCAAAACTTTGCCCTATAGTGTTAAAAACTAAAAATATCTCTTATTGGATTAGAAATTACTAGACGTATGTAAAAAATATTTATATTGAGAAATTTCTAAGAGAGATATATATTAGGGAGGATTGCTATTGTGACCTTTAAAATAGCTGAAATTAGTATAATAACCTTACATTCTCGAAATTAACAGAATAACCTTCCTTTTAAAAAAAACCCGATTTTACCCTTAGGAAGCTTTGGTGAGAAAAAACATATTTACAAAAATGCCATTATTTAATTATTTCCACGTCAGCCGTTAAATTGGACCACCGACAAATAAATCTATCAATATAAATGGTAAACTTATATGTTTTGGTAGATTTAAAACAAAGTCGATAGACTTAATAAAAGTTGGTAGACTTAATATTCCAAAAAATAGATTTGTTTAGATGTTGATAGACTTATACTGATAGATTTAGTTTTCTTGAAAGGTAGATTTAAAATTCTTGATAGATATTTGAATGTGTTGGTAGACTTGTTTTGTTGTATAGTAGATTTATTTTCAAGTTGGTAGATATATTGTTGTTGAGTTGACTTCATAAGATGTGGTTGACCAAAATCGGTAGACTTATTAACTTTCATAGTAGACTTAGTAGACAAGAAAATTCTTATAAAAATAAATCTACTACAAAAGAAAAAGTTTTTTCGTGATAGATTTGTTGTACGCATGGTAGATGTAAATATCGACGGTAGATTTGTTTTGAAAAAGTAGACTTATTTTCTTTGTGGTAGACTTATTTTCTAGGTGGTAGACTTGTTGTCTTAATGATAGACTTACAATTTCCTCAGCGAGTATTGATATGTGATAGACATACGAAACTATGTAATAGATATATTTGGGGATGGTAGACTTATATGTGGAAAATAGATTTATTTGATAATATAGTAGACTTTTAAATTAGTATCGAGGTTCGATGTTGGTAGACATAATGAAATGTTGATAGACATATTACAAAATTGGTAGACATATTTAATCTCATAAAGGTAGACTTATTAATTTGAAATGACGTTTTTATCCAGCAGTTATTAATGAATTTTCGGGTTCCAACCACCGCAACCAACTACTTCTAGGGTAGCCGCCGCCATTAGGTTCGTCGCTGATTGTCTCTCGTTACCTGTTATTTGGTTTCTTTCCTCTATCATGTCTTCTTCTTGCATGGTGGATATACTTTTAGTTTGTGGGAAATGGGAATTTCAGAATAGTCGGTATGTTTTCTTGGTTGATAAGAGCAAAGGAAGTCATGTTGTAGCTGTTGATCGGGAAATCGGGTTTGGGGATTTATTACAAATTGTTTATGAAGAATTTCGATTGGATCAGCGCCGATTTGAGCTGCAATTCAGCTATATGCTGTCGAAGAAATACATGCAAAAGCTACCCAAAGATACACCACCGGTATTTGTAGGAAGTAGTCGACAATTTGCTGGGTTTCTCCGTCACTTCGAAAACGAGACGATCCGTCTATGCATTGAGATTACTGAAAAGGCGTTGACTCAATCGAAGATAGCAAATGGTGTTGAGGTGAGCGGCAAAAGATGTAACTCATTCGTAGATGAAGAGAGTGAAGACGATGAATTTGAAGAAGATGAGGAAGATAATGACGATGATGAAGAAGAAAGGTACGACAATTGCGAAGATCCGGATGGTGCGAGTTCTAGTGATGAAGACTACGATTTGTGTGGGAAGAAATCAGAAGATGAAGAAGAAGAAGAAGATATGCAAAACCTGCCACCAAAGAAACGAGGTTTCTCCAGAATAGATGATTCTGTGGAGCTTGAAATGAAGTCCGTAGAGTTAGCTGTAGGTCAATGTTATGACACAAAAGAAGAGTTCGAGACGAGATTGAAGATCTACGCGGTTGCCAATAAAATGGACTTCGACGTGGGACACTCAACGCCCACGCTATTGACGGTTAGGTGTTGGGTCGGTGGATGTAAATGGCGGGTTCGAGCTTCGACGGTTGGAGATGGAAGACAGTTCTATGTCAAAACATACTACGGTTTGCACACCTGTTCTATCACGATGCGTTCTTCACGTGCCCGACAAGCAACTCCTGAGATATTAGGACGTCTTTATAAGGATTTTGTAGGTGGAGTAGGTAATACAGTTACCCCAAATCACGTTTCTGATGCGCTAACCAAACGATATGGAATCAAGGTAAGGGTTACATATTGTAAGCTTAGTTTGGTAGATTTGATGTGTTGTTAGGTAGATTTATTTAACATATGGTAGATTTGTTTCCAATAGTTAGGTAGATTTGTTTTCAATAGTTAGGTAGATTTGTTTCCAATAGTTTGGTAGATTTGTTTCTTGGTAGATTTGTTATTAATAGTTAGGTAGATTTGTAGCCAGTGGTTTGGTAGATAGACTAATCGTGTATGATGTATAGGTGGAGTATTGGAAAGCTTATCGTGTATTGAAGTATGCACGCGAACTAGTGACTGGGAGTTCAGAGGACAGTTACGAGGACCTTCCATCCTACTTATACATGATTAGACGAGCTAATCCAGGAACACTCATCAAGCTCGAAGTGGATTCCGAAGACAAGTTCAAGTTTATGTTCCTTGCCTTTAGTGCGAGCATTCAGGGGTTTCCATTTATGCGGAAAGTAGTGGTGGTTGATGGTACCTTCTTAACAGGTAAATACAAAGGTACACTACTCATTGCCACAACGCAAGACGGGAATTTTAATATATTCCCAATTGCTTTCGGTATCGTTGATACTGAGAATGATGAATCGTGGGAATGGTTCTTTGCACAACTACATCGAGTTATACCTGATGATGAAGGACTTGCCATTATTTCAGATAGACATAGATCTATTGGGAAAGCTATAACAAAAATTTACCCTCTTGCTTCGCGTGGTATTTGCACTTATCATTTGCACAAGAATATATTGGTGAAATATAAAGGTGGAGAAGCTTTTCGCCTTGTCAAGAAAGCAGCAACAACATATAGGCTTTCAGATTTCAATGTCTTAATGGCACAGATTCAGGGGTGTAACCGAGGACTATATGATTACTTACAAAAAGCGGATGTCCAGATGTGGAGCCGTGTTCATTTTCCGGGACAGAGGTACAACTTCACTACTAGCAACATAGCGGAGTCTTTAAATAAGGTCCTTTCAAAGGTTAGAAGTTACCCAATTGTGACACTATTGGAGGAGATTAGATCGCTTTTGACTAGGTGGTTTGCCAAAAGGCGCCGAGCTGCAAATGATATGGAGACCGAGCTTACTACTGGTGTTGAGAAATTGCTACGGGTATAGTTTTGGTAGACATATTCTACAGTTTGGTAGATTTATTTGTTAATACGATAGACTTAATTACATATTTTGTGTACAGGAAAGGGTCGAAGGAGCAAAGCAACTAGCAGTGCAAGAAATCGACGACCATCTTGCACAGGTCACCGGTGGCTCATCCTTACATGTTGTCAATTTGGAAAGGAAAACATGTACTTGCCGACGGTTTGACATCGATAAAATACCGTGCGTCCATGCCCTTGCTGCAGCGGAAGCAAAAAAAATTTCCCGTATCAGTCTAGCCCACCCTTACTACCGTAGGTCATACCTTTCGTCGGCATACGCGGGGACGGTCATGCCAAGAGATGTCGCTTTACCTGTACCCGAAGAAGTGGCTAACAAAGTCTGTAAGCCTCCTTTTGTTCGTAAACCACCTGGTAGGCCAAAAAAATCACGAATGAAAAGTGCTTTAGAAATAGCAATGCAGAAGAAACGTCCAAGGAAAGAGCACAAGTGTTCCAAATGTGCCCAAGCCGGCCATAATCGTGCGACATGCCCATCTTGATCGTGTGTGGTCAGTGTAATTAATGTACTTCACACTCTTTTACTTTTATTAAACCCCATATGTAATAAACATATTTGTTGTACTTGAAAGTATTTTACTTAGCTTCTGACTTAGCCTATATTTGTGTAATGATCATGTTGAGAAACTTTAATAGTAAATAAGTCTACCATACATAGTACATACGTCTACCATTAATGGTACATAAGTCTACCATTAACTCTGGTACATAAGTCTACCATAGCGAATACATAAGTCTACCATTAATGGTACATAAGTCTACCATTAACTCTGGTACATAAGTCCTACCATTAGCGAATACATAAGTCTACCATTAATGGTATATAAGTCTACCATTAAATGCAAACGGGTATGACATGTTTGTAACCGTTTTTTCCGACCGTTGTAACGGTTGGGATCTGTGGTTTCCGGCTATAAATACAACTTCCAGTCGAAGTTCCTTCTCATCCTAGAGGTTTAATATGACCAATCCAATGGACATCAACTCTCTCCCGTCAGATATTTTGTATGAGATCCTTCTGAAATCTTATTCTAATTCTTATGCCGATCTCTGTCGAGCAAAAGTTTCATCCAAAACGCTCAACAACATTACCAATGAAGAGGGATTTTTGAAAACGGTTGATTTACTATCATTTATCACACCATGGGTTTGGGATAAACATGGGAGGGTTGGTGTATTCTTTACGCGCTGCTTGGAGGCCGGAAATTTGTCTGCGCAATTCCGAAGAGGTTTATCATATATATTCTACGAAGAAGATGGCCTACAGGCAGGGTTGGATTTAATTAGGCTCGCATCAAACGGTGGAT